TCCGTTGCCAAATAGTCAAACAGTTGGGAGGCTGTCAACAAAAATCCCGTGACTGTTGGCAGAAATAAGGAGCCCTGGTCTTGCGATTTCTGGGGCCGTAGCTGTGCCCATCCCAATGAGCTAATGTAGAATGGTAATCGGTGTCATGCACGTGCATACCATTTGCGCAGCCAAACAAATACTAACTTGCAGAACCGCCTTGTCACTGGGGAGTTTATTTGCTCAACTGGCGCAACACCTTCGGGCGTGGGTTCCGCGCAGTTTGCGTCCAATCAGTAGGTTGAAGCTATGAGCCTTTGGGCCTTTGGCGTCTACCATGTTCTTACAGACCCCTACTGGAAGAGAGTACACGTCGAGCCACGCACAGCATTTTACATACCAGCACAGACGCATGAAACCTACCATGTCCTTACAGACCCCCTGGTAGCTCCTAGCTCCCAAATAGAAAGCAAATTTGGACATCTCCCCAGCTCCCGCGCCTTCGGAACCTGCGCTCAAGCCATAGTAGGCCTCGGAATCACCGGATTTCGGCCCAAGATTTGGTTCGGTCTTTTTTGAGTCGGTACCCGTTGTTTGGGCTTGAATTGTTTAAAGGGAACCGAAAGGAACACCACAAGATTTGATCTATTTTGGGGGGTGTCGTGGAGGCTAAGAAGACCAGCATGTACGGGGCCGCGATCGAAAACGCCCACTTGTTTTTGCTCCATTCCGTTGACCTTCAGCGAGCAAACGCCATGGCGGAATCCCCAGAAGTGGATGTGATCCGCGCCTCCGTGTACTGATTGAAACACGGCACCTGGCCGGGCCAGGCCGTCTTGGGAATTTCAAGCGATCAAATCGGTTTGCGTCTGACCGCGAAAAAAAATGCTGCGCAGCCTCCGGCCAGTAGTGCTCATCGGCCTTGTGGCCTGACAGCCCAATCGGGACAAAATCCGGGTTTCCTTTTTGGTGCATACATTGAAGGTTCCAAAAGCGGAACACAGTTTTGCCAGCTGAGTTTGGAGGTCTTGTTGGGTGCCCAAGTATTCCCCCTTGGTGCGACTCCTCAGACACAGCTTTTTGGAAAGCAAGCCCGAGTTCGGCGACTCGCAGCTTCACCATTCGAGCGACGACCCTGTCAGAACCATAGGCGTCACTCCCCTGTAAATACCAACAGACAATGGCTTCCCATGGTTTCATTTCGTGGTGCGAAATGGTTTTTTGGTCCATCCACCGTATGATCTCAACCATGAGCTTCTTTCAGGTATCCGGCCTCCGGACAAGAGGGCCCAGGCCTCCTCGTTCAACAGGCCTCGGCTGAGAAATCGATCGAGAATTCGCCGTCTTTTTTCAGGCTGCCAGGGGTGTTCGTGATTTTTTGGATTGGTTTCAAGGGAAGCCCAAGGGCACCCTGTTGAACCAGACTAAAGGGGCCCGGTCCTTTGGTTTAAGACACGGCCAAACCAAACAAACAAGACTCGTTTCGATCCCTCAGAAAGGGCCCTATTGGTGAAATCGGTCGCAAGCCCAAATCTTTGTCAGTGCCGCGCTTGCCGCGGCCCATGTGTATTGTTTTCCGTGGCCGGGACTGGGCGGCACGTGCGTCGCAGCCTCGAGGCGAGCCCCAGTACCCTCCCATCCAACATGGGAACCTGACGTTTCGGGCTCTTGCTTTGCACCATTTTCCTTTTCAAGGGACCAGAGGGTGGGTTCCATCTTGAACAGGAGCGTCCGACTTACCCCCCCCCGCAATGGAAGTGCACAGGCTTGTAGTTTAGAGGACAACAGTCTACATACAAGGGGTGTGATGCTGTGTAACCAAGTTCAGTTTTGCCTCAGGGCTGTTTGACCGTTTTTAGGCCTTAGGCGCCATTGCAGTGCATTCGGGTAGTTTTGGCACGCCTGGGAAAGCGACGGGCAATGGGCCTAGGGTGAGAATCAATGAATCTGCAAAAGTGGGCATCACTTCTTGTGCAAGCATCCCAAGCCAGCCTGGCTCGAAGCGGTCTCAGCATCCTTGCATCCGAAGTTTGTTCTGAGACCAAAATTGCCACTGCTCACAAGTTAGCCTCTTTCACAAATCCTCAAAACGTGCCAACGCGTTTTTCCTACGCCTTGGTTCGTGGGAAGCTGATAGAGTCTCCACACAAAACGCGCCAAGCGTGTTTCAACCTCTACGCGTTCGGTCATGAGAAGCTGATCATGACCGCCGCCCTGCTGCCCATACATTGATTGAGGGGGCACTTGCTTTCTCAGTTGCCCAAAGGACCTAGAACTATTAAAGGTCAACAGGTTGGAATTGAACAACTGAGCCTTTGCTCCAACTGCCCAAATTGACCCATCTCCTCCGCCGGGATCAAGCCCGATATTTTTTCTAGTTTTGAAGCTGCCAATTGTTTTTTATCAGCGACCAACAATATGCGTCTGCGTCAGGCAGTAAAAATAGTGCGCTAAAGAAATTGAGTTCTTCTTGCCGCACATATTTGTGACGCATTTCTGTGGCCACGTGTCCAACCAATTTGTGATCATTTCACCTCCTCAATGCGGAAGGAGAAAGTCCGAAAACCAGCAAAGTCGTTGTGGTTCCCACTTCGAACGTGGAACCCGTCCCCAATGCCGAACCGCGATTCCCGGCATTGGAATCCGCTGAAAAAGGAATTTGATTTGCACGAACGGCCGGTCCCATCGAGTAACCACAACCTCGCTCCTCATGAAGCTCCTCTGCGGTGCTCTCAGTGCCCTGGGAGTCATGGTCCTGACACGGGGTCACTACCACCCCCCCCTCCCCCTTCCGCTTTGTCTGCGGATGGAGAACATCCACCAACCAGGCACCAGTTTCCAATTGGTATGGGTGAACACCCCATACTCAAATGAACCACCTACCAACCGGTGCGAAGTGGATTCAGTCCGAAGTGGATTTTGTCCGCACTAGGGTCCCCTTAACCGATACATTTGGGCCAAATGGACACAGCCCAAAACATCAGTGTATACGGCTAGGGTGTGTCCATCTGGGATATATAGGACCTAGGCCCTCCGCCCGCTTGCCTGGACCCTTTGGGGCTTCAGAGGCTTCCGGGCAGGGTGGCATCGGGAATTTGAGGCAAGAGGTTTGGACAATCGGGTCTCAATTGAGCCATGGTCAAACCTCCGTTTCTTTTGCCTGCGGCCATGGTTCCTTAGGAATCATGAAAGCATTTTCGGGAAGGATCCTTACCAGGTAGATGACCATCCCTGCTCACCCCTAACGAAAGGAACCGGTCCTTTGACCCTGGCACATGTGACAAATTTTGCCCGTGGCAACCTGCAATGGAACGGGGTCCTTTCGGCCAGGTTTGGGCTCCCTACCGACCCACCTCCCCTACACTCAGGGGGGAGGCCGAAGAGAAGGAAGAGGACTAGGAGGAGGTAGATCCCCACATTCCATTTACTCACCCTTCCATGCAAAACAGAACATGTAACAATCATGAAATTCCCGGAGTCACCCTCCTCCTCCCCAGCCATGGAATCACGCAATTGAGCTCCATCCAACGATCTTTGCGAAACTTCGCCACGTAGGTATGACGATTGCTCAGGGGCATCCTGAAACAAAAACACCCATGTGGCGGTATTGTGGCGGTTTTGCGCAGGCGTGCCACCAGAAGCTGTTTCGCTCAGGCTCCTTAACCCCTACGCCCTCCTCACTGACGAAGTGCTTGCGTCAGTGGTTGGGCATCGGTCACCCGCCTCCTTGGAGAAGGCTGGGAAGGGCATTTGCGGCATCGAGAGCATGGCGTTCGTCCTCGGCGGCCAGGAAAACCAGTTGGGAAAACATTTGTTCAAACACAAACTCAAAAAATCCCGGGGGAAGCAGATGGAAGCAGACTCCTTTTGCCTCCCGTCAATCCGGCGTAAGGGTCCATTTCGTGCCCAACCCTGCGCACGGTTCCGATAGAGTATACATGAGTATACTATTTTAGACGTTTTGGTGCCTGCAAACACCTTGCGTGAGCCCACCAAGCCCACCCGTGGCTCCCAAGTCCAATGCGGGAAGGTCTCAGTTTCCGGCAATTGGAAGAAGCTCATGACATGTTGCGCACAGAGGGACACTTCCCAACGAAAAACAACAGCCAAAAACCTGAGTTGAACAGCACAAATCCCGGGATCAACGGCACAAAAAGAAACACGCCACTGGGAAACTTGGGGCCGACTAAGTTGAACAGCACAGGTCACGGGACCCCGCAAGCCGCAAACAAATCTCCCGAAGGGTTCTTGACGAGGCAATAGCTCATTCTCGGGCGAAAGCCCCCCAGAAATTGTCATGCATCCTCCGGCAAACCGCAACGACCCATGTTCCAAGGGTCGACAAGTTTTGCCACGTTACAAAGCGGCAAGCTTCGCTTTTGGCTAGGGCCCTTTAAATTGAAAACCATGCCCACCAACAATATTTGCACAAGCACGGCCGTGGTCTTGTAAAGCATGCGAATGGCCAAACCAGGATTCTGCTTCTGCCTCATGAATCTTGTGGCCACGCCTGACATGAGATATTGTTTCCAAACTTTCAGGCGAGCCCATCGGGGTTGAACGAGCTCACCCATGAAGGCCGTTGCGTGGGGCCTTCATGGTGATCTGCAACCCGAAGTTTTGATCCCCATTCTGGTGAGCCCCTCTCAGCCAAGTTGACCCCACTCTCCCGGGCGCCCGGCATAAAATTGGCGCCAAAGGCTTCCATGGCAGCCTTCGTTGCCAAGTTTCGTTTGTGCCGACACTGTTTTTTGTTGTTTCGCGCTGAAACCATGTTTCCTCTCTCAAGACATATGGTTCGGGACAGGGGTCGGCATCCTACTTGTGCTCCACATGCCCTTGCGGTTGTTCATGCTTGAACATCTCTATTCATATAGATATCTTTTGGTGGTTCCCCTTTAAAGGAAACCGGCGGTTGGTTATTTAGGTAATTTCATCATGCCCAACCTTGGTAACGGTTGTCGGGATCTTCGGGATTGGCAACGCCAGTGCCATTTCAAGTTGCAAAGCCCGCACTTTTTTCATGTCGCTGGCACGTGGAAGTCCGCATTCAACCTGCCAGCATTCCGGAAGATCCTGGCAATATCCTCTGGGGTGATCTTGGGATTGTCCCTCCCATGCCTGAGTTGGTCGTCGATCCTCTGCAAAAACACACTGATAACCCTGTTTCTCTCTGCTGGTGAGTGGTTGGAAACGTCTGTGTCACAAGGTCAACCCAAAGTCTTAAATTCTTTGGGCCCTTTGCGTGGATAGATGCTTGCCGGCTGCAAGGGAAATCACACATCCAAAACGGGTAAAAGGGCTTTACAGCTAGGTAACCACGCTGAAATTCAAACTTGGACATCGCAAAGGGAAACAAAAAGGGCTTTAAAACAAGGTGAGTTCATGCAAACCGCGGTGCAAGCCCACGATCGCGGGCTTGCAGCCACACTGCTCCAGGCCGGACACGAAGCTCTGGGAGAACTTCCACCAGTCCGACTTGGAGGGCGCCACCCCGTCGAACCTGGACCGGGGGCGGGGGGGCTCTCAGTCACCTGAGCCTCGGTGATCGTCTAAGGGCATGTCCTTGGCTTCGGGGAGTGCCCCCTCCCCAAAAGAAGCCTAGGAAGACCCCTGGTGCAACAAGAAAAGGACAACTGACGCAAATGATGACGGCTGATACAAGGTGCAAACTTGTTTCGATGGAATGGACCCGGGGAGTGGGAGAAATGAGTGCAGGACTTGGACCTGGGAATCCTGGGAATCCTGGTGTCTGTCCATTTCTGTCTTGAGGCCGTGCTTGGGCAATTCCCAAGGCGGGTGAAGATCGTGAATTCCCAAGCCAGAAATATAGGGTAAAACCTGCTAAAGGACCTGCACGGGCGAGCTCATTTACCCCAGGTGAGCTCATAATTTGCGACCTGCTTCCGAATGAACGAAAGCTGCGAAACAATGTAAACATTATTGCGGAAAAAAACAACATAAATCAACATAAAGCAAAACATAAAAAGCAAAACCAAACCAGCACCCCCCAAGCCGCCTGCCTTTTCATATGTCCAACAAATCCTCTTGGTACTTTCCCCACTGAAAAGGCACCCTCATTGGGGAAAGTAGTTCTTGGGACCCAGGTGGTACAAAGTCTTACAAAATCCGCCTGGTACTGTCCAAAAAGCAGTTCTTGGAAGGGGGGTGGGGTGGGCTGGTAGGCGTCTTGTCAGGGTTCCATTGTTTGACAAGCCCAAAGTAGACTTAAACCCTGTGCTTGATTCCCTCAAAAGGGAAGCCCTGGGTTTAAGTCCACCTTGGGGGTTGTCCTAAAAAACGGACCCCTTGCTTTCTTCCCGTGTTTTTTGCTTCCGCTTTTCCGATCCCGGGCGCATGGACCGCTTCCGGAAGTTGTCGCTCTCGAAGGCCAAGCGCTGCAAGTCCGGCGGCGGAGTGGGCGCCGGAGCCTTGCCGACGTCCCGGAAGGCCATGACCATCCAGTCCTCGCCTCGGCGAAAGACGCGGACGCTCGACACTTCGGGAGGTACAAGTCAGCGTCCCTCGCTATTGGGTGGCTTGGATTGGTTTCCCATTCTACAAACACCAACAAATCTGCGGGAGGTAATGTTTCAGCTTCTTTGGCATTTTTGGTGGCTTGGTTGCTCAGTGGTTTGGTGGTGTCCTGGAGCGGCTTCACCAGAAAAACCAATGGTTGTGAAAACTATGGATCTGCAGTAGGTACAAGTCAGCTTCCCTCGCTTGTTGGTGGTTTGGAGCCAGGTGGTTTGGTGGTGAAAGGGGTGCTTTCCCCTTTACCCTCTACAAACACCAAAGGAGCGGTTACAAGTCAGCTTCCCTCCAAATGGGTGGTTTGGAGCTTGGTGGTTTGGTGTTCTGGGGTGGTTTCCCATTTACCCTCTACAAACACCAAGAGATCTGTTGACCCTAACTTTGTTCAACCCAGTTTATTCATAGGGGCGGGGGCCCCTCCAAAAGTGGTCTGATTTCCCAATAAACCCAGGGACACCCCTATTGAATAAACTAGGGTTGAATAATAATATGGGGTCAACATTACAAGCACACAATCCAGCAACATAAATGCACGTCACCTGGTATGGCGGGACCATTTGAGGTACAAACACAGCTTGACAGTTTGAGAATGGGCAAACACACCTTTCCACGGGTGGCGGAACCGTGGTTCCCCTCCATTGCGACTTGTAAAAAAGAAGGCCAACGTCAGCTGAATTTGGGCGTTCTTGCGAGCAGTGCCACGGGGTGCCAGAAGAGGGGATATGACAGGTGGCCGGGCCGATCCTATGGCTGAATCTTTCCGTAAAAACAAGCCATCCGTCCGTTGTTCTGGAAGCGCGAGCGGGTTTGGAAGAACAGGGGTTGCGTGTTCTTACATTATCCATCTGAGTTCGGATTCAGCTTCTCCTGCGGAAGAGGCAACGCTTCAAATACGAGATGGGGGAGACGCACGAAGAAAAACATATGTATATCGGAGAGCTGGCGTCGTACATTGCAAGCGGGCCGCTCTGCAGCAAGAACTCCCGCACTGACACCGCGGTACAGTTGTGGTACGCACCCTTGGCGAGATGCCAAATGTACCTTTGCCGTTCAGAACGATCTCTTGCCAATAAAATCGGGTGACCCTCAGGTGGTTCTGGCGAATTGGTTCTGGGATGCTAAAAACATGATGGTTCTTTGGTGCAAGCTGAAAGCCGTTTACAAAACCCCGAACGTGTGCCCAAACAAGTCTCCTGGCTGATCCAAGGTACTGGGGCGCTCCCGGCTTCAGGACGTTGTCCGCTAAAACCACCGCATGGTCAGAGAGCAAGTCAAGCTCCTCCATGAGTGCCAGGTCGCTGTGGAAACGGGTGCCTTTCTGGTCCATGAAAACCATATCTACAGATTTGGGCCCATACTTCTGTAACAAATGCGGGATGCTGTCGAAGGAGTAGCCCGTCCAAACGTCCACCACCTCCGACAGCCCGGCATATTCCAGCATATTTCGGACCAGCGTGACGTGCAGAGGGTCAACTTCCAGACTGGCGACCCTGCCCCCAAACTGACGCACGGTGCGTGCAAGGTTCATGGCCGAATAGCCCACGTACGCGCCGATCTCCTTAGGCTTCGACTGCTGAAAGGTTTAAACCACTCTTTGCTGGCCATTGGGCTGCGGGCTGTTGGGCTGTTGATGGTTTTGTTGGGCTGTTGCTTTTGCTGGGCTGTTGGGCTGTTGTGTTGTCCAAAAGGGTACCCAGTTTCCAAGAATCATGGAAGTGCACAGGAACTTCAATGGAACTGTCTTAGATTACCCTCCAATTGTCAGCTCGCATGATTGCTGGAAAGAAGGTGGCCAACAAAACGGGCGACGGTCCTAGATTTGCCAGTAACATGGCTGTAGAAAATTGCTTTCTGCGTGTTTCTGCGACAATTGCCACCATGTTGTCCTCAACATGCTTGACATTCTTAAAGGGGATCGCTTTTGGTACAGAAAGTGGCCCCGAAAACCGATCCACTTTTTGTGGGTAAACTTAGAGGCCTACGGGACACAAAAATGACCAGGCTCACCTTTGGGGACTGCCAGGACAAACAAAAGGTCAATCCCCAAAAGATTAAAAGGGAAACCCCTGAGCAATGTTGACCCCCCCCCAAAAAAAAAAAAAAAAGAAAACTAGAGGATCCCCAAGTGTTTCCCTTCATGCGCCCTTCCAGCCGCGAAGACACCTTTTTACATCGGCGCACGATGGCTCTGTGCAACTTGGCTCTGTGAAACGTGGCTCTGCGCAAGCTACTTTTCGAGTGGCTCTGTGCATCTGGCTCTGCGCAAGTCTGCTCAGCGCAATGCGCTTTGCGCAATTTGCGCTGCACGATTTCTCACGCAAGTGGTCTGCGCAAGCTGCATTGTTCAAAACTGTCACGCGCAAGTTGCTCTCTGCAAGCTGCTGCGCGCAAATGGCTGGACATCTCTTCAAACTGTTCTGCGCACGTTGCTCTGTGCAAGTTTCATTCCGCAAGATGCTCAGCGCTTGTGTCTGTGCACAAGATGCTCAGCCTGCGCTGCGCACACACCCGCGCTACGTGTGTACTTAAAATTTACAAAATTCCAGCTGGAGCTGCGGAGGCGCTCCCCGTGCTACGTTTGTACTTAAGGGTTGCGATTTTCCAGCCTTAGCTGCGGGAGCACGCTCCGCGTACTACGTCTGTACTTAAAAACTGCGATTTTCCAGCTGGAGCTGCAGCAGCCTCTGTACTTAAAAAGTTGCGATTTTCCAGCCGGAGCTGCGGGAGCACGCTCCGCGTACTACGTTTGTACTTAAAAGCTGTGATTTTCGAGCTGCAGCTGCCGCGGACCAGGGGGGAATCGAACCCGCGATCGCGGGATTGCGAAAGGAGGCGCGCAAACCACTGAGACAACTTCCAAAGGCCGTTTTGCGAGCAAGGCGCCACAGCGAGAGCGCTTTGACACGCACGATCTCCGCAGAGGGTTTGCCGAGACTAAGAAGAATTCGCACGGCGCCACAGCGAGCGTGGTCGAGGTCAAAAAACTGAGGGCTTTTTACGATATCTGCGGTGCGCGCGCGACCCTCTGCGGAGATTCGCGTGGTCGAGGTTGAAAAACTGAGGACTTGTTGTGATTTCTGCGGTGCGCGCGCGACCCTCTGCGGAGATTCGCGTGGTCGAGGTTGAAAAACTGCAGACTTTTTCACGATTTCTGCGGTCCGCGCGCGACCCTCTGCGGAGATTCGCGTGGTCGAGGTTGAAAAACTGCGGACTTTTTACGATTTCTGCGGTCCGCGCGCGACCCTCTGCGGAGATCGTGCGTGTCGAAGCGCTCGAATGTCCGCAGAGGGTCGCAATCCCGAGCGATGATCAAACTCCCGCCCCGGCGCCTTAGAAACCTAAACTAACTTACATAGCTGCTTACGCCGAAGCTCTACGCAAGCTCTACCTAACCCTGGCTCTGTGCCACTTGGCTCTGTGCCACTTGGCTCTATGTAACTTGGCTCTGTGCCACTTGGCTCTGTGCCACTTGGCTCTGTGCCACTTGGCTCTATGCCACTTGGCTCTATGCAACTTGGCTCTGTGTAACTTGGCTCTATGTAACTTGGCTCTATGTAACTTGGCTCTATGTAACTTGGCTCTATGTAACTTGGCTCTATGTAACTTGGCTCTATGTAACTTGGCTCTATGTAACTTGTTCAAGGGCTCCGCACGGAAGAACCCTTCGCGATGCTTTCGGGAAAAAACACTAAAAAAACAAACTTGTTGATTAACAGGGGGGTGTCCCCTTGTTGTGGGGAGTCGAAACTTGTTCTCCGCGAAAAGTGCAGGGTCCAGGCACTTGGGGAGTGAGATTTTGAACAACGGAGAAGATCAGGGGTCACAGACTTTCCCAGCGACAAAGTCGATCAATTTACTGGTGGTGTCCAATGAAAGATCGCCACTGTTGAAGGCTCCAAACAGAGGAAAGGCTCGGCACCCCTGCCACAACAGGTCAACTGACAAACCCGAACAGACGTGGTAATTCTCCTTTTTTGGCATTTCGTAGGTTCTCATTGGACGGTTTCAGCTCACATCGCCAAGTCTCAACCGCCAGGCGGGGCCGCTGAAGGCGCGCCACCTCCTGCACCACGATGCCCTTCTCCCAAGCGGTGATCTTCAGCCACAGCGACCGGCTCTCCGCGAACCTCTTAGGCTTCGGGTGGCACATGTCTCTTGAGTTGGTGCGCTTTGGGTTTAAGGATTTTGGGGGATTCACTGTGAGGGGGGGGGTATGTGATAAATACCTCGAACTGTCTGAAGGCCTAAGGGTATGGCTGGCAATTGCCGAGCTGTATAATCGTAACGGGTTGCTTAACATCTGGGTGCCCCAAAGGTCAAAACTCCTGCTTTGCGACCACGATTGAGGCAATCATGGAGACCACGCCAGGAACATAAACACACCAAACGATGAAGGATCGCCTTTAACAAATATGGGTCTGTCTTTTGACAACAGCCCTTGTTTGGTGTTTTTAAAGGGACACCAGTACAAAAAAGTAAAATAAGGGTACCCTTTGTTCCGTAGTCTATTTTTGTAGGGAAAATGGGTAAAAGGGCACTACTGGGGACCTAGCCAAACAAAAGGCACCCCAATATGACACGCTCGCCTTTCCACTGCTGCCATGCAGGCGTCCGGATCTCCAGGCGGTGCCCCACAGAGCACGGCGTGCAGCGTCATGAACTCCCGCGTGTAGGCGTGGGCGCCCTCGTTCTGGCGTGTGGCGGCCATGGGGTGGATCCCGCTGGTCACCGGCGCCTGCCAAAAACAAGCTATTTGGGTGTCTTCAACTAGACACGCAAGTGTTATTCCTTTGGTTTCCCCAAGAAACCAACCCCCCGAAAAAGGCACCCTCAACAAAAGACAGACCCATTTGTCAGAAACCGGAATTCGTGAACCAAGGTCCAATCCATCTGTCTAGTCGGCGACTTGAAGTGAAACAGCGCCAAATGCTTTTCAGCGCAAGTCGAACTCGAGGGTTTGACTAGCTCGCTTCACCCCGGGGGAGCCCAAAAGCATTGATATGTTGCGAACGTATGCCATCCTCTCCCAGTTCCATTTGTAAAGCCTTCCCCGCAAAAGGAATCCCACGCGGACTGGGCTGGAACAAGTAGGGTCGTTCTATGGCATCCCCCTTCGGCACAAGTTGGCGCCGGGTCCAGAAAGGCACCGGCCGCCCTTGGCATCTCCGCCTGCCACTCCGCAAACTCGTCGTTGCTGGCCAGGAGCTCAGAAGCCTCCTGCAAGAGGCCGCACTCTTCCCCCAGACGGGCGGCCAGAAGCGAGGAGACCACCGTCCAATGCGAGCTCGCTCGCAGCTCCTGGGAAGAGCAACCCAACTGAAACGTCGCGTTATGGTCATCCCGCTATGGCCTTTGGACCTGGGCAAAATACACAAAAACGGGAGTAACCAATCCCCGTGAGGACCCACGGCTCTCTCACCCCAAAGAAAGGCTGGCCGTAAAGTAGGCAGCACCATGCACAAATCTAGGACGCTCGCAAAAGAAGTAAGGTCGCGCAAATAGTTTGTCACAATTTCTGGGTATCTCTGGCCTTTGCTTCACCTGCAAAATTGAACACGTGTCCAAGACATGTGTCATTCAGATTGTGGCTTGGATGCTGACAACTAGGACACACCCCCCATTTTGCGAAGGCCTTCCAAGCCACCCAGCTCCGCCGCTCCGCCAACCACACTCGTGTCAAAAAGCAGTGGACCACTGCAACTGGGTGATCCTCCAGATTGGATGTTCAACATGCTGAGTAGGCTACCAAATCAATTGGACAAACCAGCCGCAACCAGCCTGATTGACACATCGCACGTCACAGAACCAGGATAGTCAGATAGTCAGCGATTGTGTAACTCACAATACTATTGGCACCACGACTTCACCAATCGAAATCTATGTAAGGAATAGAAGAACCTGGCTTCGGCACATTCCGCTTGGTAAGCTTAGAAACTAACCCTACCCACCAATGATACTCTCAGACCTGTGGATGCCCATGACCAAAAACGGGCCGCAACTTGTTCTTGCTGAATTGACAGGGCGACCCATAAAATCCCCAAAGGGGGTTCTGCGAGGAGGTCTGGCCGCAAAGAGCCCTGCACAAACACCAACAAAGTGCAGGGCTCACGCCCGCGGAAAGATGTGCGGCGGTAAGGATTCCAACAAGGCGTCACAGAAAAACACCACTACAACCCTCCCCCAGGCCATGGAAGCTCCCAGCTGGAAAAAATATAGACTTGCTGGTGCTCAGTAGGGAATGACCCAGGCTGGGAATGAACCGTTTGAAATCCCCCAGAAAACCATATATAGGGGATGTTTTTTTGGGGTCATTCCAACTCATCCTCCAAAAAAGGTAAAAGGGCACTACCTGGGGACCTAGATGATTGCTGGAAAGAGGATAATCTGCAGGGCGGGCCGCGGAATTCCTGCAGCACGGCGAAGGCTTGGCGCGCAAACCCACGCTGCCACAAGCGCACGGCTAATGAGTTGGCCACCGCCGCGCGCATGCGCCCGTCTTTGGCCTGTCGTGGGGAGGCTATTTTGGTGGTTGTAACAATGTAACCGAATTCTCCTTAGCATTTTGAAGGCCATTTAGCGGTACTATGGAACAACAAACAGCTCCTTGGCCTGGCATGTTGGAGGCTGCTTCGAGTCAGGCCAACATGCACCCGGCAATTTGGAGGCACTCTTTAGTGGAAATCATCCCTGAGCGGTTTGATCTTGTTGCCCATTTGCCCAGTCACGGCAGGAAGAAGTGACCCTTTTGGAATTTACTTGGAGAACCAGCCAAACAAGGGGCAGCACCAAACTGGGTTTGTCCACATGTTTAACATTCCGCAAGTTGAAACTTGTGCTTGGCCCAAAGACGATGCTGAATTCACCGTGGAGAAGAGGAAAAGGAACCCGTCTTTGCACGGAAAGTCTGGAAAACCACTAAGTGAGGCGGATCAGTTCGGAGGCCCTTGAGTTTCCACATTGGCTCGACCCTGGGATGGTCTGAACAGGATTTCTAAACAGCCGGGGAAGAAATGGCTGCGGGTCAACAATCGGTACCCACAATGGAACCCTGGCACGTGGAAACATGGACTAACACTTGCGGTCGCCTGGTGGTTGAATTTTGACCCATACTCTTCTATGTGGAAGGGCCGCTGTTTGACTCTTTGGAAACCCACTTACCTCAAAACATGTTGCGACCCAATTGTTTGTCCAAAGCAACTGTCCAGACATGACGCCTTGAGAGAAACACGCGTGCGCCTGGGTGAGCTTGAGAAGAAGCAACCACTCCTCCCTACAGGTTCTTCTTCTTGCGCTGGGTGTTGCAGCAGGGGCTCTGGGAAAATCGACAAGTATCCAGCCCTTGCAGTTTTCTCGGCATGTTGAGGGAGGCACGTCTTAGAGGGCCCGCCAACACCGTGGCTTTCTCTCATTGGCTTCCGTTTTGCCAGCGTCCTAAGGGTGCCTCAGGTTGTGGCCCACCCACAAACACCATGCTGACTCTCCCAGTACCTTCAAACAAACAACTCCCCCAAATCCATTGTCAGAGGAAGCTGACCTGACAGCAGGGGGATTTAAATTGCCAGCCCAAAGAGGGAGGGCACCCCCGATACCCGGCCCTCTTGAGAAACCGGCCCTCATAGGATTTAAACATCCCATAAGAACGTTGAGCTTCCTGGGGCGTTCGGGAAAAATATGGGGAACCCTGAAAACTTCCATTTGCTTAAGCCTCCTGAAGAAAAAAACAACGGGGGGGGGAAACAATTCCAGTAGTGATAGATTCCCTTGAAAGGATTAAACGCAAGCAAAGAATGGAAGAAACTGGGTTGGGATGTGGGGTAAGCGAAAAATAAAATAAAATAACAAGTTGTGATAGATTCCCTTTACAAGCAAGCATGGAAGAAAATGGGTTGGGATTTGGGGTCCTAAGCCACCCCTCCTTTGGAAACATCCTTCTTCCGGCCTCCTCTGCCATGGCTTGCAGCGTGCGCAGCTCCCGGTCCGCATCCGCGCCCTGGCCGGCCACTTGGCGGGAAGCCATGTTCAAGAATGCCCACGTGTCTGCAAAAAGATGAAAACATATGTTTGTCTCATTTGAAAAAATGCGAAACTATAGGTTATCGTTTCCAAACTCAAGTTTAACTGGCTGGCTTGGTTGAGTTGGCCATCATGTTGCCATTTAAGCAAGGATCGGGGAAACCATGCTCTGGAAATCTGGAAACTGGCAAAATCATGGGCCCAGTTTACGATGCCTTAGTTTGTCGCATGTGGGCGATCAAAATTCAGGAGTCCATTTAGGTCCCCTTACGCTCCTCGGGCTGGCAAGCAGAATGACAACCCCACCAAGAGACTCCGGGGACGAAGCCCTTGTGTCGGGCATTGGCCTTGGGGAAATGAGCTGAGCACGCGGCCTGCTTCCGACAAGGGTGACATGTCCAATGGCTTGCATGATTCAAGTCGCAGTTCAAAAGAAACGATTTGAGGGAGGCGCCCAACCGAAGCCGCGGTCGGGGGGGGCCAAGCCAATGGCTAGCTTTTGATAGGTGAAATGGAAACCCCACTAAGGGATGGCTGGGATTCACCAAGAGCTTGGTTCAGAAACTTCCACTCTGAGTTGGAATCCGAATGTCCAAAGCGACAGGCTTAAGAGCCACTGCGGGATCTATGGGTGCGCTTCCAACCTGACCAAAAGAAATGCCAGGTCCACCTTGTGGGACCTAAACAGGGTTGCCAAAAAGGGAAATGCGAAAGACCAGGTGGGTCTGTCTCAAAATTGGGGGGATCCCAAGGTAGAGCTTTTCGACTTTGCTTCCCCAAGACTTCGCCCGATTACAACAAAGCTCCTCTTCAAAAACCAACAAACATCACTGGATTTCCCCCTTGAAAAGCGGTGTTTTACGGGTGGTCTCTTGAAACGATCGCCACTTTTGGAGCTTCCAACATGGGAAATGGACACCTGCACGAAATCCGTTCGCACCGCCTAAGAAACCATGGTTGAAACTATTACTTGTTGGTGTTTACAGGGGAATCATCATTCCAGGGTTTCTTAGGTGGTGCAGGATTGCGTCCATCCACAGTAAGCCGACCCCATACGAATGAATCAACCAGTTTATTAAGATTCTTCCACCCTCCAAAAGTGGTCTGATTCCCCCTTTTCACCCAGAAACACCCCCCCCCATTGATAAACTGGGGTTGGTTGTCAACACCCCTCCGCCCGTCCCTTTCGCCTGCTCCGCGGCCATCACCGCGGCGGAGTACCCGGAGGCCCCGAAGCCAAGGCCGGCCGCGCGGGTGGCTCGCAGCAGGTCGTCCAGGCGCTCTAAGCGCTGGGTGCGGAAACCTGTCAGCTTGTGGCTGAAGTTAGGACCCCAGCAACAAAACACTTTTTGGCCTGGTTAGAGGAAAGCAAAGGGGACCCCAAAAAAGTAAAAAACTAAGAAGGGGAACTAATTCTGGGGAAGTCAGCTTCAAACAGGGCTGTGATTGACGTGGAACCGTGCTTGGTTGGACAAAACCGTGGTTGTGGGGTGTTTGGTTCACTTCCGTGATGCAACCAAAACGGTCTCCCAAAGACTAAACCTCCTTGATCCAAACAAAACCTGGCTTCCAAGGGCTCAAAACTTGGAATGAACCCAGGCTTTGGTCCCCGAAGACAGGAAACCAGTTGGATGGCTTTTCGGGGTCATTCCATTTCTCGTTCCATGAGCACCAGCAAGTTTTGGAACCCGGTTTGGAGTGGAGGTGGGGTGCGGTTTCGAGGCGTGGAGGTTGGGTGGTTCCCTTTTGGTTTGAAGCCCGGCTTGGAGGGCTGGAGGTTGGGTGGTTTTCCCAGTTACCTGAGGCTCAAGAACCAGAACTTCAATGCTTGAATCACCAATCCAAACCATCAATCAGGGTCAACCTGAGCTTGGGTCAACCTGAGCTTGGCCGCCACTTGTCTAACAAGGAACAACTAGTGTTCCTCGGATTGGTTGGGATTGGTTTGGTGGTTGGGCGTGGCTTCCCACAACAACTCCTTGCCTCTGACCGCACCTTTTTGGGGAGTACTGGGAAATTCGGCCCTCGACAAATCCCAGGACCACGTAATGCGCATCCGATTGGGTTGGCTTGGTGGTTGGGGGCTTCCCATATTTCCGCAGGAACCAGGCCAATGCAAACCACAAGCTAGGGATTGCCTGAAACATCCACATCCTGAAACTAGGACGGACCAGGGGGCTTTGAAGAAAGACCTGCTCCCTCCAACTCGTGGCGTTCCTTGGCAACTTTTTTCCTAGGAAAAGTTGCCAGCGAAAACATGGATCCTTACATGAAAAACACCTGAACATTGCCTTGTCAATGGTGGTCTCCCTTTATTTTGGTGGAAACAAAAGCAACATGTTTCAAATGGTCGCAAAATGTATCTTTTAAGGAGCCCTGGGAAACAAAAGAAGAAAAAACAAAAAAAACACCATTTAGCACCCAGAAGCAGGCGAGGGCCACCATGGACAGGGCGCGGCTGCCCAGGCTGCTGCACACCTGCCGTCGCGAAGCCCCAGTGGCCCAGTGAATCCGAGGTGGAGATGAAAGGTTTTCCCGCTTCTGGTGTCCCATTTTAATCGGGAACCCACGAACCAAGGGATCGTAAAGGATCAACATGGCAAAGTGGCAAAGAACAAAATTGGGACTAGGCTGTTTTAGGTTGGCTCCCTTTCTGCTTCGCCTTGAAACTGCCAACAGGAGGTTCGAAAAAGAGACACCCAAGTGAGAGATGAGTGGAAACAAGTGGTTCGAAGGTCGCCGCGATTGGCCAGCAAGCGACCTGACTTTGCAGCCTGAGGCACTTGAGCATGGCTCTAAGAACACCCCTTTTCAAACAACAACCTGTAGGTGAGCTATCCAACATGCTGGAGCGCTGTCACCTTTGCAAGCTGGATGGTCCCCTCCCCCAAAACCATCCCAAGCCCCATACGTTGCAAGCATAGAGTCTCACCCCCACCCCTTGAGTCTAAGAGCAACCGCCTTCTTCCTGCTTTTGCCGGGCCTGGTGCTCCCCCAACAAAAGCAACACGGCGCCAGGCATCCATGTCACTCCCTCCCCACTCCCCACGTCTCCGCCCCGTCCGTTGCCTCCGGGCTGCAGGCACGCGCAAGGGCAAGGTCCAGCAACCTGCACAGTGCCCCCGGCCTTCTAAACCTACAGCTGGGCCATCGAGCCTATGAGATCAAAGCAGCTGGGTCCAACATAGGGTGGTTTCCCTTGGGGGCCGAGTTGCTTTGCTTTTGTTTTGTCAATAAACCGGGAACGTCACAGGGAATGCCTTCAAGAGGAGCACTAAACCAGGACCCCCCCAACATCAGGTTCAAAGCTGATTGAGGGGGAAGAGTCATGCAGAAGGATGATTTTTGTGACCAAACCCCACCAGAACATGACATTTCAATTTAGACAGCTATGTACCATTGAAGGGGAAGTTACAATGTGGGGTACCATGGAACCAAACTTCATCTGTCTTCTGCGGAGCGTAAGAATGAATTTGCATCGCAAAACCTTGGCAACAGCGCTGAGCATGCACGATGGAACCCAGCTCAACAGTGCCAAGCAGCAGCAACACAGTGAGTTGGTAGATGGCCACCTGTATCTTATTCGGAAGGTATGCCCCATGGGGAGGAAATGCGAAACCTCAATTCAAACCTATGCTTAGCCACAAAACGGAATCTACTCTCACCATGGAGTAGGCCTTGCTGCCAAGTGGGGCTGGACACAAGCCATCAATTGGCTTTCCTTCAGGCACAATGTGCAATTTGCCAGCCAGACCAAGCTTGGCCAAACTGATCCCGTGCAAAAACTTGAAACCTGGACTCGCCCAAAGGACATGGAACTAGAAGGCAACCTTTTCGGGCCACGACTGTATATGGACCACCAAAAGGTCAAAAGGTCGCCTGTAAGCAACTGAGCAAAGGGGAAAGCGGCAGTTCACTCTAAAGTCATTTTGGCTCCTCCATGATCTTGTAATTAATAGGGGGTGCCTCCAAACTTATCCAAACCTTTCTTAAACGCACCTTGGGTTCCCTAGAGAGAGAGAGAGAGAGAGAGAGAGAGAGAGAGAGAGAGAGAGAGAGAGAGAGAGAGAGAGAGAGAGAGAGAGAGAGAGAGAGAGAGAGAGAGAGAGAGAGAGAGAGAGAGAGAGAGAGAGAGAGAGAGAGAGAGAGAGAGAGAGACAGAGACAGAGACAGAGGGAGAGAGAGAGAGAGAGAGAGATAGAAAGAAACGTTTACCCAAACCGGGCAGCCTCCTTGAGAGGTTTCCCGCTAGGGATCCTGCCTGGAACTGGCTCCACAACTGTCATTGCCAGCCAAAACAGCTAGACCAGTGTTACCGAAAATCGGGCCTCACGCAACAACAATGGGCGGCCCCTCTTGAACGAAGAGCTCTGATGCCGGAACGTCATGCGCTGAGATGGAGCGATCAAGAAGCTTAACCACATGGCGGTACGTAAGGCCAGGGTCAATTCTCCATCCCAAGAAAAGCGTTGGCGCCAGATTGGACTCTAGAGTACGTTTACCCTGAGACCTTGAACGATACCACACAAGTTGTCTGAAGCAACATCGTGTACCTTGAAACTTTTCTGCCGTGAGGGCTTCCCGTTCTGTCTTCCCAGCCCTGAAATGTGGAGGGCGATTAAAGAACATGGAACGAACGGCATGCAAAGGGGCGCAGGCCTCATGTGCAACCTCCACTTCCACCTCAACCTCGCCCTCCGGCTCCAGAACCAGCTGCCCATCTGGGCCCTTCAAGGGTTCCGCGCCCTCCTCCTCCTGCTCTGGCAAACCAACGACCTCCTCCACTCCCCATTGGACTGGGCTCATACTTCCAGCCCTCCGTTGACTCTCCGTTGCAACCATGGTGGGCAGAGGCACTGCCGTTGCGCGTGGCTAGCAAGGTAGTGGCACCTCCTCTGGAAAGGAGGCGAGGTAACGAGGTAGGGGGTCTTCATCAGGAGCCTCCAGCTCCACCCCATGACCGCCACAATCGCCGCAAAGAAGCGAAGCGATGCATTGATGCGCGCATCGTGCAACACCTTCGGCTTGCATCTCTTGATTGTTTGTGGAGGCGCTTTTTCACGAGGATCCGACACGAACTGCTTATCACAAATTTGTCGATGGATTGCGCCGGAGAGCAATCATGGGGGACGTGCATTTGTTCGTCATCAGGAATACTGCGACTGTCCTCAAACCCCAACGAGGCGCTGCCCTGTTGGGTTCAATCTCCAGCCGCTGGGTCCCCTAATGGGCGTTGGGCGCGCTGTGAGCATGACGACTGACACCTTGACAAATTTCTCAGGTCTTGGAAGGAAGCCGACTGACCGCAATCGCTTCACACTCGGACAGCATCCAGCACATAGCCTTGCTCTCAAAATGCACTCCTCGGCAGGCCGGTACAACGAGGAGCGCCAGCAGGACGCGGACAGGGTCCGCTGCCCACCCGGGCAGGACCCAGCTGCCTCAATGGATCCCTGCGGGGCCGTTAGCAAGTGTTGAAGAGCTTCGAGCGTGCGGCTGCTAGCGAATCGAGCACAAACGCTTGAGCCAAAATGTTTCCCCCTTGCACTGGGGCAAAGGTTTGCAACATAGAGTGCGAAACACTGAGGCGCTATTGCTCAAACAAACGTCTCCTTTTGGTACCCTCTCATCGACGAACACGCAAAGGAGGTTCGAAACAAATATGGGTTCAGTCCCATGTCTAGTCCCATGTTTAGTAGCACCGGAACTGGCCTCCCCTGAATAACAACCCTTAGACATGAAATGAGAACGTCGCCCGGGAAGAAAGCAGCCCCCACTAAAAACAAGGAACCGAGAACCCTGATTTGTGATCAGCTGGTTCCGAAATCCCTTCTGCATTCTGGATGTCTCTAACCGCCCTTTCTGGCTGTAAACCAACAGGAAGCAGCATTTCTTTGTCTTTTGCATTTTTTTGGGGCAGGGGGGTCCCTACCCCAGAAAAAAAGGACGCGCCCGGCCCCGAAACCGCCTGCCACTTTGCAGCTGAAGCGTGGCCACCGCCCAGGCGGCGATGGCCAAGTTCCCCCCGTCGAAGCGCTGGATGCGCTCGGCCGCCGCCTGCAGCGAAGGCGCGAAGGTGCGAAGGCGCGAAGGTGCGAAGGCGCGAAGTGAGGGGCGACCCCCGGGATCGCTCGAGGGCGGTGAGGATTCTTCTGATGGTCGCGACATCCATTTGCTTCTCGCACCGTTCGGAAACTCAAGGGTTTCTGACAGGATCCCCCGTAAATACCCGCAAGCGATGGATTCCCCTGGTTTCAAATTGGTGCGAAAAGGAGTTCGCAACCATTCGCAGTAGTGTAAATAGCTTGGTGGCTTAAAGTTCAGCATCTTGAAATCAGTTTAGCCCTGTCAATGTTAAACCCACCTGGGATACCAGTTGGTTGGCTGCAAAAAAATACGGGGTGTTCCTTCAAATTTCCACGCAGTTGTTTCGCATGCGATAGATTCAGGATTGAAACTGAATGGGAATGAATGGGAACACGACGCCGGGAGGCCGGCACCGAATTTACTGCCAGGAAACTTCCGGAGTTCAGCTGGCCCTTTAAGATGCAAGCTCGGTTCAATACTGTGTGGACGCAATCCTGCACCACCTAACAAACCCTGGAATGATGATTCCTGTAAACACCAACGAGCAATGGTTTCTGGTTTCAAAGTGGTGCAGGACCTTGTCCAAGGACGTCTGAGCTTGGGCCACTATGGTTCAAACAATCTCTTGGTTTCTTCAAACATGGCCCGCACCTGGGGTGCACGGAGAAGACATGTGCAGAATCTGCTTCTTCATGAAATAGCCTACCCCATACCCTGAAATGTAACATCGCTTTGGAGAGACCAAAAAAAAGGCCCCTTGTGAAGGAGAGCAGACGTCAGGCGCAAGCAGCTGAAACGGAAACGCAGGACACCCATTTTGGGCCAAAGGGCAAAACGGCAACCTAGACATGGCCATTGGACATGCCAATGGTTTATAGGTATCTATGGTTTCAGGTTCCTACAAGGACCCTAGGGCCTCAATCACAGGTAGGTTCTTTGGCATGCAAGAGAAACCCAAAGAAGACATTGCCGCTACTTCTAGGCAAGGAATAATATTTGATAAGCCTTCAGGTCCATGGGACAAGAAAAAAGCACCATGGCAAGACGGTTCTACCTGTTAACATTTTAACATGCCAATAACTTCTACAGTGTTTCCCTTCCAAAGCCGTCCAACAATGGAGGGAGTTTGGGGTACACATCTCGAAGAGAGTTCGTAACTGTCACCTTTTAGACGGGTTCCAAGGTCGCCTGTGGCAGTGGGCATTCGGCTCAGGACCTGGAACCGGACTCCAATGTACGGGAAGAGGGCATCTCAAAAACCCCAATTCCCTGCTCCATGTACTCAAAAGGGACCCCTCTCAAAAGAACCGTTCCGGTTGAGAGGAGTCTGGCTGCGTTGGTTGCCATGATGGAAGTCTTTGCAGTTCCGAAGTTTCCGGGTGGGAGGACCCAGACGACACTCATTCGCCCATCCCTCTGGATGGTTGCGCACTCCATTTCGCACCACGAAATGAAAGCATGGAAACGAAACCATGGGTTTCTTGGTACTTGTGCTGGGCATTCCACTGGGTTTCTTGACTTAGGCGCCCAGGATCGGTGAGCCTCGCACATATCCTCCAGCACCCCAGCAGGGCCTTGCCTTACGTAATGCCACCGGAGAGCGCACAAGTGACACTCTGAGCACATGTCGTGAAACTTGGGAATCTTGAGTTGTCTCCCATTCCCCTCAACCAACAATAGAGAAGACTACCAATGATACCGCCAGTGGAACTTGGACCGGCGCTTGAGTGTTTGATGGGGCCCCGAGGTAGTAGAGGGGTCCCACTTTCCCATGGAATCTGAAGTCCTTCGAGCCCAAGTTATCTCTAAAAAGGAACAAAGTCACGCAAATGCATATATATATATATATATATTTCAAGCCTCAGGACTTTTCTGGGAACGAAACGGAAGCCAATGAAGCACCAGCCATGTCAATAACTTACTTCTGAATTTCCCCTGCCAACTAAAAAACGTAAAAAGGGGGGGCGTTCCAGCGGCCAGCCTGCTTGAGGATATTTGTGCCAACCATTGTTGAAGCATTGGGCCCGGGGCGTTGAACAAAAAAGAACGGTCTTCTGCATACATTAGAGCAGTCTTGCAGTTTTCCGTCGGCCTCCCTTTTGGGGCTTGATTCTACGGGTCAAAGTCACCCCGAAACACCCAGCAACTTTGACGAGCATGTTGACGAGCATGTACCAATTCCAAGGCGCATCCTGAGCGTGGCGAAGGCGTACAGCAGGTTGGAGAAGTGGATGGGATCAAAGGCAAAGCCTCACATGGAGCTAATCAGCTGCGGAAAAAAGACCTTCTAAGTCCTCTTTGACACGTCCGGCGTCCAAAAGGGGGAACAAGAACCCTTCCACACTCACATGGGACTCAATCCTGAGTCCCGACCCTTCTCCCCCACACAATGTCATGGTTGCCCAAGGGAAAAGGCAAGGCTTGAAGCAAAATAAACATCCTGATCTAAGCAAGTTCTAAGTGAACCTTGAGACTCCGAAAAAAACTACGTTTCAAGGCACTGACTGCAGTCCGCTAGTTTGGACCCGACAAGTCTCAAGGGGACCTTCACACCCCCTCCCCAACTGCATCAAAAGAAGGATACCCCCCCTTTCTTGCCCCGGCACAACTTAAAAAGAATCCTATCCTCCAAAAAAGTCGAACCCGTCGTCTCCACGGCAAATTCGCTTTTGGATCACCGAAAACCCAGCGAGAGGCGTTGGGCATGGCAGGCCCGGGCCAGGGCTTCCATGGCGGGCTTGTGCACGAAGGCGACCTTGCAAAAGCCCCAGGCGGTGTTGGTGAGGTCTTGGGGGTTGAAATTCCGCACCACCTCCTTGGTCAAATACCTGGGATTGGCGAAAAGTCCCAGCCTTTGGAAGTGATTCTCTCCGAACTTCCAACTCAAATTCATGGGGTTTAGAGCTAGGTCCAGGCACATCTCGCAGAGCTTTTCGAAGAGCACGTCATCTCGGTAGCCCACGGTGCAGAAGGACCAAATCACCTTGGCAAGACTAATCTACTCCCGGCCAAAGTCAAGAGGTGACAATTTGTTTGGCTGGTTGAGAGGGAAGATGGAAACCAGAAACCCAAAAGCGCAAACAGGTCAGTTCAGTTGTAAAGATTCGGCCACCTGACAATACAAGAATCCAGATCTAACCCTTCTGGGCGGCTCAAAATGAACCTAATTCGGGAAGGTCGGGTTTGTACAAGTGAGTCTGGCAATTGTAAGACGTGGAGAAAAACCCTTTATGTGTAACGTGTCCCTTTGGATGGCAATCACCGCGTGTCACGTCCAAATGCTGTTCCTGTGGATGGACGAAATCCGTTTCGCACCACCTCAGCCAAGGAACAGTTTGGTTTGAACCATGCGTTTCATTGCGTGGTGCGAGAAACGGATTCTGCAACCATCCACTGCAATGTCGACCCCACATTCATCAATAAATTAGGGGGGTGGGGTCCCCTCCAAAAGTGGTCTGATTCCCCACTAAGCCCAAAGCCACCCCCCTATTCAACAAAGCTTTTTTCATAAGGGGGGGGGGGTGTTTTTGGGCTTCGTGGGGGATCAGGCAAACTGTTGCAGGGGCCAAGCCCCCCCCCTACTGACAAACTGGGGTGATTCACATGGGGCCACGGGAAAAAAATCGGCACCCTTGTTTTGTTGGTTGAGTTTCAAGTTCGGAACCCTTACCCCAAAAAAAAAGGAAAAAGGGAAGCAACCCGCTGGGCAACTGGGAAACTGGGGTTGATTCACATGGTGTCAACGTGAGTTCTGTCCGGCAAAGTCGCGTTGCACACGTCGATGGGCCGCAGCTCGGAGTCCATGCGACTGGTCAGCGCGGAGGACAGCGCCTCGTAGGCGTCCCCGTCCCTGAAGTCCGCCTGAATTGGGGGCAGGGCGGGGGTGGGGGGGGCCTGGTAAGCTGTGGGGGTGGGGGTGGTGGGGGGGTGGGGGTGGTGGGGGGGCGGGGGTGGTGGGGGGGTGGGGGGTGGGGGGTGAGGGGGTGGGGGGTGGGGGGGGGGGAAGGATTGCCCGCTTTCTGGAACCCGCACTTGAGACCTGTGACCCCTTCGCCACAAACAAAAAAAGAAAGATATACGCCTCAGGGGTTACGTGAGTCTATACTCAAAACCTGGCATTAAAATTGCCTACCCAGAACAATGTAAAGAATAAAACAAACGGCGAAGGTGGAACTGTCCCTTACTAGCCTTCATCCTCCATTTGCTTTAAGTCCCCTGAGGAAAAATAAAATCCAGCAGTGATAGATTCCCTTCAAAACCAACAGGGGAAAGGACCAACACGTATTTCTGCTGCAAATGGAAGTCATGCACCCGGGTTCTGATTTTGGCCATGACTTCCAGGTCCTTGGCGAAGGAGTACGCGATCATCGTTAGTGAGCCCAGGGGGAAGGAGTCTGCCCTGAGAATGACCGGCACCGCCAGCTTCGCGAAGAGGTCCAGGCGACGGTCCCGGTTTGACACCCCCGTCAAGGCCCACGTGGCCTGTGATTCGAATCAACGGCTGTAAGCCGCTGCTAAACATAGTGGCACCCCATTCATACCCACCCACACCCACCCACACCCACCCACACCCACCCACCAGCACCCCAACTTGCGTGCTTTTTCCCTTGCCTGCCTTTTCCCTTGTTCGAAATCCCCTTGGTACTTGCCAAAAAGCAGTTCTTGCGGGGTGCTGGCAGGCCTTCCCCAACGTCATGGTGTGTTTCTCGGCTTAAAGAAGCTGACCTGTCGGGTTCCCTTATCAAACTGAAAAGGGCCCAAACCGCGCTTCATGTGGTCGAAAGTTGCTTGAGCACCATTTGGCGGACCACTATTATAGATCATATGGAGTTTCTATAAAAATGAGGACCACCTTATCAAACAGTTAAGCACCAAAAGAAAGATCACCATCTTTGGGCGTGTCTTACAATATGGGACCCCAAACGCGGTGGTTGGCGCTTTGGTTTCTCTTTAACCTAACCCTTTCTGGGGTACCCCCCAAAAAGACGGGCGCGACAAAATCCATTTCGCACCCCGAATTGAATCCATGAAAAAAACAAGTTTGTTGGTAGTTACGGGGGAATCATCGAAAACCAGACACCAGGGTTTCTGAACGGTAGCGCGAAATGCATTTCGTAACCATCCGCAGCACTTTTCAACTTTCGATCCCGGACCCGAGCCCCGAGCTTCCTTTGTGGAAATGATGCGGGGCTGTCTCTTTCGGGTACCCAGGGATGTTAGGACTTTAACTTTTTGCCAACCAATGGGTTTTCCATTGAACCACTAGAAAGCAACCGAGAAAAAGAAACAAAGAGAACAATAAATCAAGAAAACAACAACTTCCAGCACCCTCCAAGGGCCGTCCATTGGAACCCAAATGGCTCACACAAGGGTGCTTCAGGTGCAAAAGGACCATTGGAGGGTGCTGGTTGTTTGTTTTTAGGGGACCCAAGATGGTGTCGACATTTTCAGGTGCTCCCCTAAAATGGCTTCGCGGTTTTCCCTTTGGCTTCCCAAAGCCAGAAGAAAGGGGGAAGGGCGGGGTACCATAAAAAAGCCGATCCGCCCATGCCTTTGAGATGCTCACGGGGTCGCACACCGCCAGCTTGCCGCAGAGCGCGTCCGCGGCCTCCAGCAGCAAGGGCTCCTGGGGATTGAAAGAAAACCTCAAAAATCGGAGTGGCTTTTTAATGTCGACCCAAAGGACCACGGAACACACAGGTGGTCACCTTTTGGGCCCACCAAGGACCAATCAACCACCATAAATGGACCATGCAACCTAAAGAAAAAAAAAGCAGTCCCTTGACCAAAAACCACAGAAATCAAAGCTGAATCACCTTTTGGGTCCACCAAACAAGGACCGACATTAAAGAAAAAGGTCCAGAGTCTCAGAGGTCGATTCGCTTTTCACAAGTGAGAATGAACTCATGTCGACCCCGGATTAATAAACCCCTGTTTATGAAAATAGGGGTGGAGGCCCCTCCCAAAGACCAATCTCCACTAAAACAAAATGATAAACAGGGGTTTGTTCCTCTGGGCTCAACATTAAAGGGCCGAAGCTCAGCAACCCTTGGTCTCACCCCCGATCGAGTGGATTGGCCCAAAGGAGTCTAAACTTGGTAGTTCCCAACATGGTCCAAACCCGAAAAAGTTGAAGTGCAGGAATTCAGGAAGTGAGTGTTGCGGTGGCAAAACAGACTTCTTCTTTTTTTGGCAGTCCCCTACCAACAATGAAAAGAACAAAACCTAACAAATATTGCTTAGTAAGAGGGAAAAACAAATACGGATTGAACATAAACCACCTCGCCTCAACCTCCCAATAAATGATTAAAGGAAAACCACCCAAACAAGTTTGTTTAAAAACTAAACAGCCCCAAACAAACTATGGTTTAAAGGAAACCACGGGGAAAAGGGGCAAATGGCGGTTTAGCCATGGCTGCTTCAAGCGAAACCACCAGGGTGCGGTCCTGTCTGGCCTCCAGCGTGGCCAGCGACCACACCACGTTGGCCGCGTCCCGGGCCGTGAGATCCGCCAACTGGGCGCCGAGCAGCTGACAGCTCTTGGACCAGCGCGGGTCAGTGCGGAGGCAGCTGGCCAGAGCGCCCAAGTTCCCCCGCTTTTTGCCTCACTTGGCCAGTGACCATCCCCAAAAAAGTGTTTACACTTGTTTGGCCACCACTAAGATAAAGGGAGAGCCGCCAAGGAAAACAATGTAAAGTGTGTCCACTGGCTGGGTGAGTTGCAATGCGCCAGCGCATAGAAGAGGTTGGCCCAGTTGGGTGCGTCCATCGCCTCCGCGTGGCGCATGGCCACATCTAGGCAGCCCACCCCTGCGGCTGCCAGGTCCTTGTCCAGCGCGTAGCACTCGTTCCGCCTCGGGGGCCGCTTCGGCATCACGAAGACATTCTTCCCCGCCGAAAGCTCCTCCTGCAGATCCCGGCGCTCCCTGGGCTCCCTGAACTCCCTCTCCCTCTCCGGGCGCTCGTGTCTGAACGCGGCAAGGCCCTTTCCGTAGAACGAGGAACTGGACCCGGAGCCTCCATTCGCGACGGCAACTTTGGCCGACGGATCGAAGGAGCTCAGCTCCTCCGGGCTGTACCAGGAGCTGCCGCTCCGGAGCCCCGTCCTCTCGCGAGGCTGGCCATTGCACCCGAAGGACGCATAGGCGGATCGCTGCATTGAGCCTGCCGCGCCTGGGAGTTTTCCAAGCGACCTGGGCCCATGAGCCCGAGCCCTCATTACAGTAAACACCTTCATCCCCAAACTCTCAAACACCCAACTGCAGCGGCGCAGTGAACAAATTCTTCCCGCATGCCAAAAGGCAGTGTCCTTGTTTTTTGCGCGTCCCAGTGTCTTACAAAGGGAAACCAATGGGGAAACCACGCATTCTGTGGCATCCCCTATTTTGCAACGCACCCACACAGCCAGGCGATTTACTTTTCGAGGGTTAAAAGTGGGCAAAGGGTCAAAATGCTCAGCAGGCCTTGCAATGGTTGTAGCTTCCCGCCTCCTGGAACTTGGGAGGGCTCAAGAAGTGCACCAGCCACTCCGTGGGGATGGCCTTGCGAGCGAGCCACTTGCCACTTGAAGCCTTCTTGGGCTTCAGCATGTCAGTACTTGTTTGATGGCCCGACAGTACATATTTGGTGGGATTGCCATTTCTCCTTTTTTCACTGGGAGGACCACTGTATATTGGTGTGTCTTGTGTTCTGTTTTAGGCAACCCTCGAAACGGTGAGCTTCCCCTTGGTCTCCCCTTAAACCGACAAACCAAAAGGGCACCCACAAAAAATGCAGACCCATATGTAGTTATACTTTATATTGATATATTTACATACAAATACATACTGATACATACTGTTTCGCGGGGGGACCACCAACAAAGGGGTTTTTCGATGCAGGTGAGGTTTTGCTGCGAGCAGCGAGCACGCCTTCTCGGGCAGCGGAATCGTGTAGTTCACCGGGTCGTGCTTGACCTTCCGGCAGTCCGCCTGACCTTGGGATCTGCACTCAGAGAAAAGCCCCGCGGTTGGCACCTCCAACATTCACTCAAACACATCCCCGCTTGAAGGGCCAGGCACCTTCAACATTCAATCCCATCCCAAAAATGTGAAGCGCAAAAGGGAGAATGCAACGACACAACAGGGCAGGGCCCTCCCCCCTCAACAGCCAATGCCCACTTGAGCCACAGGTCGCGCCACCGTCCAATCTCCTCCCTGTATGATCCCCCCGATCAGTATGTTGATGTATGTTGCTTGAGAACGACTATAGGGTCCCAGGAGCCCCGCTTCACTCGCCCCGCACCCCGAACCACCCACCCTTCCAAAAGTCCCACTGGCCACTGGAGGAATAGACATGCAACTTTTACAGTTGATGAAATTGAAGGGAAGGGCTGAAAGTGCCCTGAAATAAGGTCTGTCAGAAGTCTAGTGTATTTGCTGAGTTTTAAAAAGAGGGCGGGGTGACTTCTGTCATTTTGCATGAACACAACAATATTTATGAATAGGGGTGGAAGCCAGCCGGATGGCCTGGTTTTGAGGCCATCGGCTTCCTGAGCTCTCGGAGGTCCATTGCAAATCCCCTGCCAAAGATACCCCAATCACCGGGATTGTCCGGTTCGGTTTTGCTTGGGGCCGTTCCCCCCCCCAAAAAAAACATTTTCAGGGAGATGGGCTTTGGACCAATCCTATGCTTCACCGCGTGTAGACTTGCATTTTTCACTGGGCTTCCCATTTGGCTACAGTATCTAACAAACCCCCTTGAACTTGTTCACACACTCCCAGGATTCCCGCGACGGTTCGAACCCATTCCAGAGTCAGAGCGAGGGTGTACATATTTCTGGAGTGACTGTAACCCTGTTCGCGGGTTTGAACGCGAAGCCACGAAGAAACCACACCAACTTTCAGAAAATGTTACGGATGAATCAACCTCGTGGAGTGTTGGCAATGGATCTCCCCCCCCCCAAAAAAAAGAAAAAGGAAAAGTGAAGGTGCGCTCAACTGTGACATCCCTGAACAAATCAAGGTGTCGATGAATCCAGGGTTCACATCGCGTTCATGTTTCTACCGGCCCTAGAATGCCGAATGCTTGCCGGATGTCTCTGCTTTTTGGAGGGTCCCCTTTTTGGATGTTTCCCTCCGAGCGAAACCAACATCCATTTTTGGGGCTCAAAGGTGAAGCACCGTTGGGGAGAAGGAAAGCAGTTGGTTTCAGTGGCTCCCATTTGTAGAAAAGGAGAAGCAGCGTTTTTGGGGGATCCGCTAAGGACACCCCTTGAGCCGTTCAAGGAATCCGGAGGCTGCGGCGGTGGAAGAAGGCGCACAGCACGCCTCGGGGGCACCTGGTGCGACATGGTACCGATGTGCCCAAGTGCGACTAGGTCCTCCATGTCCTCCAGATTTGAGAGGCTAAAACAAGTGGGTACCCGATTTTTGTTGGTTTCCCTCTAGGTCCTCCAGTAGAGAGGTTAAGGGTACCCTTTTTCCTGCAGTCTATTTTAGTAGGGGAACCCTCCCCCAAAAAAGGGGAGAGAAGGCCGAGCTGACTTCTGGCTCTACTCAGTTGCCCAAAGGACCCGGAACTAAAAGGTGATCACCTTTTGGGGTCATAACAAAATATGGACCAAAAAAAACAAAAGGGGTGAAAGGTCGGCGGTTCTGTCATAGTTACTACCCTCCCACCCTTTCCACATGGAACCTGACGCTTGCGGGTCTGTTTGAACTGAGCATGATCTTCCAGGACCGCCCGAACGTCAGGTTCCATGCCCTTAATAGCCTCAATAAAAACCAGATGGCAAAACACCACAATCTAGGGAAGCCTTTGTTTGGGTCTTTGGGCCATTACGCGCTGCTCGTGCGAATTCATCCGGACCGCACGAAAGAATGAGAAGTTCCCCGTGGAGAATTGACGCATTGATTCCAACTTGCAGAGGGCCTTTTGGATCTTGGCTGCTGTTGACCCCTCTGCAACAAGTTGACAACTGTTTGTGGGTTCAAAGCGAGCAACCCCTTGAATTCAACCAACAAGTTGAAGTCTAAAAATCCAACCCAACAGCAATCAAGGGATGAATCCACTGTTGATATATATATATACCAAGGAAATCCCTGCACATCATCTACATTTTTCCCCACTCACATGGCACCTGCAGGGTAGCGAGAAGATTGGCTTCCTGTTGAAGGGACTCAATGTCTGGTGCTATGGTAGTGGAAAGGAGGGTAAGCGCTTCAGTGGGAAAGTGACGGAAGTCATTGTCTCGCGTGCGACCTTATGGCGGAATCAGTCCCCCGAGATTCCATCGCGTGTAACCGTGTAACCCCATTCCGCTGGAGAACACGGGCGACTGTGGGCTGACAAAAAGCTGTTTCTCAACATAGGGAACTTCTGGTCCGGCTTAGTTTTCGTTTGTTTCCCCGAACACGTGTCAACAACAGGGAGCCGCTAAAAACCTGGCGGTATTTAGGGCAGCCTGCCACACGGTGGTCCCAGCCCATTCATTCTGGCGCTTGCGTTGTTGTGCTCACCTGACTAGCGAACATCTGAAAATAGATGTACATCACCCGATTTACCATGCCAGTTCGTGGGAAGTTCTGTGAAGAAGATGGGAAAGGCATGGTCAAGGAGTCCTGCATGCAAGCCGTGAAAAACATCAGCTTTTTCAGTGAGCGGCTGGAACCTCCAGGCTCCAGTGGCGCTTGCGCGCCTGCGCCGCTGCAGGTCGCGGCAAACCAAGGTGCGGAAGTAGTTGGGGTGGTAGAGCTGTTCCTCGCACGAGTCGCCGGCACGGAAATGGCGGAAGGAAGAATGAACACGAAAATCCCAGGGTTGGTATGTTGCGGCTGTCGGCTGGGTCTTACCGGTTCAGTGATTGAGCGGTTGGCTGGTTGGCCCATTGAACCTTGTCTTCACCCTTCCCCGCCCCAGAAGAACACCTCAGGCTGGCGCCTTGGCACCATGTGCAAAGGGGCACCGAGGTCCTGAGACAAAAGGGCGGCTCACAGCCCAAAGGTCTGACGCAGCTCAGCTTTCCGCCCAACGGGCACCGCTGGGAGTAGGCCAGGCTCGTCTCCTTCGGTGAGAAACGACGGAAAAATGGGCATGTGGGCTGGGAGATGTTGCATGACCAGTGGCAAACACTGGGGATTACTCTCAAAGCGACGGCTCAAGGGTCGCTTTCGCTTGGGCGCACAAGTGTTGCATTCTCGAATCTTGACGCCTCATACCACGGGACTTTCCAAAGCGTGCAAAGCATGGGACATGCATCAGTAAAAAACAAAAACAGAAACGACGCTGCCAGTGGTGTGGGGGGGGGAGGGGTCTGGCCTTCTTGTTCCAGTAGGGGCAAAGCTGATGACCATACCCAAGCGACGGCGGACGGCGCCTCACAGAAGCAAGTTGCGGAGCGAATATGGAGAGCGCCGTTGGCTGAAAAAGCTCAGTGTGTGTGTGTGTGTGGTGTTTGCTGGTAAGTGTATGGAGGGCGGGTTGAAAGGGAAACCAACGGGAAACCACCCTTTTTGGGGTGGGGGGGGGGTGGGGGATTACTTCAACTGAGATCCAGTTGAAGCTTCCCGACCAGGAAAGATTCCCCCCAAGACCCAACAGTAATGCCAGTTTTCAACCTGCCAGGTCTCCTGCTTGAGTTGCTGGATGCGCCTCTCCAAGCTCGGACGCCAAAAGCCGAACTGGGCCCGCCACACATCTTGATACGTGTGGGCCTGAGCCCAAGGTCAGTCATCAAAGGCCCGGTCGGGCCATGCTTTGTTCAAAGTGGGGATCTCGCAAAACCTCCTAATCCATGTCCGCAGGGTGCCACAAGAGAACCACCTGGCATAAGGATTGCTCGGATGGCGCTGTTCACCAAGCCATTCCGCGGCCCCGGCATACATGCAAGCTTGCCAGTCGTGCTGCGCACCCACAGGGCACCTGCGAAAGCGGAAACGAAAGCTTGCGTCTGAAGGGACCCCCGAGTTGATCGATTCAAATCGGAGCCGGCAGCGCCACATGGTCTTGAACTTCTCTGTGAAGAATTCAACCTGATCTCAAGCAGCTCAAGTTGTATTGTATTCCCTCTGCTGACGCGGTTTCTCCGTGGCCTGACTCTTTGCTGTAGGAGAGGAGAGGTCGTAGAATTGGCTTTCAAGCACGCAGAGTGGGCGTCACCTGTAAGGAACCCCCCCCAGCCCCCGCCCCTCCGGCAGGTTTACAGCTCTGGTTCTATCTTTGGTTATCCCAAGGACCAAATATCCTAGCGATTCTTTTGGGTGAATGCGTCTCTAGGTTTAAGCCGGCCAACAATCGGCAAATGGAACCCCGTCCTGCAGAAGGGGTCTGAGGCTGTAGCAGTGAGCGCCTCTGGTTGCGCAGCCTCCTCCTCGCATACCAAGTGGCCCCAAACGGAAAGCGCACCTCAAGAGGTCCCCAGGCTGGGTGCCCTTTGGTGCAAGCCCTCGTTTTGCAAGAACCTATGGGTAGAAAATGACACCAGAAGCTTAAAACCTGGTTCCCAGCTACCAGGTTGCAACCCATGGGGGTTCACCCCCTTTTTCACCCACACCCAAATCTGCACCCAGCCCCTTTTCGCGCTGGACGCGTGGACTCATGGACTTGCTCGGCGGCCTCCGGGGTGAGCAAAGGAGCCGTCACCTGGCGCCAACCAAATCCCCCCAAACGGAGAATCCCTACCCCCAAAGCCTGAAAGGAGAAATCGGAGAAACCCCAAAAACTTGCGGGGCAAATTTGGGTGTGGCAACTTGTTGTTGGGAGGCTACCCTTTTTTTGGCGGTTTAGAGGGTAATTTTTTTAAAAAGGAATCCAACACGAAACCCGGGGGAGTCCAACCAAGCAGCGACCCATCGCGCCTCATCCCGGGAGTGCGCGAACGCGCAGCTCGTGCCATGACCTCAGTGCCAAGGGCGACCTCAAGCCATGTCTAGGTCCTCCAGTAGAGGTTAGAAAGGGTAGCCTTTTTTCTGTAGTCTATTTTAGTAGGGGAACCCCCAAAAAAAAGGGGTAAACGGGAACTGGGGGACCTAGCTTTGGCCGATTGGGTCATGTTGGTTGCGAAATGCCGCAAGTCTCGCACCACGAAATGAAACCATAGGACATTTACAGGGAAGGTTCGAGTCATTCCAGGGGTTTCTGAGGTGGTTCGAAATGGATTTCGTCCATCCACCTATGGCCATGCTTCGCTTGGGAATCGTACCGGTTCAGGATCCTTACCAGGTGGATGACCCTGTCAACCCCAAGTAAAGGAACCGGTCTTTTGACCATGCCTTCCTTTGTTGATCCTTTCATATGGGGCTCAACATCTGGCTGGTCAAACGAATCCTGCAACCAAGCCTGGAGGTGCACATACGGGTGTTTCTGACAAACGTGTGCCCCCCTGAATCGATGGTTGAGCAACATGAACCCGAAGACTTTTTATTTCCTCGATGGTCCCTTGCCCTGTTTGGAAAAAGGCTCGTGGACTCATCGTCATGTCCTCATGCTCGGAACCTGTAAAAAAAACTGGGGCTGGTGCGGCAGCGGGACACTGTCGGGTAAGTCGCGCAGAACCGTTGCTTCTGCATCAAGCCTGGCTGGCAAAACCCTTGAAAATGGTAGGCCAGCCACGCAGGACCGATTGTCTCAGCATGTGTTTCGCCAAGTGGTGCTACATCACCAGCGTTTGCTACATGGGGTATGTGCCACAAAAAAAACGTGTCCCCAAAAATGTGGCTTTCCTTTTGGTTTCCCTACCCTAAACCAAAAAGAACACTGAACACGGTACGCTCCAAAAAAACATGGGCCTACTATAGATAACGAATATGTGCCTACATATATGTACAATCAGCCGCTTTCCCTTGGCCTGACGCCATCTTACCACACCCCACGGCCGGTCAAAAGCACCGCCGGCCTTTGTTCTTGGCGTGGCGTCCTGGCCCCAAGGGAAGCCGTTCCGCCGCTTCAGAAATGGACCATTTCATTTGGCTTTTTCGTGGACCATTTGGTTGCCTTGGAAGCCACCCTCCATTTTAATATATAGTCGTGGAACATTTGGAAAACCATCCTCCAAAAAAGGGGTACTGGGCCTCAAAAGACACGCCCAGGTAGAGAAACATATCGCCTCCGGTTCCTTGCTTCAAGGAGATGGCTCAGAACCCTGGCAGAAGTTGCCCCGAAAACCCGCAGGCTGTCTCCGCAACCGCAACCGTTGAGCTTCCGTTTGCTTTTTCGTCCCCTGGAAGAAAAATGCAAAATATGTCCAGTGATAGATTCCCTTTAAAACCACAAAGGGAACATAAAGCATCTTCTTAAGAGAATGGAAGGTTGGGGAATGAGCCACGAGCCGCTAGGGCCATCCCCTTGCTTTGCTGAATCTTCAAACGCATGTTCTTGAAAGAGCCTTCAAATCGGTTTCCCTTTGAGAGGAGACCGCAACTGGTGTTCAGCTTCCCTCTAGTTGGCCGTTTGGGGTTACCCGAGGTTTTTGTTCTTCCTCACACGCGCACCCAAAAACCAAAAGCAAAAACAAAAGCGCGGAACCAACGCCGGGTGACCGGCAAAAACCGCCACGCGGCCACGCGGCGCCTTTCAGCCCCTGGCCATAGCCTCCGCGCCACCTTCGATCGGCCGCGATTCTCGGCGTTCGCGGAAAACGCTACGGGTCATTCGCCCCGGGCCTCTCTGCGTCCAGTCCATACCTGGCAACAAGCAAAAAGCCGAACAGCCCATAAGGGCCACGGATCACAGCCAAAACCAGCGGAAAATGTAAACAGGTTGGGGTTTGCCCAACCTGAACCTCCATTCGAAGCCCTGACGAACAAACATGCTCAGAAAACCGCAGGATGAGGGCCCAAAAACCGCGGATTTCGGCAGGCGTTTGGTCAGGCCTCTTTCCGAAAGACTTGACAAAGCCACTGGCAAGAAGCTAAGACTCCGGAAGCAATTTCCACAGGAAGTCAGCCCAAACACCTGGCCTTTGGTGGACAAATAAAAAACCATGACAGCTTTGGGACGGTTTCAGTGGATGTCTGGGCAACTCCCTGCAGAGTTTCCTGCTGGTCGGCTGACACTCCAGGTGCCCGGGCATTGAAGGCACCGCCCACGGCATCTGCATGGGGTCCACCTGAGCGCTAAGGGAATCGAAGGCACGTGTCAGCACCCAAGGCGCTGCGAAAATGGCTCGTTGGCCAGTGGATGCTTCCAATTTGCTCGCATGTCACAGCCCAGTTTCCCAGTTTCCCAGCTTTGCCACGTCCATCAGCAACCCTGCAGATTCTTCAACTCACGTCACTTCCAACGCGATGGGTTACCCACAAAATGCCCGGGGGAAACCCACCTTGCGGCGTGGCCAACCGGGAGTACGCGCACTGCACGCTGAGACTTAAATCAACAGTGCAACTGCGTGCCGGCTAAGGTTTCCTTCCAGGTTTCTTCCCTTCAAGGGTTCCTTTTCGAGGATACCCTTTCTGGTTCGAAAAGGAAACCAACACGAAAACCATCCGCAGCTCCGGCCTGCATCTGCCACTCTGCGAGTGCCTGACAGTGGAAGCCCACCTCCAAAAGGGAATGTCGTCTTGTACGGGGCCTCCAAACAAGAACTGGAATGGAAGGAAACCTGCGACGACAGTTCTCTTGAACCCGAGGTTAAGGCATCGACGGCTTGATTCGACAAATCCCAGCCCCTTTGATCTTTGGGGCTTTATTCGTTTCTCAAAGAGGGTCAATGTTGAACATGTTGACCCCACAAATCCACCTGGCGGACTAACTGGGGGCTTTCAAAGTGAAGGATTCCCTCTGAAAAGAAGCAGCCCCCCCACCATCAGCATCAACCAACCAGGGGGTTGCTCATCCTGGGATTCCCAGCAGCCTCCGCCAGGTGGGAAATGGGGCGCCACCCCCCCCCCCAATGTGGGAAGCTGCAAGCCTCCAGGGATGGTTGCTCATGGTATTCCGCCACCTCAGCAGCGAGGGACGAGGAACAAAGGTGCTTCTAGAAGGTGTGGCCACTTCAGCGGCCGTCCCCCACGAGTAGTCACGAATTGTAAGGTGGGACAGCCAGGCAACCCAGGGGCATGAACCAAGTACCAAGGTGCTTTTAGAAAAGGTGTGGCAAAATTGCAGCTGCCGTCCCCCATTGCACTTTTCATCATTCCTTCCAACAGGTTCCCCAGCATTTCTGGCGTCCCAAATTATCACTCCTTTGTCAAGCACTAGCTCAGCTTAAGAAGGCTGCCAGCTGCTCATCCGTATCAACGGTGAAGGCGGCATCCATCATGTTGCCTCAGAAAAAAGTCCGCAGCCCCCCCCGAAAAAGTCAAACGTGGCACCTTCCGAAGACTCAAGGCTTGGATCACCCGTCCAATGTTGACCCATATCAATCAACCAACCAGTTGATACAGGGGGGTCCCTGAGTGAAATGTGAGGAATCATCACTTTTGCTAAAAATCACCCCCTACCAACAACCAGGGGGTTTATTCATCTAGAGTCAACATTACCCTACATAAAATGCCTCCATGCAACATGCATGGTTCGCATCCATCGAGGGCCCGGCAGGTCTTCTGAATGATCTGATTGCCAAATAAATCGCAAATTGCACTTCGAGCCGAAAGGTTTTGCAGAAGGCTCAGGATCCAATCGAAACCCTACCTGCCCTAAGGGGGCGCAAGTGACTGCCAGGGGGGGAAGGTTCAGAAGCATTTCGAAACTTGGCCGCTGCAATCTGGAATCTGATGCAGGCAGAGAGTTCTACCGTCATTTTGCAAAATGCTGAGGCTTTACCAAATGCTGCCTGCAAGTAAATGATGTTGATGTAGCACGGGACCTGGAGTTCATTTTGCTAGTAACTTTTGACAGAACCCCTCGCACCCAGCGAGGTCGCAAACTGAACAATCATGCTCATGTTCATGTCACTTTCACGGCAAACATGGCAGCTACATAAGAAAGGCATTCATTTTTGGCTGAAACTGGCTCAAATGACACTTGGACCACGGGTGGGCCAACTATGTTGGGATCCTCTTCGCGACTTTCACTGGTTGATGCTGTTTTGGGGTCGCCTGTCCACTTGAGAAGCTTTTGACCAGAGCTCCCTATGAGTGCAGCAGCACCTCTAGTCCAACGCGCGATGCCTTTTTCCAACCGGCTCGTGGGGGTTGGGGCGCAGCCTTTCTGCGAAAAGCGCGAGCCTGGCGGCAAGTGCCTCATGGGGCCCTTGCTTGTGTTTTTTTTTCACTGTTCGGCTCTTTCTGCCTTTGGGCATATGGCCTGGTTGTCTTCTTCGTTTCTCATTTGGATGGTTCCTGGCCTTCTTTAGCACATCGCCAAAAGGCTCGGTTCCAAGATAGCATGTCCCGAAAAAAAAAAAAAAAAAAAAAAAAAAAAAAAAAAAAAAAAAAAAAAAAAAAAAAAAAAAAAAAAAAAAAAAAAAAAAAAAAAAAAAAAAAACATCGCTTTTGCGGCAATGAGAATGAAGCCACCTGCCTGAAGCCAAAGGAAAGTAAATGGGGTACAGGGATTTGACCCACAGCCACATGTCTTGCAAATCGCAACTCACTCCAAAGGCAAGGCAGAGAAGAACCGGAGCTTGTCTCAAGGAATGCTGTGTACACAAGAAGACTTGCTCCATGCTCAGCCTGAGATAGCTGGCATCATAATAGACAAGGGGGTTGTCTACTTTTAGTAAAGTAGGGGAGAGGCGCATTTTGCAACAGCCATCATTGGCTTTTGACACCAAGCTTTTGCCAGAGCCAGGGCTCGGGGTGCTTAAAGCGAAACGGTGATGACCAAAAATCCGAAATCCATGGCCCCAGAGTTTCTTTCCAAAAGTCTAGCGGACCACTTGCCTTCTGCCTCCACAAATGGAGAAAAAAACAAAACGGCCACGAGCAATCAACTTGCGTGGGTCATGCGCTACCCAATCTTTGATAAACTCGGATCAGAAGGTTGATGAACTTGCCTCAGTTGCCCCTTCGGGACCCAGTAATCAAATAGGGCCGCCTTGTGGCAGCCTTTTTGAGACGCTTCCGAAAAGTGGACCAAAAAGGAAACCGAAAGATCAAAAGGTCGGTTTTAAGGAGAGCACCCACCCCAACCAAAGTGACTTTCAGAAGTCCTTTCCGTTTGTTTCTGTTTGATCCACCCTAAGGCCACTCTAAACCTTAAATCCAGACCCACCTCACTCCCGAAAACAAGAACGGCTCTAAACCCACCCTAAACCCACAATAGACCCAAAACAAAACCGGCCAACGCCGCTCGCCACCCGCGCCGGGTGCCTTCTTGCCACCGCTAGCGGCCCCATCTCTCGGCTCAGCTCCTGAGCCACGGGGACTATTGCGGATGCCATGCCCATCCCTTGCGGCCCGGTGGCAGCTCCACGTTCACCATGTACCTGGGCTGCTGGCAGCTGGCCACTTTCCATTCATGGAGTCGGAGTTGATACCGAACCCCTCCCTCCCCTTCCCCCCAGCCCCTGTGATCCACGTTCTTGCAAGTGGAACACATGATCATGGCTCAAGCATCACGCTCGGCGGCAAACTAAAAGCAGGGCCATGCAAACCCATCCCATCCTTTTTGGAAGACCTGAAGACCCCTTTTAAACATTTCGCCTCGCATGTCCCCTTCTTTTAAGGGCAGCCTAAAGGCCCAAGGAAACCAAAGGAACACCATTTCTTGGGCTTCCCTAGCCACACCCGCAGCATGTCCTTTTTCGGCGCCCCAGGGCCCTCTCACCACCGTCGGGGCACCCGAACTCGGCCCCCTGGCTCGGATCCTGGCGAGGAGACCAACGTGCGGGGGGGGGGCTTACTTTTCACCAGTGGATTGGATCTGCAAAAAAAAGGGGAACCAAACCTTTGATTTGTCCACAAGTTTGTTCCTAAGCCAAAAAAAGCTTAAAGTTCTTGGCAATTCAACATGCTGTCACAGCCCTGGACATGTTCCCGCGTGTTGCTTCTCTTTGTTCCGGAGGCTTGACGGGCGGTGTTTGAAGCCGCCGGTTGAACAGGGATGATCGCAGTTCGCTTTTCTGGAAGGCGGCCCCTTGAATGGCGCCCGCTGTTTGACAGTGGTACATGCAAGAAAAGGGGCGAAATAGCAACCACTATGTAACCAATAGCATGTTCCTACAATCATGATTAGCTGCATCACTCTTTTGAGCCAAACTGAAATGAGGTTATTTCTCACAGGTGACGTTCGGACATGGGGCTCCTGTCCTGCCACTCCTACCCTCCCGCAAGCTAACATGGGACGGAAGGGGAGAAGACCAGGGTCCTGCCGGGAAACAATGAGCATAGGGTCTGGGAATTGTTTTGTTGCCCTGTGTTGGCATGTGTTTTTTTTGTTTGGTAAAGTTGAGCTACAACCTATCTGAGTGTTCTGGCTTGACCCCGAACATCTAGGAGCCGGGGTCAAGCGACCCCTCACGACCCGTCCTGCAGCAGCAGCTCATCGCCGTGGCTGAGCATGACTTTGGCGCTGGCCTTCGGAGGCAGGCGCTTGCCGTTCAGGAAGGTCCCGTTCCTCACGCAAACGACGCGACATCGAGCGACGCACGCCAGGTGGGCGTAGAAAAGAAACGGCGGTTGCAGGGAGATGGCGTTTGTCATGGATGCCTTGGAGGGGCTATGGGGGGGGGGGCCTTACTAAGGGCTTAATCAGGGATGGCCCCCCTCCCCATAACCCCCCCCGTGAATTCCAAAAGTCTGGGAAAATACTGGGTGCGGCAACGAAGGGCCATGGGTGCAGGTTACTCGAGAGAGCAAAATGTACTCACTAAAATTGGCTCCTTGTGGCTGGCCCCCTATTGACTGGTTTGAACCAAACAAAGCTGTTGAATGCTGGAACAAATCTGAATCCAAAATGGCAACTACAAGGGTCAAAGAAGCCAACTGGTTTCTGGTGGGTGTTTTGCAAATTCCCTGTTGTAATTTCCGTAAGTCGCGACTGGAGAAACCCTAATCACTAAAATCGGATGTTTATCTGCGTGGATGAGTATTCTTCTCCTGGGTTTCATTTTCAGAAACAATCCCAGGGTACCTTCCTTAAAGCAAAGGCACAGGCCCGCAACACTCTGTGGCCATCAAAAACCAAAAGCAAACCACAATAACTAAACAAACAAGATCGCCCTGGAACCCTCTCAGACCCTACATGTGCTAGCCAAGGCTCGTGGAGGTGTCGACCACGTACCTTGGGCTTCAAAAGGCTGAATGACGCGCGCGCATGCCTCAACATTGCCGAGGCACACCGAGCCTTTGTCTGGCTGGAACTCCACCTTGGGAGGCACGCACGAGCTTCTCCAGGGTATTGGTGAAAATCCCGGCGAATGGTAATGCTACACCTCCTGTACTTCAGGATCCTGTGACTGTTTTAGGGGTCCTCTATGATGGAAAGTGTTTTTGTCCGGAAAATGTTAGAAACAACGCTGGAAAAAATGGGCAACAGAAAGTTGGCAAACAAGTCGGGCAAAAAAAAGGCAAACAAATCCTGGCAAACATTGGGTCCTCTGTAGTGCCCAGCTGGTTTCGGGGTTGCTGAAAATTGAAAACCAATGCCTCAGCCTTTTACTTTCAAAGGAGGGGGGTCATCCTAAGCTCTCCCCAGCTCAAAGGCTAAAGGCCTGAGATCTAGGAAATCCATTTTGCAAGTTGTTCCCAAACCATCAAATTTAAGATAACTTCTTAGCACAAAAGTGAGGGCGATCAGTCACGCAAAGGGGGGTGCCCACAAGAGCCCCTAATCCTCTTTAGTCTGACTGTTTTGGGGTCCTCTTTAGTGTCCAACTGGGTTCGGGGGTTGCTGAAAAAACGGTCCTTGGCAATACTCAAGTAGAATTGGCAATACTAAAGTAAGTACTGGGAAGCTCCAGCAATTCTAAATCAAATGGAAACTCAAGTCTACCAATACTAAATCAAATTGAAACTCATCCAAGTCCCACCCTTTAGCCAGCTTCCCGGTTCCCCGTAACTTGTGGCTTGCCAGCAACTTGTGTTTGGGATTTGTGGTTTGGAGGCTTTGGCTGGTTTCCCCTCTGCCCTCTTTTCCGTGCTCCGGGCTTCAAATCCAAGTCCAAGCCAATCCAAACCGCCAATTGATGCGCCCCACCCCCCCTCAGCTTCCCTCAGCTTGGTGGTTTGGATTTGTGTTTTGCTGGTAAAGGAGGGGTTTTCCATTGCCCCTCCATAAGAACCAGGGGTTCAAATCCAAATCCAAACCACCAATCTAAACCACCAACTAATTGAGGGTTACCTGACCCCGGCTGCTCAGAAGCAAAGCCCAACCAAACCTGCAGGATGTCTCGCGGCAAGAGGCCACCGCGTGGGATCTGGAGACCAGCGGCCCCTTGACTCGCAAGGCGCTGGTGGGATCCGTGCCAATGGAGAAGGTCGCCTGCGGCCGAAAGAAAAACGCGGGGGCAAACGCGAAAAATCCGGGGGCCCCAACAGCCGATTTGGATCTGACCCCACTATTTTACCATTGTCAAAGTCCCCCCGCAATGGTAGGCTAAAGGGAAACAACCCCAATTTCTGACTTTGATAACCCCTAGAAACAGTCAACATAATGACCCCAGTGGATTGGTGTTTGGGGATTTGAGGCTTTGGTGGAGGGTGAATAGAAAACCACCCCCCTAACCACCAAACCACCAATCGGAGGGAAGCTGAAATCAGCTTCCCACTGCCTGGTGGTTTGGCTGTTCAGTGGTTCAGTGGTGTTAAGGTTTGCCATTCACACAAGAACCAGGGGGTCAAATCCAAATCCAAACCACCAATCCAAACCAGCGATTGGGAGTTACCTGAAGTTTGGTTGTACACATACACACCCAAAAAAACCACTCGGAACCAAACTCTCGACCATGCAAAACGCATCATCACACGAGAACATATCATGTCACACTGGCTTACAACAAGTCGCATCTTTACAGGGCTCTCCGTTTTCTGATCTGCTAAAAGTGACGAACAAGTGGATGAAATGGAAACCCAACCACCAACTAAAAACCTACAAACCTACCAAAAAAAAAGGACGGCGGCTGAGAAGCACCGGCTTAAACTGAGGTAGGGAAACAAGGGTCTAAGTGGACATTTATGGGGCTCCGCTTTGCGCAGAAAACGATCACTCGCCTAAGGCAAAGCATCGAGGCTCGGGGCCTTGTCTGACGTCAGCGTTTTGGTGAAGTCCTGACAGGTGTATGGATATTCTGCCACCAAGAAATGAACTTGTTGGTTTCAGGGGATGATGGAATGACGGGCTCGGAGCATCCCGTCTAGCCAGAGGATTGTTCCTTCGCACAACTGGAGCTGGAGCCAGGGTTCCTCTCTATGAACCGCGGGGATGTTTTTCGTGTCATTCCAACCCTTGCGCTTCCTACTGAGGATCAGCAAACCAAGGCACAAAATACAAAGAGGCACTCAAATGCCCAGTGGCCATGCAAAAACAGGGAGCCCTTTGTTTGTTGGTTGAGTTTAAAGGGGAACCCTTACCCCAAAAAAGGAAAAAAGAGCACCACTGGGCAACAAAGGGCACAAAGCGGCAATAGGACAGTCCTTCAGGGTGGGGGCCATGGATGCAAGTCTGATGCGAGCCTTGGTGATCGGGCGTGGCTTGAAACTGCCCAGCGAAAGCAATGCTTGGCGCCCGGCGGACTTGTAGTCCTCGGATTGTCAGCTTCCGGCCCCAAACAAAAATCCCCAACCCCACCCCCCCACTCCAAAAAAACAACAAATCATACAAAGACAGCAAACAAAGAAAGAAACACACCTACCGACCACAAAAAGCGCGCCGACCGCGGCCCCTTCCCGGCGGGTTCCCGCCCGCTGCGTGCGAGGCGCCAGGCGGGGCCGCAGGATGCTGCGGATCTTCGCCTCCGTGGCGCCCCAGTTGCAGTGGGCCACCACCCGCTGGAGGGCCTCGAAAGTGGAAAAGCGAGAAGGCCACGGGAAACGTTTTTCTCGGGGGCGGTGGGGGGTTGGGGGGGGGGGGGGCGCAATTGTTGGCTGCTATGTCTGAGGGCTTCCATCTCACTGTCGGTTTGTGAAGAGCCCGTGTTCTACTTGTTCTCTTCACGCCAGAGCCCGTGGCCAGGTCAAATGCCTCCCCCTGCACAAAACGTGAGGTCTAGAGACCCTTCCTTCATGCCTATTGCCTGGCCCGGCTCAATGCTGGCCACGCCAAATCGTGTCAAACAGCTCCCAGCGATCCCCGGCCTTTTCAGCCTTCTCCAGCTGGGCCGCGGTGCCAGTCACCTGGATGCTCCGCTTCTGCTTCACCCACTCGATGTCATAGGCCCCGGTGACCTTGCCAAGAGCGGGCTGAGTTTTTTTTGCATAGCCCTGGCATTTGCCTAACCCTGGCACAGCCTGGCATGCACAAAAGGAGACACTAACGCACAAAGTTTTGGGTTGGGTTTAGGGTAGTCAGGCCTGGCATCGTTTTAACATCCTCAGCATCATTTTCAACATCCTCAGCATCACCAGGCTTTGGTTGAGGTTGGGTTTTGGCTCGGGCTTGGCTCTGGGCTCCAGGCCTATTGAGAGCAAATTTCGGGGGATGTGCTTGAGGCAGATGGTTTAGTGCTGGTTTCTGGTGGGGCTTCTTGGGGTTGGTCTCGCGTGGGTTTAGGGCTGGTTTAGGGTGGGTTTAAAATCGGCTTCGGCCATGGTTCGGTTCAAACACAACCATTGCCAAAGCCAATTTTAAACCAGCCCTAAACAACCCCAAGAAGCCCCACCAGAAACCAGCACTAAACCATCTGCCTCAAGCACAGCCACCCCCCCAAATTTGCTCTCAATAGGCCTGGAACCCACCCGGAGCCAAGCCCGAGCCAATATGGAACCCACCCAAAACCCAACCTAAACCAAAGCCTGGTGATGCTGAGGATGTTGAAAATGATGCTGAGGATGTTAAAACGATGCCGGGCTTGAACCTACCCCAAACCTACGCTAAACCTACCCTGAACCCATCCCAAACCTTCGTCCTACCGAGGCGCCAACCAACCAACCAACCAACCAAGCAAGCAAGCAAGCAACCAACCAACCAACCAACCGTCAGGGTCAGAGCGAAGCTCTAGGCGAACAAAAAGGACATGCTACCTGGGTTCCGCAATTTGCGGGGGATCCCCAATCATCTGTAATCGTTGTCTGGCCGAGCGGGTGGTTGAATATTGATTTTGAACAACCTAGGGTATCCGCAGGCTGCTTCTGAGCAACACCGATCCCCGCAAGAATCCAGAAAGAAAGCTAGGATGCGTTTTGCGCCCCTTCACAGACAAGTGAGTGAACCAAATATGTGGCATGAACTGTCACTTTGGAAGAGCCCCCAAAAGGGCAAATATCTGTAATTAATTCACACTGAGGAATCCCGCCCCTGCATTCGTGCGAGTCATTTTTTTGGTCGGAGCCTGAGTGCTTTTTGTTGCCAGGGCGCTTCCAATAGAAGCTCTCGGGTCGACGGGGTCATGACGGAGCTTACCTGGCTCACTGACGTGCGGCCCGTGCAGATCTGACCTTCATGGAATCTAGGAAAAGACTGCCGTCCCCCGCTGAAAGCCTAACTTGTGGGGTAAATGGACCCCCCCCGGCTAAACCAACAAAAAAACCTGCAAAACCTAAGAAGCCGGACGGCTGGGAATCGCCAAGATACAGATTTCACCCCTAAAGGTTTCCACCCCTTTCCGGCATTGCCGCTGCCAGATGAGATGCAACACATTGTCACACTGGACATATCTACGCGGCAAAGACAAACTCTTGAGTCACTCTTTGGTGCTGAAAGCTTGCACTTTGAGTCTTTCGGCCTGGTCCTGAGGTACGGTGAGGCTCTTCGTCAGACGACCAGCTTCGAGGCCAGTGAAATCCATCCTGCACGGGACGAAACCCCCGTGTGTTGACCTGACCCAGCCTCTTGATTGGAGTCCCCTACACCTGGGTTGTCCTTAAGGAAGGAGAAAAAACCACAACAAACACAGCCCAAAACCTAGGAAGACAAAATGGATTCCCTTGCTAGGCGCACAAACACTTGATTGAACATGGCAACAAAACCCATGAACTCGTCAGCAAACCCCGGTGTGAGCCCTCAAGCTGTGTCTGACATGTCTGGGGCTGTTCCCCAGGACCTTCCTTGTACGGTGGATGCCCTAAATACTGCAAGTAAACCAAACATCTCAACCACAAAACCCTGGTAAATTACTGCAAATTAGAGGGTCTGCTGGTTTCCTTGCTTGCAACTTTTCGGGCATCCACCGTACGCGGCCAGCCCACGTTACCCCACCGCCCTTCTCACATGGAGCCTGACGTTCGGAACCCCGTCCCTATAAAAGGAACATGGTCGAAACCAGGACCCCCCCCCTTTACGTCCAACGGTTCCATGGTTTCAAGGGTGGGAGGGTAAGTGCCCATGCGACATACCCTGGATGGACTGCCCATCCATTTCGCACCACCGTTCAGAAACCCTGGAATGATTCGATTGCGCTGTAAATGCCAAACAAGCCATGGTTTCCTTGGTTTCAATTCTGGGGCGAAATGGATTCCGCAATGTCCACCCGGCACGCTCTCCTCTCCGTCTGTGGCCGCTTTGTGACCGCCTCTTGGCAGTCCTCAGCCAGGTCCTCCTGCGTTTCGACACGAGGGAAAAGCGTGGGGGGCTGTGGTCAAAGACAGGGTAACACCTCAAAATAGAACCCTGGTAAACGGATACATGGACCAAAACCTACGTTGTTGCTGTGGTTTAATTTTGACCCATACCCATGCCTTGGATCTTCGGCCTAAGTTAGCAAGTGGTTTGCCACACAGGGTATCACCTCCTTAAAACCACATAGGGGGACTCACAAGTGGGTTGTGACCTAGGTTATCAACAATTTGCTAACTCGGCCGAACATCCAAGTTTTGCTTTGGGACCACAACATGTTTGAGCCCCAGCCGTGAGCAAACTCCCTCAATCACTCGAACTACTCGGCCACAGCCAAACCAACTGCAGATAAGGCGCCAAGCCGTGTGCGAAATTGCAGTCAGAGCCTCATCGCGCACAAGCATCCTGCCCTGCAATCCGAGTCCCAAAGAGCAACCCAAAACACAGCACAAACCTGTTCACACACAAGAAAACAAAAAAACTAGACCACGGTTGGCCCGAAAGCAGAACATCGCAAGCGAGGTCGGCCCAACGCTGCAGGATGCGTTCTTTTTCCCTACACGAAGCATTTGTGAAGCAAGCGCGAGACAGCACCAGGCAAGGTGCTCTGCGCAAACTGGTCGGTGCAAGTTGGTCTGCGCAAGTTGCTCTACGCAAGTTGCACTGTGCAAGTTGCTCTGCGCAAGTTGCTCCGCGCAAGTTGCTCCGGCAAGTTGGTCCCTGCAAGTGGCTCCCTGCAAGTTGCTCTGTGCAAATTGCGCTCCCTGCAAGTTGCTCTGTGCAAGCTGCTCTGTGCAAGTTGCTCTGTGCAAGTTGCTCTGCGTAAGTTGCTCTGCGCAAGTTGCTCTAGGCAAGGCGCTCTGCGCAAACTGGTCGGTGCAAGTTGGTCTGCGCAAGTTGCTCTGTGCAACTTGCTCTGCGCAAGTTGCTCTGCGCAAGTTGCTTTAAAATGCAAGTTGCATCTTGCGACGCCCGCCCGCGGACCAGGGAGGAATCGAACCCGCGACCCGCCGGTTCCGGGAGCAGGCGCGCGAACCACGAGACAACTCCCGAGGACCAGTTCGACAACAAAAGTCGCAAAAAACCTCGAGTTTTTGCACCTCGACCACGCCGATCCCCGCAGAGGGTCGCGCGAGCACCGCAGAAATCGCAAAAAACCATGGGTTTTTGCACCTCGACCACGCCGATCCCCGCAGAGGGTCGCGCGAGCATGTTAGAAATCGCAAAAAAGTTTTTGCACCTCGACCACGCCGATCCCCGCAGAGGGTCGCGCGAGCATAGAAATCGCAAAAAACCATGGGTTTTTGCACCTCGACCACGCCGATCCCCGCAGAGGGTCGCGCGAGCAGGTTAGAAATCGCAAAAAACCATGGGTTTTTGCACCTCGACCACGCCGATCCCCGCAGAGGGTCGCGCGAGCAGCGCAGAAATCGCAAAAAACCATGGGTTTTTGCACCTCGACCACGCCGATCCCCGCAGAGGGTCGCGCGAGCAGGTTAGAAATCGCAAAAAACCATGGGTTTTTGCACCTCGACCACGCCGATCCCCGCAGAGGGTCGATTTTCGTGTAGTGTCGTCGGCACTACCCCGCCGCCCTAAGAAGAGATTTTAACTCCTCGCAAGTCAATTGCACTTGCACTTGCCTGCACTGCACTTGCAACTTGCACTTGACTCCATGCACTTGCAACTTGCACTTGACTCCATGCACTTGCAACTTGCACCTGACTCCTTGCACTTGCAACTTGCACTTGACTCCTTGCACTTGCAACTTGCACTTGACTCCATGCGCAGCTCGCAATGACTCTCATGACTCCTTGCAATGACTCCTTGCAATGACTCCTTGCAATGACTCCTTGCAATGACTCCTTGCAATGACTCCTTGCAATGACTCCTTGCAATGACTCCTTGCAATGACTCCTTGCAATGACTCCTTGCAATGACTCCTTGCAATGACTCCTTGCAATGACTCCTTGCAATGACTCCTTGCAATGACTCCTTGCAATGACTCCTTGCAATGACTCCTTGATGACTCCTTGCAATGACTCCTTGCAATGACTCCTTGCAATGACTCCTTGCAATGACTCCTTGCAATGACTCCTTGCAATGACTCCTTGCAATGACTTTCATGATGATGATTCCTTGCAATGACACCTTGTAATGACTCTCATGAGAACAACTCAAGTGAACCCAGCGGAAGAACCCTTCGCCATGCTTTCGGGAAAAAAAAACTTCCGCCGGCCTTGCCACAAGTCGTACTCACCAGTCATCCCCCGCAGAAATCCCAAGTGCTGGTGAGTCGCTTGGGAGCGTTTGAGGTCAGCTCCCCTTTGTCCATCAGATCCAAGTAAGCCATGTTTGGTTGATATGCACGGGCCAGCTTCATGGCTGGAAAACCCAGGCTGTGAGTGGGAACCCTGGATGGAGAACCCCAACCTGGAAACCCGACTTGGCAAGGCCCACCCTTTCTGCCGTGGATTCTTGGAGAATTCCTGTGGATGGACAATTTGAAACATCTTTCCACGGTTTCTTGGGTGGTGTAGGTTTTTGTCTATCCACAGTATCAAACCATGGTTGAAGCCATTGTTGGTTGGCATTTGCGGGGGAATCGCATCACGTTTTCTTGGCTGGCGCATCCACAGTCTCGCTGGCTTTGGAGCCCCGGCCGTATCTGCAGTTCCCGGACTCGTGGTGTATGCAGAGCTTCCGCTTCCGTGTGCCGGGCGTGAACCTCTGCGGGGGCACCGGCCTCACGGAGCAAAGGCGTTTGCTTCGCTGGCTGAAGCGCAACACGTTGACCTTCGCTGCCATGGAACCTGACGCTTTGGGGTGAGTAAAACACTGCCGAACCTGACGACTCAAAGGTCCTTGAAGACGTTCCGGTAGAATGGACCCTGAATTCCGTGTCAGTGCACAGGGTAACGTGTGGCTCCCATGTCCGGTGAACTCGAAGGCCCGTTCAAGAGCAAGCGAAGCCGCATTGGGAACACATCATTTGCTGAGTGGGACAATTCAGAATCCCCCCCCCACCAAAACAAAACATAGAGTGCGAAGGTCCAAGCAACTAGCAAGGCTTGAGGTTCCGGCCACTACTGGTCAGGGAAATCCAAGGAAGAGTCTTGGACAGTCACTTCTCTGTGTTCGCCTTCGTCCGGCCTTGCATGCCATCCTTTCCCTTTCCTCCAGGAACCAATCCCAGCGCATTGATGGTAGGTAAGAAACAATCGTTTCACCCGGCTAACCGTTGGCCCAACTTAGGAATGTCACATGCAGGATTCAGCTTACTTGGTCAAGCTTGACTGACCTGCGCAACCTATTGGCAAGGCCCTGCTTGTACCTCAGACCACTTCGCCATGTGTCCCACCCACTTAAAGTGGAACCTGCCAACTCACCCCCCCCCCCCGCAGACTTTCCAAGGTTCTGGACTTGAATTAAACATTTTGGGGATACAGTCAGCATTTTTTAAACCTGTTTGAATATCAAGCCCGCTCAGGATGATTCAGGATGTGAAAGGCCTATATGAATAGTAAACCTGGACCCGTTTTCCAAAGCTTCCAGCTAGAGTTCATGTAGCGCAGTTTGTGCCGGAAAAACCGAGGCCGGGCATGACCAATGGAACGTATGCAATGGTCTAGCCAATTGGGAGGAGGGATTGGGTTGGTTATTAAATTGGCGTTGGTGAATTGGTTGACTTCAAAGTAACTAGTAGAACGGGGTTGTTTTACTTCAGATTGGTTCGTTTAATTGCTGAATTGTGCTGAATTGACTTGAGTGACCCCGTCATTGGAATCTGTGTGTCAAACTGAATTCCTGGTCGTTACATTCAATGCTTGAAACGCATTATACGCCCTCTGTCTTCCTTCTATTTCCTTATTTATGCTGCTCTTGCTTTTTGTGACTTGAGTCCCTCCTCGATCAACAGCGGGGCCCTCCCAGGGCTGATCCAGGGAAGAAAATGGGTCCACACTGGCACTGGTAAACTAGAGACATCCCGCAGCCATTTTCAAGCCCTACTGCGTATGGTTGCAAAATCCGCTCAAGGTTGCAACCATTCGTACATAGGGTGGCTGATACGGTGCGATGGGTTTGGTCCATCCGCTGTATGTTTCTTGGCCTTGGGCTCGGAGCACGCCAAAGGTCAATCCGAGCCGCTCGCCACCCACTCCTGGAGGCATTCTAGGCACCGGCGCCGGTGGCGGCGCAGCGGGCGGCGCGGGCGTGAACCCGAACTGCGGCTGCCAATCCCCGCCTCGGGAAGTCGCGGACTGCAGCTGAGGGTTCAAAATGTGGAGAGAAAGCACGAGGCCCAAACCCCCAACCATGTGCACCGGAGCCACAGGTGTCCTTAGGCCATAGGTTTTCTAGCAAAAGAATCAAAAAGGACACCTATGACTGGAGCTCGTGGAATCGAAGATCTAAGTCATCTGAGATCTGAGGCCAAGGTGCTGTCCTGCGGCGGTTGGTGCCAGCCAGCTTCTGGCCACTCCTGCTGTGCGAACTGCGCCTCGCTTCGGCTCGCGCCGGAATTTGCCGGATTCCCCGCGCCGGCCAAGCCACCCCCCTCCCCAGCAGTTCCTGTCGCATGGGCAAACGAAACATGTCCTGAGAATTGAAACCAATGGAACCCCCTACCAATGGTCGGGCTCTGAGGCTGGGCTATGCTTTGAAATTTGAAAGGGCCTGGAGCACCTGAAAGTGGGACTCAAGCTAGCTAATCTCATCGCACGTCAGGCTTGTGAACAAAAAGCGTTTTGCACCGCTCCATTTCCGGCCCGGGAGAGGGAAAAAAAGGAGCCCCCGGCCTGTGACCACATCTCATTCGGCCACTCGTTCTGCTGATACAGCCAGCTTGCAAAGTCGGCCATTGCGAGATAAACGTTCGGACACCGAGTTTCTCGGAGTGGTGAGTGCTGATTGGCTCAAACCGCAAGGCTTAGCTTTCTATGCCCCTCGGCCCTTGGCCCGAAAAGAGCCTCACCCGCCATGCGAAATGTCACATATCTACGCCGATTGAGTAGAAATGGCAGCGCCTGTGGGCCCCAGTCCAAAATCATTCAAGGGCTGATTGCACGGACCCAAAAATTGAACGCATGAGAATTCATCATCGGGCTCTCGTTTTCTTCCCGCTTCTTAGAGGCGCAGTGACTTGGGGAGGCTGCACATGAGCTACGGTTGAAGTCGTCGAGCGACTTCCCATAAGGTGTACCCTCCCACCTAACATGGAAGTGCACAGACCCCTGTAAAAAGACAACTTTCCTTTTGGAAAGGGCCTTTTTACACTTCCATGTTAGTTGGTGGGCGGGGAGCTTTTTCAGGTGGAGGTTGATATTCGTCAAAGATTGATGAGTCTTGTTGTCGGTGGGTCCCCCTTGTCGCGGATTCTTTACTGGCAAAATTCATTGGTCAACCCGTCAGCTTCCGAAGCGACCCTCCAACCGTAGCTCAATGTAGCTCACATGGGGGTCGTTGCCCGCCGTGCCAGCCGCAAGCCTCCCGCGTTCGTTGACTCGTTGTCGACTCGCCATGGGTCAAAACCCCATACCCCCAGGGAACATCCCAATCGCCACTAAATTAGGTTCTAAAATAGGTTGTGAATTCGCCTACCCAACAGAATGGAATCCCAAAACGGTTTTGACAACCACAGCTTGTCAGCTGGTCAGAAGGTCCCACCCAGCAGAATCGGCTTGGCGCGGGTCGGGTCGAAGCTGTGGCGGCAATTCGGGCAGAAGACCAGGCCGTCGCGACCCACAGCCGCGCAAGGAAGCGGAGACCGGCACCAAATGCCTCAGAGAGTTTCTCCAGATCTGGGGAGCAAATCGATCTACCCCTTGGTGGTACCATACTGTGGATGGCCGAAATCCTGCACCACTTTGATTCCATGGCAAGCCATTGTTTGTTGGCATTTGCAGGGGAATAATCATTCCAGGGTTTCTTAGGTAGTGCAGGATTTCGTCCGTCCACAGCAGGCAACCCCAAAAGGAACTTCCTTCGGATGTTTTTGGATTCGACAAGCCGATGGCCAAGCGAGCGTGCCACAGACAAAGCTCTCAGCTCGCAAGACCCATAACATCCCATAACGATCTAGGATTGTTTTGGCCATGGTTTTGAACAGGACCCCCCCCAATGCCACACGTATGGAAAAATGGAACGTATGAACATGAGCAACTTTCCACAAACAAAACATGTCCTTAGACAGCTTCCCACAGCTAAGCCATAAACATTGCGGAGGCCCCACCTGCAATAAAAAGTTCAAATCCCACCTGGTGGTGCCGCTGCTGCCTTTCTTCATGCTCACACTGCTGTACCCTGCTTCCTTTTTCGTGACTTGAAATTGCTTTGGGTCGCCAAATCGGGGAAAGCTGCCAGCTTTGCACCAGTATATACTAGTGCAGCCACGAAGCAGTGCCAAGCCAACACAACCATCAGCCAGAACTCCCTGAAATCCAAAAAAGTTTGGGTTTCTGAAGTACAATTTCTTTATTCACTCCCTTTCAAAAAGTGATGGTTTGAGAAGCCCACGTGAGGTCCCCACATGAGTGCCCAGCCCGTGGACAAAAACGTGGGCCCCCATGGTATTGATTGGGACCATCTGGGCCGCACCCACTGTTGAGCTTCAGCAATGCTAAATCAGATGGAAACTCAAATTCAACAATGCTAATTCAAACAAATGGAAGTTCAACAGGAAGCTCCAGCAAAACTAAATCAAATGGAAACTTAAGTCCAACAATACTACATCAATGAAATAAGTTTAAATCAAATTAAAACTCCAGCAATACTAGATCACATGAAAAGTCAACTCCCCAAAGGAAGCTCCATACTAAAATCATTTTGGAATGCTTCAGGAGTTCTGGAATTATTATTCCGAATTAAAAAGTAGTATTGCCCAATACTAAAGTAGACCTCCCAAACTTCAGTTCCAGAATCTGATGGGAGAAAAAAAACTCTTCTGGACCTTCCCCGGTCGCCGACTAGGTTCAAATGGAAAACCGATAGTCTGAATGCCCAAACCTCAGTAGTCATGGGGAATGTTGACCCCAGAAAAATATACGCCTGTTTAGTGATATGGGGTGTCCCTGGGATTCATCACTTTTGGAGGGGACACCCGTAGAAAAGTTAACTGGGATTTATTTTCACGTGGTCAAAATTACGGTCAATCCAATTTAAAGCCAAAAGCCTTCCAAACACTTTGGCAACTCGATGCCAAAACCCTTGAACATCCTTGAACGTCAGGCTGCAGTGTCGCACTTGCGCCGGCTCGGCTTGTCCTTTGTACCCGCCGGTGACGCTGCGCGAGATTCGGCAGCCCAGCGAAAGTCGGTCCTTGAGCAAGTATGCCGAGACCGCGCCTCGGGCGGGTCGACAAATGAGTGCGTCTAGATTAGTTCTGTTCTTATTCTCTTTTTTTTTGGGGGGGACCCCTCGGTTCGTTGCCTTTTCCCTTTAAAACCACCCAACCAAAAAAAAGAAGAAAAGAAGCACAAGCCGAAATGGCCCTCCAATCATGAGGCCCACCAAGGGAAACCAGGGGAAACGGAAATAACAAGGGGTGGGCGTGGAATCATCCTGTCATGTCTCCCAGAAATGACCCTCCATTGGCCCGAAAATATCTCCCCTGGAAGATACCCCCCGACCCCCTCCAAACACAGACAAAACGATGGATGATGCGCCATGCCCGACCCTCCCCCCTCAGCATAAGGTTGGGGTGGAATCACGCCAAATAGAGCTTGCTGCGGATGGACAAAATCCCCCCGGTTGGTAGGTGGTCTATCCCGGCACGGGGTTCTATCCATCCCAAGTGGTGCGTATGATGCGTATGGATTTCGTCCATTCACGCGGTTCGCGTCCTGAAAGCAGGCCTCAAGTGCAACTCTCAAAACCAAGCCACGCCCACCCGAAAACCAGACACCATAGGGGCTATCTATCTGTCCCAATGAACCTCAAAACTTGATTTTGTTTTTCCTGTTGGCCTCCCTTTCAAACCTCTTTCAAAGGGTACCAACAAAAAGAACCAGCCCCTCCCAGCACTTAATCTGGGCGCAGGGGGAGCTGGTCCTTTGCGCGCGGCGGTTTGCCAGCAAGGTGTCCAGCTTCACCTGCCGACAGCCAAAGGACCCCTCTTGGGCTGTTCAAATCGAGTGTGGCGCCAATCCAATTTTCCATCATCCCTATGCAACCAAAGAAAAAACCCTTTCGTAACCCAAGGATTGAGCAGACTTGTGCTCTAAATTGCTAAATTGGTTACTTTGTAGTTCTCCAACCATTGACGTTTGGGACAAAAGTGGCTGTCTACCCGTAGATCCCCATCAGCAAAAGGGACTCAGCTGGGCCCCAGCTCCTGCAACCTCTTAGGTTCAGGTCAATGAAACGACCCAAGGCTTGCAAGTATTGAAACACAAACCTTGACTGTATTTCGGGTTTTGATGGGTGCTTGATGGGTTTTGATGGATTTCGGGGGTGAAACCCTTGTTGCCATATTGAGATGGCATCCGCTCTGAATCTTGCGTCCAGCCCCAAGTTGGCAAACACCAAGTTCTTCCCGCCGAACTCGGGAAATCGAGTGAAAAACAAGGTAGTAAGAACTACCCACCGAAAAAGTGGAACACCGCACGCGAAAGACAAATACCCCAAAACAAACTAAAACCGAAGAGGGTACATCATGTGGTTGTTTTCCTTTGGGGGGGGGGGGAGGGAGGGGGTGTTTATCCACCTTGGCATCCAGGTCAGCCACCCGCGGCAGCTCAGGGCACTCCTCAACGGCACACCCGGGTCCCGTTCCAGGATAAAACTCACCCGGTTCATCGGTCGGAGTCGATTTCCCAACAAACGAAACCTCTGCTGAAATGACCAAAAGTGAGGAAGGATGCTGAAATAACCAAAGTGAGGAAGGATGCTGGAATAACCAAAGTGGCAAAAGTGGGGAAACCCACAGAAAAAAAGTAAAAGAAACCTCTCCCCCGCAACGCGATTTCCGCGACATGCCTTCTGCTGCCATGTTTAACATTGTCCATGGGAGGGGAAGAAGATCAGGCCATTGAAGAATTCAGGAAGATGCCAATGGAACATGAAGGAACAGCAAAGGGAACATTAAGTGAAGCTCAAGGCACATTAAGGGAACACCATAAGACAAGACAGAACAACGAGACACTTCTGGGTGGGACTTCCAGTTTCATTTGAAGTCAAATTGTGACTCTCGGACAAGGGAAAACAAGCTCAACCTTTAGCAAATGGGTGTGCCTTTCAGGGGACTCTCAAAAGGGTGACTTCCTTTAAAATTTATCCCATTTGGGAAGCCTCAACAAAGAGACACACTCACTGAGGTACCTTGACGAAAGCCTGTGCCGCAGCCCACCTTTCAGGGACCTTTTGTTCTCCCTCCTGACTCGGGCACTCCCGGACCACTTCCAACCCACAGGGGTCAGAAGGTCGCCGTGTGCGGCCGGGGCTGGAGTTCGCCGGCGAGCGCAGGGAAGACTCATTGAGCACCTTGGTTTCAGTTCCCGCTGCTCTGCGCATCTCCGGCTATCTGCGTCTGTGTGATGGTGGGCTTGTGATGGCCTGTGGGTCTGTGCATCTGCGTGTCTGTTTGTGTGTGGACAAATGTGTGGCAATTGAAAACACGTGGCATGGTTCGGCTCCGCCTCTTTGATCTCTCACGGGTTTAGAGAAGGCCAAGCACGCCAGCAAATCGAGGAGCATATTGACGGTGTTGCATCCCTGTTCGTATTTGGACATGTGTCTTTTGGAACTTCGCTGCCTCCTGAAAGAAAGAGTTTGGACATTTGATTGGTTGGCTGTTTGGTTGGCTGGTTGCGTGCTCGCCCGCCTTCCTTGCTTGTGTGTGTGTTTGTGTGCTTGTGTGATTGCGTGCTTGTGTGCTTGTGTGCTTGTGCGATTGGTTGCTTGATTGTGTGGTTGCTTGTTTGGTTGCGCCTTTGTTAGTTCTTTGTTTGTTTGATTGGTTTGTTGTTTGTTTGTTTGTTTGTTTGGTTGTTTGATTGTTTGTGGCTGGTTGTTGTTTGCTTGCTTCCTTCATCGCTTGCTTGTTTGTGTGTTTCTGTGATTGCTTTTGTTTGTTTGTTTGCTTCTTTGCTTGCTTGTTGTTTGTGTGTGTGCTTGTGTGTTTTGTTGGTTTGCTTGCTAGCTTGCTAGCTTACTAGCTTGCTAGCTTGCTAGCTTGCCAGCTAGCTAGCTAGCTAGCTAGCTAGCTAGCTAGCTAGCTTGCTTGCTTGCTTGCTTGCTTGCTTGCTTGCTGGTTGTTTGTGTGGTTGTGTGTTTGTGTGTTTGTGTGTTTGTGTGTTTGTGTGTGTGTGTGTGTTTGTGCGCGTTTGTGTGTGTAACTGTTTGTTTGTTTGTTTGTTTGTTTGTTCGTTCGTTTGTTTGTGGGTGTACTCGTTTGTTTGTTTTGCTTGTTTGCTTGTTTGTTTGCTTGCTTGCTTGCTTGCTTGCTTGTTTGTTTGTTTGTTTGTGTGTGTGTGTGTGTTTGTTTGTTTGTTTGTTTGTTTCTTCTTTTGGCAGAAATGTGGTTACCAGTTGGTTTGCCTCTTGAACAACCCTAAAAACCGTAAACATGGCTGAACAAACAGCCACACTCTCAAATGGGGTGTGCATTGCCGGGAAAGCACAGATCCCACTTGTGAAACCTCATCAAGCCTACATAACAGTCACCGCTGCAAGAAAGAAACTATCATTATGAATCATAGGGGCTCTCTCCATACAAAGTTCCATGATGCTACGTTCTATGGACCTTCACATCAAAATAGTACCGCAGTACGGATACCCGTTTGTATTACCATGTGATCATCCGCTGTCGCACGCCCGTGCCCCTCGAAGAAAGGAACCGGCACCCCACTCCTCCTCCAGCCCACCTGCCTTGAAGCACGCCTATGGCCCAGCTTCTAGTTCCCGCCACAACCCCTCGTGAACGTTCAGCCCGCTCCTCTGTGCGGCAGCGACACCCCCTTACTAGAAATGCGTGAACATTGCCCAATACGTCCCTCACCCAGAAAACACAGCACTTCAAACTTACCACCCTCCCCCCTCAAAAGAGCGCTCGTGCGGCAATTCGTCAAACACCCTCCTTGCGGATGGTAAACTCGTGGCAACCAATCCCGCTCTGCAGCTGGCGGCTTCTCCATCCTCACCCTTCCAAACTTGGATTGCCTGCATGCTTGATTGGGCAAGCGCCTTTCTTGCCAGCCGGCCTGTACTTGTAGATGTTGGCACAATTTGCACTCTACACACAGCGCACCACAACCTTTTGCCCACCTTCGTCTCTCTTCTCAAGGAGTTGGCAGCACGCATATTTTTTGAAGTGTGTCGGGTCTATGACTCCACCAAATGCCGCGCTTCGCCCTGGATGGTTGGTACCTGAACAGCTCCTTCATTGCATCCGTACACGCGTCCATCATCCCAGCCAGTCTGCCTATTGCCTGCTAATCCCAAGAAGGGTTCCAGGTCCCAGCCTGGCTCCACTAAATCCCGCCTGGCATCTTCAATAAACAGAAAGGAGTCTGCCCGGCTGTTGTACTCAGTCAGAATTGTGCGCCGCCTCTGCTCTGTCACTCCGTCATCAAGACGGTGCGGTTGCCAATTCCTCCGCTGCTCGGCAATGGCACCCAGCCTTGCCATCCGTGAGCTACACACCACAGCTTTCTCCCGAAACTGCGCCAAGCAATCCCTTGATTGCCTAACACCCCACGCGCTATGTTTTACTTTGTGAAAGCAATGCTCTCAGGGTTGGCGGGCTGGGGCGCTGACAGCTGGACTGGAGCTGAAGAGGCCACGGTGATACGATCATGACCTTTCTGCACCCTCTCCGGGTGGGGTGAATTTCGTTTGTCGCTATACCGCATCGACCCGAACTCGTCAGAAGTCGAGCTACCCTCCCCTTGTTTACCTGTTGAGTGTTACATGTTTATTGAGCGCGGATTCGGTGATATCCCTGTCGCGCTGCCCTGCGGCAATCGCAGCACATGAGCAGCGAGGAATTCACTGCGCGTGGTCACGTCACCGTCGTGTTGTCGGAGCACGCTGATCATATGTGATGGTGAGCATCGCCGGCATACTGAGCACCCTGTTCATTATGCTTCATTATGCTTCCATTATGTTTTCCAGGTGTCCTGGTTTGTTGGCGTTCTCCACAAGGTACAGCTTGACGGCGACGCACGCACGCTGCAAATGCTTCTTGCCATTGTTGCTGAGAACGCTGGTTATCCCGAGGCCATTGTGAAGGGCGTGTTGTCAGAGGCTTGCGTGAAGACACCATGCCACCTCAAGGATGTTGTTGCCTGGTTGTTCGGAGGCCCGTCAAACGCCTGCTCATCTGGAGAAGCGAAACTTAGAACGGGGGGGTGGTCATGTCTCCACTGGGAGTTGGGAAAGAGGACTCGGGCAGAGGTGCGAGGCAGAGGTGGAGAGGTTCATGGTCAGAAGAAGAGAGCCTGGAATATTTCTCTGCGGGGAGAAGTCGAAGCAGAACTGTTTGGTGTGCATGCAACCAGGTGCCCGGAATCTCGCGTCAGCCGCAGCGCTTAGACACTTGAAGGAGGAGGTGGTCAAACGCCAGAAAGCACCAAATCTTCCACAACGCAATCTCCCTTGATATGGAGGAAGCTGCCCCGTCCTTTTTTGGTGTGTCGTTTGTCTTTGCGGCTTGCCCAGTGCACTGAGGGCGCGACGTTTTGAGGGGCGGGGGGTGGAAAGCGGTACAACATTGGACTCGAAAAGACAATTTCCCAACTCGTGCCAGGGAAAGCGGTATCACTCAAGATTGCAACAGGCAGCTTGGGCCAAACTGGCTACATTTGTTGTGATGGATTGCTTGTTGGTGTGCTTGTCTGTGTGTCTGTGTGTCTGTGTGTCTGTTTGCGTGTGCGTGTGCGTGTGCGTGCGCGCATGCGCGTGCGCGTGTGTGCGTGCGTGCGTGTGCGCGTGCGTGTTGGTGTGCGTGTGTGTGTGTGTGTGTGTATGTGTGTGTGTGTGGTGTGTGTGTGTGTGCGGTGTGTGTGTGTGTGGTGTGTGTGTGTGTGCGGTGTGTGTGTGTGTGGTGTGTGTGTGTGTGTGGTGTGTGTGGTGTGTGTTTTGGTGTGTGTGTGTGTCTTTAGTTTGCGCGTGTGTGTTGTGTTTTGTGTGCGTGTGTTTTATTGTGTGTTTGTGTGCGTGTGTGGGTTTGTGTGTTTGTGCGGTTGTGTGTGTCTGTTTTTCTGTTCTCTGTGATTTTTATGTGTCTGTGTTTGTGAGTGTGTGTTTTGTGTGTGTGTGTGTTTTTGTTGTGTGTGTGTGTGTGTGTCTGTGTGTGTGTGCGTGTTTTGTGTGTTTGTGTGGTTGTTTTTGGTGTTTGTTTTTGTGCATTGTGTGTGTGTTTGTGTGTTTGTGTGTTTGTGTGTTTTTGTGTTTGTGTGTTTGTGTGTGTGTGTGCTTGGGTGTTTGTGTGTTTGTGTGTTTGTTTGTGTGTGTGTATATGTATGTGTGTGTTTGTGTGTTTGTGTTTGTGTGTGTTTGTGTGTTTGTGTGGATGTGCGTTGTGTGTGTGTGTGCGTGTACGTGTTTGCGTGTATGTGTGTGCACGTGTGTGTGCGTGTCTGTTTATGTTTATGTTTGTGTTTTTGTTTTTTGTGCGTTTGTGTGTTTGTGTGTTGGTGGTTTTTATTGTGTGCGTGTTTGTGTGCTTTCTTTGTTTTTCTGTGTGTTTTTGTGTTTGTGCGTGTGTGTGTGTGTGTGCGTGTGTGTGTGTGTGTTTCTGAGTTTGCTTTTGTGTGCTTTTGTGTGCGTGTGTGTTTGTGTGCGTTGTGTGCTTGTGCTTTTTGTGTGGGTCAAAGTCTTGTCTTTGTGCTTTTGTGATTGAGTTTCTTTGTGTGTTTTTCTATTTGTGTGTGTTTAGTGTGTTTGTTTGCGCTTGTGTGTGTGTCGGTGGTTTTGTGTGTTTGCTTTCTGTGTTTGTGTCCTTGTGTGCTTGTTTGTGTGTGCGCGCCTGCGCGTCCGTGTTTGTGTGCGTGTGTTTGTGTGTGTGCTGTGTTGTGCTGTATTGTGTTGTGTTGTGGTGTGTGTGTGTGTGATTGTGTGTTTGTGTCTGTTTGTGTTTTTGTGAGTGCGTATTGATTTTTTGTTGTGTGTTTTGTGCGTGCTTGCGTGTGTGTTTGTGTGTGCGTGCGTGTGTTTTGTGTGCTTGTGTGGTTGTGTTTGTGTGTGTGTTTGTGTTTTTGTGTTTGTGTGTCTTTGTGCTGTTGTTGTTGTGCGTTTGTGTGTGTGTGTTTATGTGCTTGGTGTGTGTGTGTGTGTGTGTGTCTGTGTGTTTGTGTGTGTGTTTGTGTGTATGTGTGTTTGTGTGTGCTTCGTGTGCTTTTGCGTGTGTTTGTGTGTGTTTGCGTGTGTGTGTGTGTGTTGTGTGTGTGCGCGTTTTTTGGTGTTTGTGTGTGATTTTGTTTGTGTTTTTGTGTGTTTTGTGCTTTTGTGTTTGCGTGTGTGTGTGTGGGTGTGTGTGTGTGCGCGCGTGTGTTTGTGTGTGCGTGCGTGTTTGCGTGTTTGTGTGATTTTTGTGTTCACGTGAGTGTGTGATTGTGTGTTTGTGGGTGTGTTTGTGTGCGTGTGTTTGTGTGCGTGCGTTTGTGTGTGTGTGTCTGTGTGTCTCGGTGTGTGTCTGTGTGTCTGTGTGCGTATGTTTTCATTTGTGTGTGTTGGTGCGTGTTTGTGTTTGTGTCTGTTTCTCTGTTTTGGTGTGTGTGTGTGTGTCTCTTGCTTGTGCGTGGGTTTTGTGTGTTTTCTGTGCGTGTCTTATTGTGTGTTTGTGTGTGTGTTTGCGTGTTTGTGGGTTTATGCGTTTGTGTGTTTGTGTGTTTGTGTGTGTGTGTCTATTTTATTGCGTGTGCGTGTCTGTTTTTGTGGTTTCTGTGTTTTGTTTTTGTTGTTTTTCTGTGTTTTTGTGAGTGTGTGTTTTCATGTGTGTGTGCGTTTGTGTGTGTGCGCGTATGTTTGATGCGTTTGATGTGTTTGTGTGTTTGTGGTTTCTGTGTCTTGTGCGTTTGTGTGTTGGTGTGTTTGTGGTTTTGTGTGTTTGTGGTTTTGTGTGTTTGTGTGTTTGTGTGTTTGTGTGTTTGTGTGTTTTTGTGTTTGTGTGTTTGTGTTTTTGTTGCTCTGTGCTTGTGTGTTTTGTGTGTCTGTGTCTGTGTGTGTTTGGGTGTACGAATGTGTGTGTCTGTGTGCGTGTTTGTGTGTGTGTGTGTGCGTCGGTGCGTGTCTGTGTGTGTGTGTCTGTGTGTGTGTGTGTTTGTGTGTTTGTGTGCGTGTGTGTGTGTTTGCGTGTTTGTGTGCTTGTGTGTGTTTGTGCGTTTGTGTATTTGTGTGTGTGTGTCTGTGTGTGTTTTGTGCTTGTGTTTGTGTGTTTGTGTATTGTTGTGTGTGTGTGCTTGCGTGTGTTTTCGAGTGTGTGTGTTTGTGTGTGTTTGTGTGTGTGTGTTTGTGTGTGTGTGTGTTTGTGTGCGTGTGTGTTTGTGGTCTTTGTGTGGTGTGTGTGTGTGTGTTTGTGTGTTTGTGAAAATTATTGTGTTTGCGCGTGTTTTCTGTGTCTCTGTGTTTTGTGGTTGTGTGTGTGGTTGGTTGTGTGTGTATGTGTGTGTGCGTGTGTTGTGTGTGTGTGTGTGTTTTTTGTGTGTTTGTGTGTGTGTGTGTTTGTTTGTGCGTGTGTTTGTTTGCTATGTTTGTGTTTATGTTTGTGTTTTTTGTTTTTTTGTGTGTTTCTGTGCTTGTGTGGTGATGTTTTATTGCGTGTATGATTCTGCGTGTTTTTGTGTGTGTGTGTGTGTGTGTCGGTGTCTGTTTTGTGTGTTTCTTTGTTTTTCTGTGTGTGTGTGTTTTTTGTGTTTGTGCGTGTGTGCGTCTGTGTTTCTGAGTGTGTGCTCTTGTGTGCGTGTGTTTGTGTGTGTGTGTGTTGTGTGCTTGTGCTTTTTTGTTTGGGTGAAAGTTTTGTCTTTGTGTTTTTGTGATTGGGTTTGTTTGTGTGTTTGTGTGTCTGTTTGTGTGTGTGTAATTGTGTTTGCGTTTGTGTTTTTTGATTTTGTGTGTGTGTGTGTTTGGTTTTTATGTTTGTGTCCTTGTGTGCTTGTTTGTGTGTGTGTGTGCGTGTGCGTCTGTGTTTGTGTGTGCGTGTTTGTCTGTGTGTTTGTGTTTGTGTTTTTGGTGTGTTTGTGAGTTTTTGTGAGTTTTTTGGTGAGTGTTGGTGTGTTGTTTGCGTGTTTGTATGCCTGTGTGCGTCTTTCTGTGTGTGTGTGTGTCTGTGTGTGTGTGTCTGTGTGTGTGTCTGTGTGTGTGTCTGTGTGTGTGTGTTTGTGTGTGTGTGTGTCTGATTGTGTGCTTGTGCTGGTGTGCTGGAGGCTGGGCTTGCATGCTTAATTGCTTTCTTTTCCATATGCTTGGTTGCGTTTGCTTTGGTTCGCTCGGCCAGGGGACCAACAAATGACCTGGCCAAGCGCTCACCAATCTGTCAGTTCTGATGCATCAGTTACGCTTGTGTCAAGGTTCACCTGAATCCAACTTCCATGGCTTTCTTTGGCCTATGTTCCCTTTGCGACCCTCCCCGCACTCTGAGGGCGGTCAGCACGTTGTCCCTCTTGTGGTTTCAACCTTCTCCTAAGCCCCTCAAAACAGAGACAAGCAACTGGACATCGCGCAAACTCTTCCCGAAACCACCAAAGGGTAATTAGGTCAAAATAGTGACACCTCAAGAATGGTGATGGTCCGTTGGTTTCCTGCTTACATAAGCAAACTCAAAGTTGAACCAAAAGGTGAAAAGGGAAGCTCGCAAAATCACCCCCGCCCGCTGCTCCCCGCCTGTTGCGTCAGGAGGTGGTCCAGCAGTGAAGGCTTGCGTGGGCTTTTTGGCAGCGGCGGGAAGCGGGGGCTGTCCACCTCGGGCTCTGCCGCTGGCGACGCTGGCGGTTGAGGCTCTGCCTGCGAAGCTAAACGAAGCAGCAGGGGCCGGGGCCAAGGTGGCTTTTCTTCTCTTGGATTTTTGGTTGGGGTGGGGGGGGGTTGGGGGGGATTCTGCCGGTTCTATCGCACTCTCAAGAGGAATTTGGATACTCTCAGCTCCTTGCACCTCAACGCCCGCCAAGAAACTCACATGTTGGTTGCCAACAAATCCTGGAATGTCACCAAAAGGGAACGCAAGGCCTTGGCAACGCAAAAACCGGGAAATACAACAAAAAAACACAAGATATTCCATTTGCTTTCTTTTTTGACGCCACTGAAAGGATGGTGGACATGGAGCTGGAATCCTTTTTGGGTTGACGATTTTTGGGAAGTCACCCGGGAAAACGAGTGCCACCGAACGACCGCGGGTTGATTAAGATGTATACATGGGATGACCATTGGGGACACCACCAAAAAATGATGACAAGGTCACCGCTAAATCGTAAAAGTTAGACCCGAAGCGCACCACGCTGCCATCGATCAAGACCAGACACCATGATTCCGCTGGGCTGTATGATTCCGCTACCGTCATTTGGCCAAAAGATAGATAGATCAACCCCCAACTGGGTTCAGCACCCAAACCAAGCCCCGCCCGCAGGCCTTCCTCAGCGCAGACTCCGCCGCCGCCTTCGCCAGCGCCGCCAGGTGCTCCTCTTCCGCCAAGCGCCGCGCCCGCTCCGCCCGGACCACCTCCGTTGGGCTTACTGGGCTCTGTTGGGGCGTGTGTTTTCAGGGTCCCCCTGGGCCCTTTGGTGGTTTAGAAGGAAAACCAATGATTACTACGGACCAATTCCTGCGACTCCAGAACTATCGCAAACGAGGTCCATTTTTCTGAAGCGCCCCCAACAATAAATAAACATATATGTATATACGTATATTTGTATTTACACACATGTATCTTTTCGTCTATTTGGGGGGGTGGCTCCAGATGGGAAGGAAGCCCAGACCAAGCTGCCTCCATCACCGACTGCACGGACCTGCCCAGCTGCGGCACCGCCAGGGAGGTCTGCACGTCTTGCACCGGCAAGCCTCGCATGCCCTCCTGAAGCTCCGGACTGTGCGGAACGTGGCAACCGAGGACCGCGGAAAACGGGGGCCTTGGGCGTGGGTCCTCTAGTGGAGAGCTTAGAATAAGTTGGTACCATGTTTTTCTTTTTGGTCTATTTTAGTAGGGTCGTACCGGTGGTATGGCGACTCAAAGCAGGTGAGCGCTTCTTTGGGTTGTCACCATAGGAGGCCTTTTTGCCATCTATTTTTCACCAGGCTCACCTAAAAAGGACACCTATGGGCCCTGGGCGTGAGTCACTGGCCGACCAGTGCATCTGCAAGTTCAAAAAGTGTTGGAGAAAACACAAGAAAGGGGAACCAGAACTTTAGCAGGGGCAAATGACTTTTTAGTGAAGTAGCCGCCAAGCACAAAGGGGAAAACGCATGGCACTCAACAACTGGGGATTCTAGTTGGAGTGGTGTGTGTGTGTGTGTGTCGGCAGCGGCATCTAGGTGTAGAAGGTCCCAAAATGTCAGCCGTCCAGCCCTCACGTTTCAGACCACTACTAGGGTCTGAGCATAGGCCCCCTTCACTTTCCCAAAAGACCCTAATATAGCATGTCAAACTGTTGGGACCTTGGCTCAGCATGGGAACCAAAAAACCTAAGGGAACAAGGTTGTATCACGTGAATCCCCCTTGTGGGCAAACCTTTTCTGGGAGTATACCTCAGCTTGTGCCTCCCAACCAAACAATACGTTTGACTCTGGACTCTATTGGGTCACCTGTAATGCAACATGGTTTCAACAAAGATCCTCCATATTGGGTCACCTTTGATGTAACATGAACTCCAGCCCCATCCGCTGTCCTCCCTCAGGCTCTGCGGATACTGCTGGACCCCGGATGCCAAGTCCGGACTGCCCCACCGCAGGTTGGGCGCCGAACGCATAGACTCGCATCGGCTGGGCCGAAGCAGCGAGCAGCTGGAGGCTTTCTCGCGCTGCTCCCGCAAAGGTGCCAAGTGCTGGACGATCCAAGTCTTCTCCACCTGGATCTCTCCCTACTGTGGATTGGCAAAATCCAATTCGCATCACTTTGAAACCATGGAAAACCATTCTTCGTTGGTATTTACAGGGGAACCATTATTTTAGGGTTTCTTAGGTGGTGCAGGATTTCGTCCACCCACAGTAGGTCTTTCCAACCAACTCAAGTGTTCACAGCCCCGAATGGGGGTTCGAACAAGAATGGTCAAGAGACCAACCGTTCCAGGGAACTCACGGAGTTTCGGGCTAACGTCTACAAGGCGTGCCCTTGAAAGGCACCAAGAACATGTGCCGTGCTTTCTGAGATGCAGGGGTCATTGAGTCATTACGGTCTTATGATTCATATGATGCATTTTTCTTTTTAGGAAGCCAAGGGCTGGTGTCAGGGCAGACGATGGTAACTATGCCACCTCCGTGGCTTCGGACATCTCAAGGCCCTCGTGGCTTGGGACAAGGATTCGAGGATTCGGCGTGGTCTGTCGGCTTGACCCCCCCCCAAAAAAAAAAAACTCCCCCTGGCAGGTGATGGCCACGTGGAAAACCATCCCTTGATGGAGGGAGTGCCAACTTGCAGCTAACCTACTTACCCTGTAAGACTGCAGATTGACAGAAGCCCAAAACCCGCCGGAAGTCAAATTACCGAGTCTGCCAGAAGATCTTTCGGTGGATCTTTCGGTGCTCTTCTAATATCCAGGGTGGATTCAAAAATTTGCCAAAGCCGTTCTCTCGAAAAGGAATGCTCAGCCCAAAGGACCCAAATTTAAAGGGCGATCACCTTTTGGCCGCATGACTAAAAATGGTTGCCAACATGGGAAAACCAAAAGGTCAAATCTGATCGATTTGCTTTGAACAAGTGAGGATGAAATAATGCTGACCCCATATTAATCAACCCCTGTTTATGAATGGGGGGTGTCCCCCTCCAAAAGTGGTCTGATTCCTCACAAATTAGACCCTGTTAGACACCCCTAGAACAACAAAAAAGCTGAGGTTGATTCATATGGGGTCAGCAATATTGGCATAGGTATCCTTTTGGGAAAATAGATGGCCCTGGCAAATGGAAAAAACACCCATCTAAACCAGTGCCTTCTATCTTTAACCACACTAACCTACAAGGACACCTATGCTTGCTATGATTGTTGGGCTGATGCTCCGCAAATTTTCCGGCCTCGACCGCCTCCTCCAAGTCTTCAGGAACATTGGCATCACCAGTGCCGCTGTCCGATCCCAAATGCAGCCACTCCGCCGCCATCTTAGGCCATTTGTTTGCCGCCTCCGGCGCCCGGTTTTCGGATCCCGGGTGGATCGGATCCCGAGATCAAGCTGCTTTGATGCTCATGAGGGGTTGGTGGTCCCGCTGAATTTGCATCTCTTCGCGGAGTTCTGGCGCAATTCCTTGCTTCTTTGTGTGATTTTGGAACTTGTTTTGGGGTCTGCATGGGTTGTTCTGGGCCTGCCGGGTCCTGAAATGATCTTGAAATGTCAAGAAACCGCAAGCGAAGGCACCTGATCGCAGCAAGACACTATAAGCATCAAGGCTCTGCTTGTGCTTGGCCCTCAGCTTGAGTTGTGGCAAGCGCCCCACACGCCCAATGTCTTGGGTCTGCAAACTCACTGCAAGCCCTAGCCCAGAACCCGGTCCAGGTGACACCCTCATACAGGTGATACCCTATGACCTAGGCGACCTTTGCGGAAAAATAGAGGGGTGTGCCGGGTACATGGAATAAAACCACTCTGAACCAGTGGAACCCATGTCTATCCAAAGTCACCTAAGATTGCGTGAACCCTCCTCAACTCCACCATCGGCAACGCTTCATTTCTTGCGCGAGATCCAGGCATCGCTTCTAATTGTACATCCCCCACCCTGCACGGCAGAGAGCCGTAGGCCGGAGACAAAAACCAAGTGACAGCCTGGCTACCCCGGCTCACCCACAAGCTTCGCAACGAATTCTCGGTAAACATGCACGTCGCATCTGTTGGCGTTAATTGCGTGCCTCTGGTTTCTGCATTCTGCAGCGCCTCTGCACAACGTGCGCAGCCGCACGTGGCGGCTAAGCACTCTGAATCCTTTGATGAGGTGAATGCACTGAACATCACAACAACCTCGTCTCATGCCAAAAGGAAGGGCCCAAGGGCCCTTAACCCAAATATCCTGTGATGGGAGCATGATGCTTCTAGCTATTCGTCCCCTCAATTTCGTATGCCTGGATCCCTTTGATGGGAAAGAAGTCATGTATCCCGAGCTCTGGGAGCTGCCAAGCTTCTTCATAGTTTGTCTTAAAATAGGGGAACCCCCCCTAAATGGCTTCGGTGTTCCTTTTGGCTGCCCTTGGAAACCACGCAAACTAAAAAACAAAAACAGGAACACAAACACAAAACGGAGAGGTGTAATTACCTCAACTCCCAACAAAGAAAATTCCCACCACCCATGTTGACTCCTCCCTGAATTCAGCATGCTCGCCGCTCAGCTCGGCTCATCGAAAAGCTGTGGGTGAAGCAAAGAGGATGGGCAAGTGCCCGCGGACCTTCTGGACATCGATCTCGAGGCTCCCCAAGCGCTTCCTTTGGCATCTCTTCGATTCTTGCGGGACCCCCTGGAGGGGGGGGGAGTCCTTGTAGGTGGTTGGTGGTTTCCGGAAATCATATAGATCCACACTACTCGGGCCCTTTTCGGAGGTTTTGATTCCAAGATTTGTAATGGCTCTCCTTTAAACCACCCTTTAACTGTTAGAGACCCCAATTGAATGGGTTCGCTACGGACTGGCCGACAGCAATCTGCATTGCAACATGCCCAGAAATGCTCTGACCCCGCTACAAAAAGCGAAGCTGGCTAGCGCGAGGGGTCCACATTGCCGAGGACCGGCAACCATGGCAGTTCCGCTCAAGTCGCCACCACACCCACTCAAAACATCCCCCCCACCTGAAGGGGGAGGGGGGTGGGGGGGGGGTCCCACAATTCCATTTATTAAGGGAAATTGGAACCCTAAATGGACTTCCAGGGATCACCCCCCTCCCCCAATTTCATTTTGAAGGGGAGATCCCAAAACTATAGCAAAAAGCATCAAGAAACACCACGCTTGCATTAAGCAGGGCAACGAAACACAAGGCTCTGCCGGACCGCCAAAGCCCAAGGCAGAAAAATAGTCTAGCCTTCCAGAGCAAAATCCTCCTGGAAACGTCCAGCCTGCAAAACCCATCCACTACCCATTACAATGCCACCGCATTCACCCAACCCCCACCCCAAGCGATGGAAGCCCACGCCGAGGTTTCTGAAGCGTGGCACTTTTGCGAGGCTTGGCCTTTCATTGCCAAGAGGCAACTTGCTGGTTCTCGGCAGGGAATGAGGGAATGACCTCTAAAAGCCATCCCTTCAACCTTCCCAAAACCCCAGGTCATTCCTTGCTGCGAACCAGCAAGATTCCTGGAAAGGTCATCACCTCTGCCGCAAACCCCTGACCCCTGACCCCATTTCTGCCCTCATTATTTTCCCATGATCAAAGTCACCCCATAAGTGGTGGGTTAAAGGGAAACACCCCCATTTGTGACTTTGATAACCACCAGAAACCATAAAAACATGACCCCAGCACTTCTCCAGTGTCTGAACAAGATTCATTACAATCACAAAAAAGTTGACTTGCAACCGCAAACCTGTGACCTCTGACCCCAGGTCGTCCGGGCGTCATCAGCTCGTGCCTCGCCGTCCCCTCCTTCTGCAAGGCTTCCGTGAGCCGCTCCACAATGAGCCGCTGCTCCTGCGGCTGTGGGTGGCTCCAGCTAGGCAGGGAATGACTGGAATTGAACCAGCAAAGCCCCCGCCATCCCATTTAATGAATGGAACCAAAGACGAGAACCTGCGTAACCCTAGCTCTTTCATGTTGAGCCACACCCAAATTCATTTACCGAGGTGTCATTTTGGTACATGCATTTGAGCCACAGCCATTTGGTTTCCCAAAACCGGTCCGTTCCCAAAACCATGCCCTATCGCACCAGCCTGCGCAAGGATTTCTAGAAAAGAACAAGCAAGGCCCAATAGCAGCTTTCTGCCCTGGCGGTTTGGTCATTGATTTCAGGCTGCCGCAATCCTGGCACACCCTCGAGCGACATAAGTGTAGCCTGTTGCCGATTGTTGCCTTGAGCTCGCCCTTCCCATCTACCAGCAAATTGGACACATGTACAGTTCCAGCAGGGAAGAACAACACAAACCAAGAGCCCAATATGTGGAGCTAGCTATGTCAACCTTCTGGGGCCACGAAAGATGGATCCAAGATGGGTGAACCAAAAGGCAAAGCTTGGCTTTGATTGCCTAGCCGGTCTCAAGTGGGGAACCTGTACTCCTTGTTGGGTGAATACTCGGGAGAGCTAAGGAAGGGATGCTTAGATGGTCTGGGGTCATGACAGGGTCTTGCAGGAAGTCTTGAGTAGGGATTTGCGGGGGGGGAGAATTACTTGAATGTCCGCGCCATTTCAGCAAAGCTCCCAAAAAGCTGAAATTTCGCACTTTCCGAGTGCTTTGAATGGGGATCCATGTGAATCTCGAGCGAGAAACAAAAAGAAGGTCCCTCAAAGGGCTACCCTCAAAGCGTGGTTTGCTCAATCTTTGAGCCTGAGGGGGAGCAGTTCAAAGGAGGAAAACGCAGCAACCTCAAAAGAAGCTCAAATAACAAGTAGCTGGTGTTGGCGGGAAGTAACCCCCTGCACTAAGCCTCAGCTTTCAAAGGTTCCATGCCAAAGTGCGGGAAATTAATCCAGCCGTCGGAATCTACTTTGCAAGCCAGGGGAAGACAGAGTAAATCATGGAGAAAAAAAGGCGACCATCATGGGATAATTCACTCGTTTTGACGATCGCCAGATCTGTGGACTCGCTGAACTCGTTTTGCGCGCCGATTTACACACATGGAATCAGCCGTTCCATTGAAACAGATCTTGACAGCACATTCTCCGCGTCATTTTTTAGGTTACCCGCAGCATGGATTTCGGTTTGACTGGTGCGCCTTTAAAAACTGCAAAATGAGGTAGGCGGCTTTCTATCTTTCTCACCTCCAAAAGACGTCGGATTTCCCTTTAAAACCGCCCAATTTTGCGGTGTACACTCCCTCAGACTATGGACACTCCTCCGGGGAACCCCCTGAGTCACCCCCACCCCCACCCTCCCAATTGCCTCCCCCCCTGAGTCCACCCCCCCCCCTCCAAAAAAAAAAAGGAAAAGGAAAAACACGCAAAAAGGCCAGCACCCCCACCCTCACCCCCGCACCCCAAAACCCTCCCCAAAAAAAGAAAAAGAAAAAAGGCCAGGCTTTGGGGCCCAATAAAAAGACAGGAAACGGAAAAAAGGAAAATGAAAAAAGGCCAAGCTTTTGGTCCGGCGCTTCCCGACCTGCTCCAAGGCCTCCGCGAAGTCCCCGTGGGCGTCCAGCGCCGCCTTCACCTCCGAGGCGGCCACCTGTGCCTGGCGCGGGGGGTTTGGCGTACGGGTGAGATGGAGACTTAAAGGACCAGGTGATAACCTTTTGGGTTGGGGTGGTTGGCGTTCGCCACACGTCGCTTTTATAAAAGAAGGGTCACCCCTTGCCTCAAAAAGTCAAGAGCCCAGCCAAAATGTGCATTTCTGGCTTGCCCGGCCATGTCTGGCAATCTCGTCCTTGGATCATATCAGGACCTCCGTTTTGCCAAACCAAGCAGCCCAGTTGCTGAGTAACTAATCGGAAAAACGGGGAACCCTTCTGGGGTCTGGCCAATTCTAGCGGGCCCCGAAGCCATAACTAAAAGGCCAACCATGTGTTTGTCCCCTTCTTGTGTGTTTCTTCTCTTTTACCATGTGTTTGCTTCCTTCTTGTTGTTTCCTTCTCTATCTGTTTTCGGGTGGGTTCCCGGGGCAAGCATGTGTCCCATCTATCCCATCTGTCGCCATGGCACCTGACGCTCGTAGTGGCGCTTCTCCTCGTCCAAGGCCGCCCGGTGCTTCTGCAGCACGTCGCAGGTGGTTGCATCCACCTTCGGCCACACGCGCAGGAGCAAAACAGTTTTTGTTCAATGGGTGTCTCGTTCTTAGGGGACCTCCCAAATTTTGGTTCTCCACTAAAAAAGGGGTACTTTCAAAAAAGAGGGACAAATGAAGCAGCTGGAGCAAAACAGCTTCTTCAGCCGCAGGACAAAGAAACAAAGTTCAGTCGGATTCATTCGCGACCTTCTTAGCAACTCTGTGGCAGATACTTGCCTCAAGCTAAGACTGAGCATCTCCATTGGAACGGCGATTCCACCGCGCCGGGGGATCTCCCTAAAAATGGGGTGCATGAGCACAACACAGCCCATTTCCCAGTGGGAAAGGGAAAACGCCGGTCAGTGAGACGCCAACAGCCGTACCCATCTTTTTCTGTGTTTCAAAGAGCACAAGAACAAAAGGAACACCGCCCTTTTGCCGGGACCCCCCCAAACAAATCGCCATCATTCTGGTGGTTTTTGAAAAAATGAAAGGAACACCACTCGGTTGGAGGGCCACCCCCAAACAAATCGACATCGTTTTGGTAGTTTTTGAAAACATGAAAGGAACACCACCGTTTTGGAGGGCCCCGCCAAACAAATCGACAGCATTTCGGTGGTTTTCTGGGAGAAAAACAATGACAGGAACACCACCCTTCTTGGAGGCCCCCCCCCCCCCCCCCCCCCCCCCCCCCACAAAAAAAAGGCCGCGCCAGCTCCCCACCTTCTTCACCTCCGCCGCCATCTCCAGGCGAATCTGCTCCGTGTTGAGCTTGGCCACCTCCTCTGCCGGTTGGGCGCTACGAGGGGGGGGGGGTGACGTGGGTAGTGAGCCATGACACATGGCTACGGGGGGTTGCTTCAGCTAAGGAGCTACCAGGGGTCTGTAAGGATATGGTGGTTCTGGTATGGGTCAAAAGTCAAACCACCAGTTGTTAGTCCTTTCCATTTGCCAAGGTTCCATTTTGGGTACCCATGTTTGACTCACAGCCACATGGGGCTTCCTCAAAATGGTGGGGTTCTTTTTTGGGTGGTTTTACTGGGCAACCAAGAGGAATCAACACATGTTTAGGGTTCCCCTCTTGGCAGGAACGTCCCACATAGTTCGCACATTGTGAGGTGACTTGGACCGCACAGCCACGCTCTAAGCATTTAGGCGCTAAGAAAATAAGCTTGCTTCCTGAGTGGGGGGCTACAAAAGTCTGAACTGTTACCACCAAAATTGTCTTCCCAATAAGTTAAAAATCTAGAAACTCAGGAAGTGAGTAAGCGACTTTTGCAGCACCAAACCTGGCCTTAAAACAAAGCACAGAACCAACTGAAACGTCCGAGAATGGAGTTCACAAGTATACTCCCCTACTATGGAGGGACGCTGCATATTCATGTAAGGAGCGAAACAACTACAAATAGTCCTTCAAAATTGCCAACTGCATTCGTGTCCCTTTAAAACCAACCAAAAGGTGCTACCCTCAAATAGAACAACGATCCAGATATGTCATAAAAAGCTGTACATGGAAATAGTCCCCACCTCTTCCGTCCAACAAAAAAAGCCAGCCTCACAGCGGCGGTGCAGCTCTTGAAAGAGCGCCTCCCGCTCTGCCCTGAGATCGGTGCTCAGTCGCTCCACCAAGGTCTGGGCCCACTGCCGGCTCTCCTCCGAGCCCGGATGTTTGGATCTCCGAAACGGGAAAACAACCTACACCACCTACCTGTTGGTTTCGTTGCAACCCCTGAACCTACAAAATGAAGAGAACCAAAACACCAAGAAACCCAAAAACTGGAGCCAAGAACAGGGAAGGAAACCCGGAAACTGGTTGAAGTTTCCAGGAGTTGTTCTCGAACCCCCGGAAAAACAAACGTGCTGACCTGTCGGATAGGGGGAAATTCACCGAAGGACCCTAGAAACCCCCGTGTGAAAAAAGATCAGCTTTCTCGGTTTGAGGGCAATGGGCACCCAGGCAAGTCCCAAACAGCGCAAATTCCTCTAATTACAAATGAATGCATGATTGACTTCTATGTAAATCTCGTGCTAACGTGGTCACGAATTTCCCTCTCCCCATCGCTCAACCCTGTCCTCCGTCTGCCTCTCGTGGGTCCGCCTGAAGTCAAAGGAGAAGCCATGAACCCAAAACGATGGGTCTGTTAGCAGGGTCAGGCAGTGGGTTGCCAACCTGACCGCTTGAAGCATCGGGAAATTACGTCAAGTACGCGAAAGCAACACTCGCAGTTGCAAATCGAAGGGCGGAAGGGTGACTTGCGAGAGCTTCCTTGCCTATGGCAGTCCCGTTTTTTTTTTGGAGTCCAAGTGCTTGGAGGTTCAACCATAGTCGGTGTACCCGACTATTGCGACCAACGCGCGCAAGGTAAACCACGGTCTTCTTCATGAACTCGTGCCCCGAAAAATATATATAAAAGTAACAAGAGAAGCATTTTGCAGACATCAATGTGGCCTGCAATCCCCCCTGTGCAATGGGCATCTGGAGGTCTTTTCGCAAACGCAAACCCTCAAACGCATCGGAGAAAAAAAACACAGATCTATGTGCTCACCAAATCTCACCGACCCCGCAACCCTCTGACCCCCCAACCCAACCCAACCCAGCCCAACCAAACCAAACCAAGAACCCTAAGAAACCAATACCCTAAATAAGGTTGCAACATAGACCCTGACTGTCCACCATCCATTCCCCACAACCCCCCAACCCCACCACACCGACATGGGAGCAAGGCAAAACCCCGGCCTCAGCTCCTCCGCCAGCGCTTGGTGCCGCGACTGCTGGGCGGCCTCCACCTCGTCTCGGCACTTGGTCCGCGCCGCCTCCTGTCGAATTTCGCCACTTGGCTGTGGGTCAAAAATATGGTAACCCCAAAATGGAACCCTGGTAAATGGAAACTTCCACTACAACCTGCGGTCCCCTGGTGGTTTAATTTTGACCCACACCCACCTTGGAGACCCGCATCCGGCCCGGCTGCTTTTCCGGACTTCCGGTAGGGTTCCGGTTTTGGGCGCCTTTGGGCGGGGCCAAAACCAAAAGCTTCCCCAACACTCCTTGCCCTGCGTTGGAATTTCAGGAACCATTCAACTAGTCGCTTCAATTACCGAGGGTCCGAAAAACAAAAATAAAGTTGCCCAACAAATCCCGAAATTGATGCCCTGAATAATTAAGGACCATTCAACCCATCATGGCTCCCTTTGCGTGGTTGCAAAGACAAGAGAAAATTGCGTGGGCCACCTGGTTTCCTCCCCAAAACAAGTAGCATAATTTGTATGAATGAAGGGATGCGCGACGGCCCGCAAGAGGAGTCTCCCATCGCAAGTTAGAAAATGGGTGGTGTATACCCTTGACATGTGTGTACTATATACCTGCATACTCGCATATCAGTGACTTCCAAACTGTCCAACCTGGCGGTGGTGGTTTTGAAGTGCAAACCATCTTACAAACATGCTGCGCACAACTGGCATACGACTCCCCTCAACCGAACTGGCGGCTTGCTGTGGCCTTGGTGGTCCTTTCCCTTCTCACTGCAGGTTTGATTGCCCTTGTATATCTTGTTCAGTTCCACGGCCATTGGACACGGACACCATATTTGCCCAGCGCGCAGCACAAAGTCTTCACGGAAGTGTTCTGCTCCGTTCTTGAAGTGGAGGCTTTGTCAAAGCGAAGGCGCAGGGCGAAGACATTGCCTTCAAAAACCATAGGGGCTCTGCCCAACGGAAATAGGTCTAATCTGGGTTCTTCAAAATAGCGGGAAGCCAAGCATCCTAGTCCATCACGGGACACTCAGGGGCTGGCCACTAAGGAAGGATTTTGAACCACCCAGCCAAAGAAAGATCTAAGCGCAAAACTCAAAGGAGTTGGCACCTGTGGTTTTGTGCCGGTTCCCAGAGCCTGCTGCAATTGGGCTCCAGCAAAAAAAAGAAGCTCTCAGAGCACTCCCGTGACTCCAGCTTTGCCCTGGAAAGCCCGGGCTTCCGGCAAGGAAGGCAACCGCAGGCGCTTGCATCTGCATCTGTCATGTCAAAAGGCCTTTAAACTTCCTGAAGTCCTGAAACATGCGTGAAATACGGGGGAACCATATTTCAAACGCCGCAGCCAAGCAGATTGTGCGCCAGCCTGAGCCTGACAGGCTGAAACTTTAAAAGGAACATGTTGCAACGATTGCACGCAAGCTTGCAGAAACACACACGTCCATGCGCTGCACCCAAACTCAACAGTTTTTGTCGGGATCTTAGAGCTCCAAATCCAAGGCTGAGATGCAGTGGTTTAGCGTGTTCCTGCAGAACAAAAAAGGCTCTGGGATGTCGAGGCGGTGAACCTGGCTCCAAGCCAGGAAGCCGCTGACGTGGAAAAGAGCGCGTGGGTTAGAGCCATGTTGAAACTTGGCGGTGTGCCTTGGCCTTGGGGTTTTGACTGTTGGCCCGTCCGGTTTTCACTTGAAATGCTGCGCGATGCGAGCACACCTGGCGCGCAGCCTGGGGCTCAGAAAGCCCAAGCCTCGCTGCCATCAAAAAAAGAAACCTTTTACTCAAATGAGCGGCCCCAACAGCGTGAAAGTGCAAAGGCGGCCCTTCCAAAAAAACAGAAATGAATAGTCTTCCAATAGGGACTTGCAGGTTTTGCCTGTTTGAGGGTGAAGCCATTTTCCGCCAGCTGCCCTGTTTGTCGCCAGAACTTGCAGATCTGAAGGCACAAGGCCTTGCAACGCTCAACGCGTTGGGCATTCCGCGAAAGCAGCCGTGAGCAGGCTGCAAGCAACATATTGCCTGCCATCAGCAACTGAATGATGACACAACTGCAGTGCAGGAGCATATAAATCCTTCAGGTCTGATGAAATATAATGACACAACGGTAGTGACAAGGGATGCCTGGCACAATGGAGAAGCGGCATGCGTATATATATATATATATGGTCCCGTGTTCCGTGTTGCTACCCCCCAGGCCCCCCCCCCCGGCCCGAGACCCCGAGCCCCCGGATCCTGGCACCTACAGTCCCACCCCAACCCCGACCCCCTGGACTCGCAACCCGACACCCCGGCACCCCCACCCCCAGGACAAGCCAACCCGCAACCAACCATAAACCAACCCTAAACCAACCCTAAATACACCCTAAACCAAAACCTAAACCGTAGACCTCTAAACCTAAACCAACCCTAAATCAACATAAACTAACCCTAAACCAACCCTAAACTAACCCCAAATACACGCTAAACCAATCCCTAAACAATAAACCCTAAACCAACCCTAAACCAACCCTAAACTAAAACCCTAAACCGTACACCTCTAAACCTAAACCAACCCTAAACCAACCCCAAATCAACATAAACCAACCCTAAACCAACCGCGCCTAAACTAACCCTAAATACACCCTAAATATACGTAAACCAATTCTAAACCAACCCTAAACCACCACAACCCAACCACAGGACCACAACCACAGGGGGGGGGGGTACTTGTCTGACCCATGACCATGGGGGGGGGGGGGGGACTGGCAACGCTGTACCTTATATATATATATATAATATGTATTGTTGTTATTGACAACTGATGTATACATATATAAGTATATGTACGTAAATACACTCAATCATTTGTTGATTTCATGTGCATATAGATCTCCCGCCCCGTAACGATATCACATTCATATGCGCACGCTATACACATAGATATAGACGTGTGCACACATACCTACACACGCGCTTGTATGCGCACATTCATATGTTTGCAGCATACATTGGTCAGGGAGCTGCTGATTGCTTACCGCCGAGCATCGCATCAGCTCAGGGACTTGTGTTGATGTCGTACTTTCCGAGGGTTCTTGCAAGAAAAGGGAATCTGCAAAACAGGTTTCAACAAAAACAACTGGGTTTCAACAAATAAAGGGCGGGTCTTTTGTAGGGGATCCCTCAGAATGGTGGCATCCTATCAAGCAACAAAACAAGGGTACCCTCAAAAAGAGACACACCCATAAGGGTTGCAAGCAGGCTGCTCACTTGCTGGATGGAAATGAGACAGAAATGGGAGCTATACCGCGGTCGGGGAGGGTTAGTTCTTCGAACCCGCGCAAACGATCCAAGGAAACATGTGATCCGCCAAACCATTCAAGGTTCGGAAGTCAATTTCTGGAACGCGATCGATTTGTGCCAACTTTGTCGAGGTTCTGCGGTGCCGGCTCTCCAGCTTCCCTTCCCGAAAACTTGAAAGTGTCTCTGCCTACCCCGAGCTCAGAGACAAACGACCTGCGGCTTGCAGCTTTGGCCAGAGAGCAGCATGCAGCTCTTGGACTGGTGCATCTGGACCGCCTCTTCGACGTTCGCTTCGATTTCGAGCTCGGTTTGGAGTTGTCGGGGGTGCTGCCTATAGTGCTCGATCATCACCTGGAAGAAACATCAGGTTAGCTGCTTCTTAGACTTGAAGGCGTCTCAAAATTGGGGTTGGCCAATCCGATCACCCACACTCCTTATAGGAAGGCCACTACGAAGGGGACCAAACCCTTGCCAAACCCACGGAACGGATCTTGCGGATTACATTTGAACAGCCCAGACAGGAAGGAACCGTTGTCTCAACCATTCGCCTCGAAATCCTTGGGATGCTGATCAACCAGCTCAAGGAACTTCTTCAGCAGCTGGTCATGCAGCTGCCCGGGTGACCCGCTCGACTTGCCGGAAGTGGCGGAGGCCATAATGCGTCTTGCCCCGGAAATTGGAGCGCTGCAAAACTCGGCTTTTGAGCCGTGCAGCTGCGGAATTAGCTTCTCACACGACTTGTCGTCGCCCTCACAAGCTTAATGCTGAGCATTAGCATGAGCCTACTCAAGGCAGTCAGCCGAAGGCATTTGCTGGCTCCTGCATGTCAGAACAGGCGGAAACCAATGTAGGTGCGTCTTGCTTTCGGTTTTCACCCCTCCACACAAAAGGAGACGAGCGAGCCATATCCATGTTTCACTCAGTTGCCCAAAGGACCTGAAAATAGGTTCACCTGTTGGAACCCTGACTAAATATGGACCAAAACAGTAAAACCTCAAAAGGTCACAAGGTCGATTCGCTTTGGGGCACTGAGAAGGTCATAGAAACCAGCGACAGGAAAAACACCTGGAGATCCTACCCAACCCACCCAACAACCAGAACATTTTCTTGGGGAAACCCGGCTTTTAGTGGGCTTTCCCTGCTGACTCCGGTTGCTCCTCCCCGATTTTGAGGCTATGGAACTCCGTCGCCAGGTGCTCCAACGCCGCCTGGCGACCATGGCACTCAGCGATCCACTGGCATGGGCTGTAAAAAACAAGTCCCCGGAGACTTCTTTTTTGATACTCTGGATGGACGAAATTCTGCACTTGCAAACCATGGGAGCCATTGTTCGTTGGCATCTACAGGGGAAGCGAATCATTCCAGGGCCTCTTAGGTGCGAAATGGATTTCGCAACCATCTACCGTATTTCCAAGCTGGCCCCAAGCCAAAAAGTGACGAACCTCCGGGATTCTGCTCTGATTTGCCCAGCTGGTAACCCAAAAAGCGTTTGAAGCAGGCAGCGACAAGGTTGGACCGGTGTCAGTGCTTGAGATCCCTAATGCTTGGGCTCCAAGTCTTCATGTTTTCCCATTTGCTTAAGCCCCCCCCCTGGAGCAAAAACAAGATTTCTAGTGGTGATAGGTTCCAACTTTAAAACCAACCGGAGAAATAAAAAACATACAATTCTTCAGCAAATGGGACGTTTTGCTCTGATCAGATCCCTTGGGTGGTTTGGTGGCTTGGAACAGAAGCTGATCAACAAAGGGGTCAGTGGCACCTATCAGTCGAGTCATAATCATGGTAGTAAAAAATAAAATGTAGAGAGTCAACTTGGTTGGGTGACTAATTTGAGCCACAGCCACTTGGGTCTCTCGTACTTTTTTGGGGGGGTCCCCAACATGGGTAGTGTAGATGTTGGTATTGGTGTCCCTTTCAGGCAACAAAACAAACAAACCCAAAAAACCTCCCACCGAATAGCATGGAACCTTTCCACGGAAGGCGGGGGGGGGCCTGGTTTGGACCAGTTACCTTTTACAGGGACGTCAGTTCCATGTGAAAAGGGTGGGAGGGAACGTGACAACGCAACAAGCTCATGTTGAACCCCGCTAGCTGAGCACATCCTACAAAGTTCAGGCAACCCTCGGGTTTGGTTTGGATTGGTGGTTTGGAAATGGATTTGAACCCCTGGTTCTTGTAGAGGGTAAATGGGAAACCACCCCTTTCACACCACCAAACCGCCACCAATCCAAACCACCAATCAAAGTGAAGCTGAAAAGTGCAAAATCGGCGGCCAAACAATGCATACGACTCGATCAGAAACGCGGCTGAACGAAGGCCGAAACCAGTCAAGCGATTCACATGTGCCAGAGCATGTGAGCCAACAACATGGGATTGACCTGCGATGCGGAAAGTTCACGGCCAATTCCTGTCATCGTAGCCAACTGGGCCTCAACAAATTCCAGCTGTACGGCATTCCCCCCAGAAAAAGATCCAACCTGGAATATCCAACAGCATACATCCGAACAACTAAACACTCGGACTCCCCTTGTCCCGTTCTGAGATGGCTGTTTGCTGCGCACGGAACACCTACAAGCCTCTCACCACCAAAGCCTGCAGGCCCCATCCCCCTCCAAATCCCCCCCTCCAAAAATCAAAGCAAAAAACACACACAAAAAAAAAACACAGGCCCATCCAAGCCCCAACACCCTCTCCCACCCACCCTACCCCCCCAAGCCGCCCCCCCCAAGCCCGGCCTGCTGCGCCTTCTGCGCCTCCGCGGCGCTTTGCTCCGCCGCCGCCAGCTGCGCCTCCAGGGCGCCGCTGGCGCGGCCCGCCGCCTCCCCGGCCGCCTCCCGCGCGCGCTGCTCGCGGCCCATGGCCACCTGGAAGCACCGGCGCGAAGCCTTGGGGACCTGGAGGCTGTGGGGGTTGGGGATGGTTTTGGGGGTTGGTTTTGGGGGTTGGTTTTGGGGACCTCCTGAAAGGGTTGGGTTGGGTTGGGGTTCCTGCATGTTTTGGGTTAGTAGCTCCTTGGGCAGGTGTTCGGTGGTTTTTGCCTGGGGTTCCTGAAATGTTGGTCGTGTTTTCGGTGGATTATCTTGGTCACTGAAGGGCTTGGTTGTTTGCCCTCCTTCTCTGGGAAAGGGACATCTCAGTTTTTGTTGGCTGCTTGTTTCCCCTATTTGTTTTTTTTTTGGGGGGAGATGGCCTGGATGCTGCTCACCATGCCGGCGGTGCGCTGGTCCGTCTGGCGCCGGTCGACCGACTCCTCCTCCAACTTCCCCGCCAGCCTCGGCAAAACGTAAAACGCGGTTGGTCCAGAAAATGGACTGCAAAAAGTGAGTCCCCCCTCTGCGTTGTTTGTATACACACACACACACATATATATATGTATATATATATATATATAATGTGCACATGCATTAACATGCACAAGTGTGTATGTATATATATATATATATGTATATATTTGTGTGTGTGTGTGTGCGTCGCGTGCGTGAAAATAAGGGAGGCCTCTGGTGTTATCAATCCCTGGCTGATTGAAAGGCCACTATTCTTATGTGTTGGTTTGGCCCCTACGGCTTATTTTAAGGGTGCTAAATTATATGTTTTCTGCGTGCCTCTTCACGGGAAACCCATACGAATCACCTGGTTGAACAAAGGGCTTGCCGAGCTTGAGGGTCCTTTGGCCAATAGCTTCCTATCAAATAGAAAGGGGTTCATCAATTGATTTCCCCCTCAAACGGGCTAAAGCCCGTTTGATGGCTGATGTATGCTGATACGCGCAAACAAAAGGGCGACGGCGATCAGCCGACTTCCTATGGATGTGTCTGCCGGCTTCGTCAGAGCAACTTTGCCAGGCCGCGGTCACAAAAATACTTGCCAAAATCTCGGGCACCACCCCTACTGTAACTGTTATCTGGGGCGTTGGAATGTAGAAACCATCCTCTTCAAGTCTTTGTTTCCAAGTGCCTATGGCCCAAAAAAGTCTGACAGAAGCTGATGGAAGTGCTTTAGAAGACTACAGTCACGATGAAACGGCCTGTCCACAATTGTTAGAAGATAGAAGGCTATAAAATAGAGGCCTTCTAAAGTAATGGGGGTTGTTGGGGAAAAAACAACAGGTAGACATTAAAACCAAGCTGAAATCAGTGCCGTCCGCAAATTTGGAAGACTACTTTCACTCTGGGCAACACCGGTCCATTTCCATGGGTCGTTGTGTTGAAAACGGCGCGGCGCCATCTGGCAAATCCGTCCCGTGTCGGCTTGAGAAAACGAATCGGCACGGGGAAGCAGAAGCAGGGGCCCAGAAAAACTCCTGCCCACGCCTCTGCACAAAGGGATCCTACCCCAGATTGGGTTTCCCAGGTCCCAAACCCTGGCTTTTGGTGTGACCAAAGACCCCTCTGAGGTAACCTGAAGCCCAGGTAAAGGATAGACATCTTCAAGAAACATGAATATTTCTTAGGTCGTCCAAACCCCTGCCACGGCGCTCTTGCAAGGACTCCAGCTGCTGCAGCTGCTGCTGCCGAACGCCTTCCGCCTGCTCCGCCACCAGACTCCGCAGCTTCGGCTCCATCTCCTGATGACCCCCCCATCCCCCTACCGCCCCCAACCCCCACCAACCATCCCCAACCCCCACCAACCACCCCCAACCATTCCCCGCCCCCACCAACCATGCCCCTCCCCCCCCAACCATCCCTCCCCCCACCAACCATGCCCCTCCCCCCCCAACCATCCCCCCCCCCATCCGTTGGATTGTCCCCAAAAAAGTCTGAACAACTTGTTGCTTTTTGCCACTAAAAGGATCTTCGCCAAAAAGTATGGAGTCCAGGCACTCAGGAAGTAAGCCCCAACCTGCTTTTGTTTTCCAGTGCAACGGGCATCCGCCTTTCCGGCTGCATGGCCAATGGATGCCATGGACATTGGCTTTAACAAATCGGCTCGGGTTCTTCGTGGGGGATTCCCCATCCTGCTCAGCAACCCGAAATGCTGCAGGGAAACTGCTGCAAATGTCTTTCAAACAGCCTCCTTTCGTTTTCGCCGAAACCCCATCTCACTGAGCGGGTTGGACAAAAAAAAAAAGGTCTGATCTTCCCGCACAACTCCGGAAGGCTTTTTGGGGTTCCCCCCCAAATCATGAAGGCTAAACAAGGAGGGGTTCGGAACACCTCTTTCCTTTTGGGGCGCCCTTTGGGATCTTTTGCTAAAGCAAGATATCGGCCGAAACTGAAACACCCCCCCCCCAAAAAAAAAGCCCGCCTTGGGGCAAAAAAGAGTGGCCGAACAAGGGTGTAATACAAACAACAAGAGAGTGTAAGTCAGACACCACCACTGGAAGCGTTGCGCTGCGCTTCCACTGCCGGTACCCCAGGCTGGGGGTAAGACACCGAGGTGGACGAGCTTTTTGCTGGGCACATAGGTGTCCTTTTACGGGAAATAGATGGCCCTGGTAGATGATTAAACCACCAGGTAAACCAGGGCCATCTATTGTTCTACCAAACCAACCAAAAAGGACACCTACTACTGTGGATGGACAAAAGCCTGCACCACGTGGAAACCATGGGAAACCATTGTTTGTTGGTCTTTACAGGGGAATCATCCTTCCAGGGTCTCTGAGGTGGTGCGAAATGGATTTCGTCCATCCACAGTATGGGGCGCATCTCTCCTTCACCTCCTCCAGCTGCTCCTTCCAGGTCGCCCCCGCCTGCGCCAGCTTGGCCTCGGACTCCTGCGCCAGGTCCTGCATCCGGGAGGAGAGGGAAAAGAAAAAAAACAAAACAAAAACGGCACGCATCAAACATCCCAAAAATAAAACTGCACGCAAGAGAAATGAATGGGCACCCCGGATCAATAAACCCCTGTTGATTAATAGGGGGTGCCCCTGTTTCAGTGGAGAGTCATCAATGTTGGCCCTATTAATAAACCGGTTTATTAATCCGGGGTCAACATTATGCGGGACATATGTGGTTTTTGAATGACTCTTGGTAGCAGTTGGTTTTAATTGGTAGGAAATCGGAGATCTGTGTTTTGCTTGGCTCTTGGTAGAGGTTTGACACGTTGAGTGGGAGACGTCATAGTTTGAAACCCTGCAAACTCTACAAGGCTAAAAGTCGAAGGGTGTGAATACTAATCTAAGCCTGCACTTTCCCGCCGACCCCAACTCCAGTGATACTAGGGGCTTTTTAGAACCGATGCTAGACCACTGCTGAAACCACGGCCAAACCAATACTAAGCCAATACTACATCAATACTATTCAATACTATACCTAGGATTCAAACGCATTATGTCTTCCTCTTCTTAAAGTTTGTCTTGATAATGATAATTTATGACAAAACAACCCTTGTTCACCTTTCCTAAGCAAAAGCACATCTGACGCAAGGAAAGCAGTGACACGCCTTAGGGCATTTTGAAAAATATGCTTGCTCCTGTTGGGAGGGGGGGAGGCTTCACCATCATCAGGGGGAGCTATTTTTACGTGGGTTGGTGCAGCCAAGCGGGAGCGAACAAGTGGTGTGCACGTACCACTCCCAGCGCGTTTCAAGGCTCGCGCTCAGCGGGAAACCACTGCCAAGGGTGACGCAAGCCCTTGCTTAAACTATTGCTTAGACAACCTCATGTTGGTTTCCATTCAAACAAGACCAGGAGATGGTTGTTTCAACAATTTTGCCCAACCCTACCACAGGGCCTTGAAGGATACATGCCTGTGTTCCTTCAAAGGTGACCTCTGGTGGGTTCCTGCCTTTTTGGGCCAAGAGACATGCCCTTCATTTCTTGGCTGGGACCAAGAAGCCCACAAAGCGGCCAAGCCGATGTCGCCTTCAGCTGTCTTTGGAGCACGTCCAGCTGGCTCCCGCGGCTCTCTTTCTCCACCTCCCGGGCTGCTTGGCTTCGAGTCAGATTCCGTGGTTTGGAGCGGTGCTTTGGAGTTGGGCTTTGAAGCCCTGGTTCTTGTAGAGGATAAGACACACACACAGACAAAGACACAGACACAGACACAGACACACAGACACAGACACAGACACAGACACAGACACAGACACAAACACAAACAGACAGACAGACAGACAGACAGACAGACAGACAGACAGACAGACAGACACACACACACAGACACAGACACAGACACAGACACACAGACAGACACACAGACAGACACACAGACAGACACACAGACAGACACACAGACAGACACACGGACAGACACACAGACAGTCACACACACACAGACAGACACACACAGACAGACAGACACACACAGACACACACACAGACACATCAGACACACACACACAGACACACACACACAGACACACACACACACACAGACACACACACACACACAGACAGACACACACACACACACACACACACACACACACACACACACACACACACACACACACACACACACACACACACACACACACACACACACACACACACACACACACACACACACACACACACACACACACACACACACACACACACACACACACACACACACACACACACACACACACACACACACACACACACACACACACACACACACACACACACACACACACACACACACACACACACACACACACACACACACACACACACACAGACACACACACACACACACACACACACACACACACACACACACACAGACACACACACAGACACACACAGACACACACTGACACACACAGACACACACAGACACACACAGACAGACACAGACAGACACAGACACAGACACAGACACAGACACAGACACAGACACAGACACAGACACAGACACAGACACAGACACAGACACACACACACACACAGAGACACACACACACACACAGCGACACACACAGAGACACACACAGAGACACACACACACACACACACACAGACAGTGCACACCTAGCCTCTTGCCCCAATAACTTGGAGAAACACCCCAATTTTGGCGTTTCAACAGGCAGAAAACATGAGAAACATCGTCGTGCCCTTTTGGGGTGCCCTTTGGCGAATTACGAACTCTTCTTTGTTTTTTGGGCAGGGGAGGTTGGTAGGGTCCCCGCTTTCAAAGCTGAGAGTCGGCCAGAAAGGCGAGCCATGCATTCCTTCCTGGGCGCTAGCCCACTAATGTTGGGGGTTGATATGGGCCATGAAGGGAACATATCAGCTACTTAACCTGCCAACGCGAAACAAGGGATAAGCGTAGGAGCGGCAGGGCTAGTCAAACCCATTTTGCTGTGGGTCAAATATAGGGTAAACATCCTGGTGACTAATTTGACCCATACCCAGATGAGTTCCACTAATTTAGATTGGGGCCATGCCCCATTTAGCAGGAAGTTCCTCCCCTGATCTCTCCAAAGGGTTCAAAGGGTCAAGGGAGGGTTCAGGTTGGGAAAAACTGGTCATTGAATCAGACCGTAGCAAGCTTTGAAGCAACATTTGGAGGATCAAGTGGCTCAGGTTGACCCCATATTAATCAACCCCAGTTTATCAATAGGCCCTCCAAAAGTGGTCTGATTCCGCACAATTTCACCCAAGGCAACACACTCCATATAAATAAATTGACTGGTTGCTTGATAGGGGGTCAACATTAAGTGTGATCACAGGTTCCACTTTGAGCACCGCGATCTCCGCCTGCATGGCCTGAGACAACTCAGCAGCCCGCTGCTGCCAGGCGTTGCCGCTCGCCGTCTGCGTGGCCTCCGGGTGCTTCGATTGCCGCGGGGTCGGGGGCCTTCGTTGCAAGCCGGTCTGTGGAGTGCTGACTTGTTGTGATTCAAAGGAAAACTGAAGAGAAATCGCTAAGGGGAGGTCCACCGAAAAGAACATACTTTTTGTTGCTCGATTTTCAGGGGAAACCCACCAACCGAAAACAAGAAAGGGCGCCGGCGCCCTTAACTCCAAGATGGAGACCGTGATGCACAACAGCAAGCCCATCTTCAGGCTTGCTGAGCCAGAATCACAGATCGGGGATCCTTTTTCACAAAGAGGCCCGACCACCGTTCTGGGGGGTGGGGGTGACGGCGCCCTTGTGTAGTAGGGCAGGTCTGGGCTGAAAACCTTGCCAGCTTTCGGCCCGCCCTGTATCAAATAGCGGGTTTTTTTGCCATAGCTCAAGGACGATCGAGGCGAAACTCCATTTCAGTTGTTGCGGGGTTCAGTCGAGTCGGTTCGAGCAACCGAGTGGCCGTGTTCTTCCTTCTAGGCGGCTGACCCCGGCCCTCACGCGTTTTCCATAAATCGGAACAATAGACCGAAGTGGCAGCAAATGAAGTAAAGGGAAACCAGGAGGAAAACCATTTTTCTGGTGGCCCCCCATTTTAAGACACACACACAGAAAAAAAACAACTCAAGAGAGACCGAGCCCAAAGCGCCTCCAGGCGCTCACGCTCCGCAGCTCCTGTAGCCAGCTGCTGCTCCAACTGCTTTCCCAGCGCCTGGTTCTGGCATGTCTCCAAATCGGAGCATGGGCTTCCGCGAGTCCGAAGCAAAGGGGTGCCCTAAGCCCAAGCCAAAGCTTCCCATCCCAAGGTCACGTGAACAAAAGAAGCCAGAGCACCAGAGCGAAGCTTCACTTGCGAGCCAAAGCTTCCAAACCTTCCAAACCTTCACTACGAATAGAGCACCAGAGCATGCGATCCTTGCTTGTGGCCAGGACTCGCAGTTTACTCGTTGCCCTGGGTCTGGTGAACCCAAAGCCCCCCAAACCTGTGATCACACTTAGCCACTTGAAGATCTTCCACGATTTGCTTCAAAGCGACGGTCTGATTCTTCAATGTCCAATTTTGCGCAACAGCCTGATAATTGAATTGAGGTTCGCGAGAATGTGGGTGGCTCGTCTTTTTCCGAGTTGGTAATTACTCCTTTTGTGGCTGGTTCACAGGAAGGTTAGAGGTTCATGTCAGGGGCCTGTCGTTTTCAGGGTGGCTTGATTAGACTATTAGACATAGATGGGCTCCACTGGTTTAGATTGATTTCACTCCATTTATCAGGAAATCCCGTCCCTAGTGTCTCCAAAAGGTCGATGGTCAGGCCGAGCTTCCTTACGCGCCCCCCGCCCAAAGGACTCTAACTTGAAGCTAGCGACAAGGTGAGACTCAAACCACTTGAATCAATCCATTTGGGACATCTACAACCCCTATGGAAATCTCAAGTAAATCTCTAAACTCCAAAAGGGATGGTACACCGAAACGACCATGGTACGGTTGCAGCCCCCACCCCCAACAGTTCCCCATTCTTCCCCTCAAAACATCACACCTGCCAAAAAGACAAGCTTGCATGGGCCCCTACCACCCGCACCGAGCCCTCCCCAACCCCACTCCCTGGTGCCACGCACACCTAGGAGTACATGTTGCAGCCAAGAACCCTAAAGAAACCCTAAACCAAAAACATTCATTAAACAACAAATACCTTAAATGAATAACAAACAAACGCCCTCAGTGTCCATCATACTCCCCCCCCCTCCGGGGCCCTCTGCCCGCTTTCGCCCGCTTGCCCTCCGCTTGCGCCTGGCGCAGCTCCGCCTCCTCCGCCAGGCGGGTTCCGAGCTCCGCCAGCCGCGCCTCCAGCGCGGCGCTCTTCGCCGCGGCACGCTGCGCCTCCGCCTCCGCAGCGGCGCGGAGGTCCTCCACACGTCGGCCGCGAGCGGATGGCGGGTGGCGGGTGGGGCAACAAAGATCAGAGAAGCCCAACACGGGGGAAGCCCGGGTAAGTGGAAGCATGGCTGCCTCTTTGGGGGAACTTGGGTTTGGAATGGCAAAGCTTGGTGGTTTGGAGTGGTTTGGATTTGGGTGTTGAAGCACTGTATGCGATGGTGTCGTCGCCAGCTCCCCCAGGGCAAATGCCGTCTTCGGATTCCACTGCGGCGACGAAGAGCACGTAGTCGGTGTTGGGCACGCCTGGGCCACCTGCGGTGTTGTGACACACGCCTACCTCAGGGCACACCACCTGCGCTCGTGTCCTGCTTGAGGAATACTGTGCCAGCCGTCTGTGCCACGTTCACACCGGCGCCATCTGCACGACGCAACCACCAGCCCCGTGCCAAGCCTCATTCTCTCTTGGTGTCTGATCTGCCGCATAGCAAAGGACGGGGTGCGGCTGGAGCCCGAGTGCGCATGCCTGCACTCCCTCCTGATGCCGTATTGGGTGGGCTCTTGCAGAGGATAGATGAACAACACCTAACCTTTTGCCCCGGTCACATGAAGAAACCCCAACATGCCAACAATGGACTTCGGGATAAGCTGACAAAGAACCTCACTGGTCGCAGGCTTCTAGGGAAAAGGCCCCAGCTGCCTTCCTGCCAGACTCAACATAAACAGGGCCAAAGCGCAAAACATAGCACAAAGGAGGCACAGCGCGCAACAAAAACATGTAAAGCGTCAGCTAAGCCTGGCTTAACACGTCCGGCCATACGCGAGTCGTTCTCCTGGAGCCGGCGTAGGGTCTCATCCGCCTCGCGCTGCCGCCCGGTTTTCTCCTGCTGAATCGCCTCCTAGCGGCGCGGAATTGTTTCCAGAAATTCAATCATTGGAGTTCTTTAGGCCAAGGCATCTTCCGTGAAGGTGACTTAGAAGGATCGATTCCAAAACCCTCCCGTAAAAGAAAGCACCTCGTGGGTGGCCAGGTCTTGCACCTGAAGCAGGAGCCCGTCACGCCCACCCCACCCGCCCCCGATTTCAAGCACCGTCCCTGTAATAACTGAAATCCACAGACCCCCCAAAAAAACCCCAGATGAGTGTGGCTCACAAATTCAGGGGTCCAAACTGGACCCATGGCAAATGGAAAGATGTGGAAAGGTACCCTCTCTCGCACTAACATGGCACCTGAAGAAGGGTCCCTCCCACAGGAGTTTGATTTTCCAGGTACCCTCCCGCAGGTGCCATATTAGTTGGAGGGAGGATAGACTAAACCCTGCCACTGCGCAAGCCCAGCTGTTGTGTTTTGACCCACACCCAGATCGATTTCCAGTTACTCCAGCTGCTCCAGGCTCCCATCTGGCTTCCCCTTAGCTTCACCCTCAGCCTTCCGCCCTCCGCCGAAAAGGCGCTTGGCTTCGGTGACTTCCGGGGTTGCGAAATCCATTTTGCACCACCCATGAAACCCTGAAATGATTTGAGTCCCTTGATTTCCCTTGATTTCTCTCTGGTTTCTGAGGATTCGCGAATACCGCAGTCACCCATGGTTTCCACTTTCCACCCTCGGTTAAACATTTCGTGGGGTGCAAGACGCGGATTTCACGAGCCGCTCTCCTGGAGGGCGGCCTCCTTGCTCTGCAGGGACTCCACCTGCTCCGTTTCCAGCGCCGCCAGCTGCTGCCCCAGCGAACTCGTGGCCTCCGTGACCCGCCGCTCGGCCTCCTGCCGGGCCTCGTGGGGAAAAGAAGACGACCGCGGCCGAAAGGTTGTTGTCGACCCGCCCGAGGTGGCTTTCCTTTTGGCGACCTTTGAACCCCCTCCCCCCCAAAAAAAAGCAAAAACAGGTGCCCTCTAAAAGAAGAGACCAACGGTTGCCCGCAGGGTGGAAAGGGTGGAAAGGGCCTGGACACCGAAAGTCAAGTTCGGGCGGAACAAGTGGGTGAACAAACATGGCAACCCTTGAACAACAATTATGATGGCCTGAGTGAGAAGGGCCATAATGGGGGTATAGGCATCCATATGCAACCCGTCAAAGGACTCCACAGACCCGCGCCCAAAATCTGCGTCGCTTCGAAGCCCGCAGCCCGGCATCGCCTTATGGAGCTCCACCGCCTGCAGCTCCCGCAGCTCCGCCAGCTCCGCCTTCAGATTCGCCTGCCCCGCCTGAAAAAGGCGCTTCGGTGCTTCGATGCGGGGGTTCGGGTGGCAGCGCTTCAGACCCGGACCCAGGACCAGAGGCCCGGTGTCCTTTTTTTTTTTTGGTTGGCTGGACTGACTAGTAACAAGGAGGAGGTCATAGATGGAACAAGGGGGCCAAAGAAGGGCGGGCGAAACTTTCTCATGGCACAAATCTGGTCAAACTGTCAAAAAAGCTAACCTGCTTCGACAGCTTCCTTTTGTTCCACTGGCTCATGAACAACTCATCGGATGGCCACGCTCAGCGCATCCTGGTGCTGGTCTCGCTGCACAGCCAGCTGCTGCTCCAACTGCGCCGCCTCAACAAAAGATACGGGCTGAGGAGTCTGGACCCTTGAAACGAGTGGAACATCAGACTCCTCTTGAACCTGAAAGTTTAAAAGGTGCCCTCTTCGCACCTTCGATGGAGTGAGGGAAAATGGTTTAGAAACCTGACATCAGTGGAATTCACCTATGTTCAACCAACCTAAAAAGGACGGCTGTTGACCTACATTCTGCATTGCCCGATGTTGGGCAGGATGAAAGCCAAGAACCAGACGTTGCGGGGGGCCACATGCAAATTGAATCTTCAGCTCACTTCCGATCGAGTGGGTTGCTCAGAAAAAAGTATCCAAACTTTGTATATTTACATATATTTACCACGGCAGTTGTTCCAAACCCGAAAAGAGTCATAGACAAAATCGTGGGCGTCTCAGGTTTCAACAGGGTTGGCAGGGGCCTCCACCGAGCTCCAAGCAACGTGCGCGAGGTGTGCGACACCGCGCGCCTACCTTCCGAGCTATCTTTCACACCCACTTTGGGTGTCAAAACCCGACCAAAAAAAGTACTCCCCCTCCCCCCCCCAAAAAAAAAATACCCACGTGATCCGCTTAGCTTGCGCCATCCCTTCCCCCCTCTCGCAACGTCTCGCAAGCCTTGTGCCGGCCCTCACCGAGCTCCGCCGCCATCTCTGCGAGCCGCACCTGGGGAAACCGAGCCCCATGGACCCTGGGCCAAACCATGTGGACGAACTCGGCAAGTTTGGAGCGAAGCAACAACAAAAAATTTTAAAAAAAAATGGTACCCTTTTGGCCCAAGTTTTCCCTTGAAGAAAGTTGGACCCCTTGGACCTCTTGAGAAATTCATTCGACTCCCCTAAAGAACGATGGAAGAAAGTGAAGGTGACCTCAGAGCCTCAGCCCGGCCCAGTCCGGAGCACGGACCGATCCCGTTTTGTTTCTTTCAAGGGCGCTGAAGGACCAGCTGCACTTTACATGAGCATGGCCAAGCGACATGAGTTCATTTTTTACAAGCAGAGTGCACAGTAGCCGGGGTGGAAGCTCCATAAGGGCAAGATTCTGAAGGACAGTATTTTTGGGGGAGGGGGCAGTTTATACAAACACACATATATATATATATATATATATTGGGGGGTATGATTGTGATGCCATACATTGGGATCACTTCTTCTTTTCTTTTTTTGTTTGGGGGGGGGTTTAGTGGAAAACGCAACTTGATTTCAACCAAAAAGTTAAAGTCTAAAGATCCAACCCAATAGCAGTCAAGGCGGAACAGGGATCCTTACATTATACACTTGAACATTGCCTTGCAAATAATTGTGGTTTCCCCTTATTTTGGTGGAAAAACCATGTTTCAAATGGGCAACATGTATCTTTTAAGGAGCCCTGCGGAAGGGTACAACTTCTTTCAGGTCCTCTGCCTTGAGGTCTCCCAGGATCTGCCGCAGCAGCGCCCAGCGCAGCACCCCCGACTCCTCACTCGGCCCGAGCTGCTCGGATTTTGGCCCAATTCAGTCTTTTGCTGGGCGTGGTGCGCAAGAGGCTGACTTTTATGGGGGAGAGGACAGGGCTTGGCCAGGCTTGGCTGCGCGCAGAAGTCGTATCTTCCCGAAGAGGCCTTTCGGAGATACCAAGACCAATAAGCCAAGCCACCTGAAGCCCGGAAACAGCACCCAAAGCTGCAGGAAGAGAAACAAAGAAGAACCATCGCCCCCTCCAAACGGTTGTTTGAACTGTTTGGAGGCATGAACAACGGGGGGCAGCTTCCCTGGATAAGCTTGAAACAAGCCAAGACAAGCACTCAACAAAGCCTTGCTAGGGGCTTAATTGATGATAGCCCCCTCCTCCTCACACAGCCCCCAACCACGAAATCCTGCACCAAGAAACCATGGGAAACCAATGTTTGTGGCATTTACTGGCGAATCATCATTCCCGGGACTCTTAGGTGGTGCGAAATGGATGTCGTCCATCCACAGTATGAAACAAGAACCTTCATCATACCTCGCAAGTCTTCTGGTGACGTCGTCCTCCCTTGCTCGCTCGAGGTCCAAGAGCGCATCCTCACCAGTGCCTGCAGCGCTTTGATGTCCCACCTCCATCCCACCCTCCAACAAATCATCGCGCCATTTGTAGGGAGCTCCCAAATGGACCCCCCGGGTGGCCACTGCCAAATACAGCGCATTGATAGAAAGAGAGCGCTTGCTTGGGCTTACACTTCCCCATCACACAAAGAAAAAACACACATTGCAAAGAGAACCCCACCGAAAGCGGAGAAAAGCGCAGACTTTTTCCGCCAGGAAGCATGCGTACATGTTCCGATATTTCGGTAGAACCCCCCTTCAAACCAAACCAACCACAACCCCCCCTCCCGCATCCCATCCTGGGGCCCCCCGCTGATGCGCAGCTCCGAGTCTGCCTTGGTCACGGCCCTGGCGTCCTCCAAAAGGGCAATTTGGCCATTTTCGGGTTGACCGTTTAAAAGGTCCGTGATGACCTTGGAAAACCACGAGAAAAAAATGGTCATCCCATGGTCATCCACTAAGGCTTCATCCACTAATTGGGGTAATCCCATTGGAAATGGCTTGAAAGGGAATCGATTTCGCTACTGGAAACATGTTTTTGCCTCTCTTTCTTTGTGGGGGCGAACAAGCAAGTGGAAGCCAAGGATGACCGTTGGGGGAAACGCAACGGAGAAGGCATGATGTTTCACCACTTTTTCGGGAAACAATCATCCATGCTGAACAAACCGGGGGCCTGAAGGGAAGTAACGATCACCCCCCCCCCCCAATTAACACATTTTGCAACAGGACCTGTATGGTGATCAGCTTTTGGGGTGCCATGAGTGGACCAAATACGTTCCACGGTTTCTTAGGTGGTTGCCATGAGTGGACCAAATTACGGAATCCTTTTCCTTTCTTGGCATTTGTGTTGGGGTATAGAATCAGGGTTTCTTATGTGGTGCGAAACGGATTTTGTCCAGGAAAAGCAAAAGAAAAGGCAAATTAATGTCGATTCACTTTAGAGAGTCTTGTTTGCCTGGGCATCCTTTCGGGTTTCTTCCAGGTATGGAATAGTCATTGGTGAAACCAACCGGTCTTTCCTTTTGGACCCTTTGGGTGCGGCCACGGTTGCCCAGGGCGACCCAAAAACCCAAGGGCAAAACATGCCTGTTGAACATCACCTCAAAAACTCGTGCCGTCCAAAAAGTGATGACCATAATGAGTAAAAAATATGTTCTGAGAAATGCCTTTGGCATCACTTGCAACCTGAATTACCCAAGTACCACAAACCGGGTCTTTCTTGATGCATCCGAACGTTCCCTGCTTCGCAAGGATTTGGATCAAATCACTGGGTATTGGCCCATCCGCAGGGCGCATCAAAAACTAGGTTTTCGAGATCAAGTTGCCTCACCTCAAAATACACAATCAGATCACAAAGTCTAGAACGTGTCTTGGCTTTTAAACAAGGTGAAACATCCAGTCAAATAGCAGGCAAGGCTGCTTTGAGGCCTTGCTCAAGAAAAAGTTGGTTGGTTTCCCTATGGTTTGTTTCCTAGTGGCGGCTTCCCTATGGACGTCCTTTGTTAGGTCCCCTACATGGGTGTCTTTTTAGGCGTGAGGGGTGCAAAAATACCCACATAAATGGGGTGCCAACTCCAAAACACACGTATTTCGCGGAAGAAAAGCTGGTTGGCTTCCCCACGGGTTCCCTGTTCAGGTCCCCTTTCTGAGGTGCGAAATGGATTTCGTCCATCTACAGTATTGTTGGCTCTTCTGCTTTCCCTTGATTGTTGGAGCAGGTTCAGTTTTTGTCCAGTGTCTTTTTCCTGTGATTTGGGAGACAGGCACAGTCGAGATTTCCTCATGTCTAGCTCCGGGTGAACATTTTTCCTGGCTTGCAGTGAAACAAGCTGGTTCATCCGGTTGTTCATGTCTTTCCTCAACAACAAACTTGGCTGGTGTCCCTATTGGGATTTCTCTCTGGGTTTTTTTCTTCTGGAGATTCCCCTTTGTAGGTACCACGAAAACCTCCGGAAACCCAAGAAGAAACAAAAATAGCTGGTGTTCGAAAAGAGAGATGGTTGGAAAGAATGGAAAAGTAATCAACCCCTAGAGAGATGGCCAATCCACGGAAGTGAGACAATCTCAGGAAGTGGGACATCCTGCGGTTGAATCCAATTCTTGACTGAACATGGACCGGTATCAAGCATTTCTTTAAACCAGGGGTTGGAATCCATTAGAGCCATCCACAAGGCATCCCAAAGATGCAGATCCCACCCCTATGATTTCCCTATGGGCCCTTTGTAGGTCCCCCTATACTTGGTTGACGTTGGAAGGGGAAAATTTTAGCAGTTAAGTTGGGATTTCAACCACTAAACCACAATACGCAAAAATCTGCAAAATGTTTCAACCAACAACCATGGTTGTAGGTCCCCCTATTGCTTCTCCTGGCGTCCCCGTCCCGCTTCCCCTTCGTCCCGTTCAGTTCCCCGGTCCTCGTCGGTGCTCAAGCGGCCCTCCGGGCCGATGAGGTCGAAGGGCGCCGTCAGACCGAAGGCCCCGGCCACGCGGCTCTTCAGCGCCCCGAGGCCGTCCTGGCGAAACGAAACACGTCCAACCTGAAGCCCAGGCTGCAACCCCCACAAGAAAGGTTAAGCCCAATTTGGATGATGACAACCTGGTTCTAAACAAGTCCTGGAAGCCCCCGAGTGGATTGGTTCCGGAACAGCTTCCATCCCCGAGAAACTTGGGGGCCTTTGAAATGACCATTTCCCTTAGAAGATCCACCCGGGGTTTTGCTGGCCTCATGATTTTACCATGATCAAAGTCACCCAAGTGGTGGGCTTAAGGGAAACAACCCACCTTTTCTGACTTTGATCACCCCCAGAAACCGCCAAAATAATGACCCCGGTCTAAGGAGAAACCCAACAGATTCGAAGAACAAAAAAAACAGCTAAGGCTAACATACATGGAAGAACAAAACCGGGCGAGAAGTGTACTTCCTGAGTCGATTGGTCAGAAGCCCAGACCCCGAGGCCGTCCATGGCGGAGAAGCACATGTTGCCCATGTCGATTCGATCCAGGCAATGTTTTGCTCGAGCGAGTACGGGACTCTGATCCACACACACTATCAAAGGGCCTCCTTCAGGAGCCCAAAAGGTGACGTTCCTGAAATGCATGTTTTGCTCCATTTGGAAAAGACAATCTCCACCACTGCGGGGGCAACAATGCTGTTTTTCTTTTGCCGCAAAGAAATGAATTGCTGTGCCCATTGAAACAATGTACAGCACCCAAGGGACCACCCAGAAATAAAAGGTGATCACCTTTTGGCACCTCTACTAAACATGGACCAAAGTTGGAACACCAAAAGGTCAAAAGGTCGGCTTTGAACAACTAAGGATGTAGAGAACATGGAATCTAGACAAAGTAACCAAACTTTTTTAGGTTGCCATTCAAATGGCAAAATTGGTTGAAGTCCTTCAGAAATGGCAACCAAACCCCAAAAGTCACCAAAGTCCGAAACGGAACTCAGGGAGTGAGTTTTGCAACCGGGAGCCCCTTAGAAACCTGGAAGATTTGGAACAGGGCGGAAAACAGCTGCCAAAACTGGAAAACCTAAAGGTGAACCTCTAAACACAGGCCACTGCAAAACCAAAAAGGTCAAAAGGCAGAATTACCTGCGACTGCGATTCTTTGCAACCGGTTGCTCGTAGTGTGTGTGTGTGTGTGCGTGTGAGTGTGTGTGTGTGTTCTTTTGGTCAATGGAACCTAAAGGCTCTGGGCAATGTTCCCTTGAAAGAGCGGCTCCAGGTTGTCCAGGGTTAATGAGGCGAAAGCGGCTTTCTCAGGTTGCGTTGAAGCTCACCCGGCCGGACCAGGTGAGGTAGCCCCGAACGGTTCTGGTTGCTTCAGCACTTTTGAGGGGGAACTGTAGTTTTGAACACAAATGTGCGTCTTTCTACCATCCTCTGGTTTCTGTTGCAAGCAGCGCGAAATGGATGGGTTCCTAAAATCGGGAAAATGAGCCCATGTTGTGTTGAGAACCACCCTTCCAAGCTCCAGAAATGCACTCTCAACACGCCCGCTCACTGACAAGGGCAACCCAAAAATAGAAACCCAATGAAAAACGACGGGCACCCAGCGTTAAGCATTTTTGTTTTTAAACAAAACAAACTAACAAAAAAAGAAGAACAAAAAGAAAAAACACGCACACACACACACACACACACACACACACACACACACACACACACACACACACACGAGCCACCGCAAATCCTTGGAATTCCTTCGCTCACTTCACTCGACTTCCGCCCGTTTTCGCCTCGGGGCCCAGCGCCACCTTCGTAGCGCTGCCGGCCAGCCGCACCTAGCGTCGGCGGAGGAAAGAAGAAAAAAAGAAAAAACGACGCGATCGGAGCTCTGGGCATGGAGCCGGCCTGGGTGAGCCGAGGGTAATGTTGACCTGACCCCATGTGGATGGTTGCAAAATCCATTTCTCGCCACTCTACAAAATTCGATGCCCCTGTAAAATCCAACAGACAGTGGCTTCCCATGGTTGCAAAGTGGTGCAGGATTTCGTCCATCCACAGTGTTGACCCCGGACGAATCAACCCCAGTTCAGTTGCATTGATGAATAAGGGGGGTGCTTTTCCCTTGGGCGAAATGTGAGGAACCAGACCACTTTTGGATATTAATCAACTGGGGTTGATTAATATGGGTTCAACATTGGTGAAAAACCAGAGAGAAACGGATCCAGGGAGGTTTGCAGGTTTTTGTGAGTTTGGGTTGGGTTTTCGTTTCAGGGGGCCAAACGATTTGCTGGTGTGTTTTTTCTAAGGGGCCAAAGGATGGCCGACTCTTGTTGGTGTCCCTTTAAAAGCGTCCGGGATCACACTCACGCGGAGCTGGTTGCAACTGGCGCGCCTGCACCGGCGCCGCCATGTCGCGGCGAATCGAAGGCGGGCGAGGGAATCGACCGGCGAAGGTTCCCCTTGAGCCGCGGCTTGAGCCGCGAAGCCTTGATTCAATGGGTCCGCAAGCCTCAGCTCACCTATCGCAAACCTCCCAAAAGACTGAATATAGGTGCACTTCAAGACCCGGAAAAAGCGGGCGGAGAAAAAAAGCGAGCTCTCGTTGACAAGCAATCGCCCGCATCCCGGGCATTGCCCGCCGCGACCTTGCTTTTTGCCTGCTGGTCGTGGTTTGCGAGGGGTGCGCCGGGCGCCAGCCGGCCCCTCGCACGCCGAACAAACAAAACTGCGAGCCTCAGCTTCGGCCAATTGCCTGAAAATCGGCCCGATCGCCCATGCTCTCATGGGCTGCCCCCCACCATGGGTTTGGCAAGACAAGTGTTTCTGGAGGGTAGCCTTTGAAGGTTGGTTTAAAGGGAAACCAACTGGAAAACATCTTGTTCTTGGACCTCCCTTGGTTTCACCATCTACTCAGATGACGCCCCCCCCGCAAAGCGCGCCAAACGCTCAGCTCTTGAAGTATTCCGCCACGCCCTCGGTGGTTGGCTTCATGGCCTTGGCGCCCTTCTTCCAATTGCAGGGGCAGACCATGGGGCTGCCCTCCTTTACGCTCTTCTCGTGGAACTGCAGCGCGTCCAGGACCCGCATCACCTCCTGCGGCTGGGTCGATTTTGCCCCCATGTGTGTTTGAGGGTGCCGTTGTCAAATTGGTTTGAAAGGGCAGAACCCATCTCTTCTTTGTGTTTTTGTGTTTTCTTTTGGGGGGTTCCCCTATTTTGACGCAAGCCAAAAAAAAAACGAACGCGGCGGGAGTGCAGAGGTGGGAGGGGGAACAAGCACAAGGAGTCAGTGCGTGAGATATTCATGATCGCTCCATGATGGTACGCCAGAATTCCATCACATGAAAGGCCACACATCAACTTCAACCCCCTCGCTCACACATTGCAAGCAAATCCAAGCCAACGCAAGCCATGCCAGCAATGCTTGCTAGATGCAGCCCGGCAGGGGCACCCTGAATGGATGTCTCGCGCCCCGTTGCAATAGCTCCCCGACATGCTTGGCGCTTTCCTGTCCTCCACATTCCGCCCAAGGGGCAAGTCATTCTTCATCTCCGATCTGACCACCCCTTCCTGCACGGTTTTGCCCGCCATCCAAGCTGCGCTGGTGGCTCAAGTCAACATGCACTTGCTTGTTTCTCCTCAGGTGGTAGCAAAGGGAGGATTCATACAACAGATTCCCCAACACCTCACCCACTACCCAGGCCTCAAGGTAGCCCAAACACATCCGTTCATGGACTTTTGTGAACCCTGATGGCACGTGCACGAAGTGAAAGCGCATCCTTGTCGATGATGTACACCGCCCGCAGCGCCAGGCCATTGTCCAAGAGACACCCATAGGCATCAACCACCTGGGTGGTCCAATCAATCTTGGGGACTCCAATTAAGCACAGGGCAAACCAAAAGGAAACCCACCACCTGGAGTGCTGGATCTCCTAATTGTCAGAACCCCCAAAAAGCCCTGTTTCCATTGAAACTGCCACTTCGGACGTCCCAGACAAGGGAAACGAAGGGGCCTCTTAGAAGGAAACCAAGAAGAAACCAACCACTTGGATTGGCCTCCTTGTGAAAACCCGCCTCCTTCTTCACGTCTGCCAACAGCGGGTGAGTGATCGGGCCGATGCCGCCCTTCTCCTTGGGAGTGTTCTTCCAAGCCTCACGAGCCACGTGCCCCACAGTGCAAGCTCAGCACCTTCACAAAAGTGTGTACCCTTTTCGGGCTGATTGAGGAAACAACAATCAAGACCAGACAGCCGAAGCCAGTTTTAGGGGTCCCCCAATTTTGACACATACCTGATCTCGTGGGCCCCTCCCGGCCTTGTGCACGTGCTGCGTGTCCACCGACAGGCCCAGCACCTGCACGTCTCGTGCCTCGAACTCCTTCTGCATCTGCGAGAAGGTCACGAGTTCGCTGGCGCAGACGAAGGTGAAGTCCGCCGGGTAGGTGTAGAGCACCACATATTTCTTGCCTACACGCCAGACGCCAGACAAAAGGAAGAAAAAAAGGCAAAATGGTCACCTCGACTTTCTACCTCTTTAGACGCAACCATTTGGCTCAGGCAGGTTGAGTAGTGGAACAGCCTTTAACTTTGGGCTACCCGCGATCCCCACTTGTGAACATGTGCTCGTTTGAACGCCCATTGCACAGAGCGCGCCAAGTGCTGCCAAAGCTGCCGCGGAAACTGCTGAGCTCGACCTCCTGGAAGGAGTCATCCGGCATGCCTTGCGAAGCAGCGACAGCGTCAAGCGCCACCATGGGTATGCAACAGGAAACCGCAGTAATTACATTTTTTGCAGGAAAGTCCATCTCGTTTGGCACATGCCCAAGAAGGGGTGACATAAAGTTGCTCAGAGACCTCTCCAGGCAGCCGCGCACATGCGTCACATGGGCGCATCTATTGGTTGGCAAAGGGAAACCATCCATCGGAATCCCATGGAACGCGCAAAAAATGGTCCACTTCCATTGTTTTTTTGGTGCAAAATGGATACAAAGTTTGTAAAGGTGCTCCGCCCAATACTCTGGATGCACAAATCCTGCACCACTTTGAAACCATGGTTGAAACCATGGTTTGCTAGCATTTACCAGGCAAATCGAATCCTTCCGTCGGGTTTCCTAATAGAAGCGGATTTCGCAACCACCCACAGCATCACCCAGAAGGCGGAGACATCTCGTCGAACAGTCGGGTCCAAGGCGCAAGCTTCCAGCTTGAAGTTGGGCGCCGGCTGCTGGACCAGCGTGCACAGGCCCCGCTTCTGGCCCCTTGGCTCTGCCATGGTCCTCCGGCCGGGGGCTTTTCACTGGGCTGGAACTAGGACCCCAGCAACAAAAATATCTGTTTTGCCTGGTTAGTGGAAAACAAAGAGGACCCCAAAATAGCAAAAAGACAGGGGAGCTAATTCTGGGGAAGTTCAAAGGGAGGTGCCGGCCGTGGGGCCTAGGTCAAGGAAGACCCAGTGTGATGCGTGTATCTGTCTTCGAGGGTATCCCTTGGGGATTCGAAAGGAAGCCGGAAGGAAACCAATTCTAAGAATGGATTCTCCAACCAAGGCAATTTGTCAATCGACTCGTCCCACCTCCTGGTTGGCAAAATGGGGTGAGAGCTGCAAACTAAAGCCGAGATAGCCAACACAGATCTGCTCGCTCAGACACCATGCATGCTATCACACGGGCACATGCAGCGGGGCTTGAGCTGCCGGACCTAGAAATGAAAGGGATTTTGCCAACGTGGCCAACGGGCGACAAAACGCTTGTGAGCAATCTCTGCGAGCGCCAGCTGGACACTTCCGCACGTCATTTTCTCGTGTCCGAAGCGCTCGGACATGGGCCCGGGATCCTGGCGCAAACTCCGTCCACCGTTTTTTGCCCCCCCCCCCCCCCCTTCCGCCCGTCGGCTTGTGCGACTGTGCAAGGCTCGCGCCTTCCCTCCGTGCCCTAGAAGCCTGCTCCTGCGATTTCGGCTCTTTTGGCTTCTGAGCAAGGGAAAAAAAACAAACCCCAGCCGGCACATCCGGCGCCTATCAAACTGCGCTGAGCTGCGGGCATCACTCTGCTCTCCCGCACCTGGTCCTGGGAAAAAGGAATGGGAGAGGAGCAAAAAGGCGATAACTCGGTTGCTTTCTGCTCCCCTGCTAAAAGTTTAACTTTGCGTGGTTGAATGGAAAACTCATTAGTTGGCAAAAAGTGCAAGCCCTAACATGCAAGCAAAATGCAACAAAATAAGTTTGGCTTCATCTTTCAGGCTCCGGCCTTTTGCCACGCCTGGCACGAGAGTCCGCTCTCGTTCTTGCCAAAACGCCCTGGCCCTCGCATTGCCCGAGGCTCAGGGCTCCCAAGGATGGGTAAACTAACCACTGCTACGGGCGGACGTGTCCCTTTTTTTGAGGTTGAATACGGATTTTCCTGTTGGTTCCCTTTTAAGCATCCGCCAAAAAATGGTACCCTGAAAAAAACCACACCCACACAAATCCTCATGAATCTCCCCTCTCCACCGAAGGGAAACAAAAACAAACAAAACGCGCCAAAGCTGCGCTCTCCATGAGGAGGAGCCCGCGAACCAAGGGCTCGGGATCTGCATCCGGCCTCAAGGCTCAACCCTGGCCCGGCAGGATCTGCATGGAATGAAGCAACACAAGGGCCCACTCGACAGGAAGGGGCTGGGGAGATTTTATGTTGGAATCCGAGTATCCCGCCCGAGCTGCTCGCCAGTGGATCCCGCCCAGTATCCCGCCAGAGCTGCTCGCCAGTGGGTCCCGGCGAGTATCCCGCCAGAGCCGCTCCGCCGAGTATCCCGCCAGAGCGGCTTTCCAGTGCATCCCGCCAAGTATCCCACCAGAGCAGCCTGCCAGTGGATCCCGCCGAGCATCCCTCTGAGCATCCCAGAGTAGCTCGCCAGTGCATCCCGCCGAGTATTCCGCCTGGATCCCGCCGAGTGAGACCCACCAGAGCAGCCCGCCAGTGGATCCCGCCGAGTATCCTGCTGAGTGTTCCAGAGCAGTGGATCGCGCCAAGTATCCCGCTGAGAATCCCAGAGCAGCTCGCCAGTGGATCGCGCCAAGTATCCCGCTGAGTATCCCTTGCCGGTGGATTTTGCCGAGTATCCGGCCAGTATCGAGCCGGAGCGGCTCGCCAGGATTCGCCAGTGGATCCCGCCAGTATCCCGCCAGATCAGCTCGCCAGTCTGGTTTTGCTAAATGTCCCGCCCGGCGCACAGTTGGGTTCACATTTCATGTTGGTGCCTTCGTGTTTTGAGTGTTCACTGAGGCTCGGAGAGGGGCGATGCTTTTGTGTTGCTTTGGGCTGCGAATAATCAACTTCGTTCAATCCCCCGTCGGGTTTCTTGTTGGAAGGGGCTTGGCTTTTGTTAACGGAACCGATGTTTGAGTTCTCGAGATCGGCTTGCAGACAAGTGGAGTTTGACACGCAGACAGGTGGATAAGGCTCTCAATGCAAAGCTTGTGGCATAGGCCCCAAGCCACTCGAAAACTATGCTTGAATTCACACAACCGTGTTCACGGTCGTTAGCTCGTGAGTAGGGCGGGGATTGCTCGAAGCGAAGTAATTCTTTTCATAGAAACCGGCTACAGGAAATTCTACCGGATCTGTTCAAAAGAACCCCGAATAGCAAGGATTTTCTGCAGGACGTTCTGTAGCTGTAGCTGGTTTGTTGGAGGCTTGTTTGCGCATGGTTCCAGATGCAGCTAACTCGCGTCCGGGCAAAGTCCCGGCGCCAAAATCCCCGAAAACTCCAACTTGGGCCTCAGGCCTTTCCTGCTGTCGTGCCAGCCGCGCCATCAAATGAGCGCGCCCCGTCCTCCAAGAGGACCAAACCTGACGATCCCGCTGCACTCGCCCGGGGTTCTAAATCGCGAATTGGGCCCCCGGCGATAGAGTAAATCCCATTGGGGCTCAAACCTCGGGTGCCGGGGCGCGCCATGCAGCGCAGCTTTTCTTGAGACTGAGAAGGGAGCCCTCAATGTTGTCCACAGTTCCGATGCCAGCGACTGGAGCACTTCTGCCGGAATCGGAAATTGCCTGCATTAACCTGGGCTCGGTCGCAGAAACGCACACACACACACACACAGACGAGCCCTACCATGCGAGCACATCAAAACCAAAAACCACCCCAAAACCGCGCCTCTCGCCCCGCACGGCAATCCGAGCAAACGCCCAGGCCGTGTTGGAAATCTCCAGCTCTCCGAGTTCAGACCTCCGAAAGGGCAAGTGGCCCTGCATGCCCTGCCAAAAACTGCTCTTAACTCACAGAAGTTGCGTTTCGGCCCCAAAAAGCACCGAACCTCCTTGGAACACTTTTAAGTAACCAACAAAAACAAAACGAACCCTAGGTACCTTTCCGGCAAGCCACAGGCATGTTGCTGTTCTGTGTTGCCTCGGTTGATCTCGGTTGTGTGTCTTTTGTGAGGCTGCCCCGTGATTGGTTGGCGCTCAAGGACACCGAAGTAAATTTGTTTATCGTGTGCTTTTTGAGGGGGGGGGGGGGGTCCCCGAAAACTAAGCAGGGACCCAGAGTGGGAGCCCCTTGGACCACACCCATCTTGTTTCTGGGGGCGCTGCATGCGCTGGGCCGCCTGCTCCCCGATGACGCCTCGGCGACGGCTGCGGAAAAAGTCATGTCCAAACGCTATGAGGCATGGAAGCTTGCCACCTTTTTAAGTTGTATTGCAGTATGTACCCCTTATGTAAGTTATATAGAACCTCCATACCCTCAAGTGCCATTAGCATGCCCTTGAAGGTGGACTAAGTGCGGGTCTCAGCAACGGCAGGTGCCGCAAGTTCAACGTGGCGAAACTGGCGGAAACGGGCAAATGTAGAGGCGAGAGAGAGAGAGAGAGAAGAAAAAAAAAAGAGTCCCCACTGGGCTGGTCGGTATGTCTTTTCGAAGATGAAAGAAAGACACTTCTTGACTGTAAGTTGGCGTGTCTTTTTGTTCATGGCAGCTCTTCTTTGGGGGGGGGGGGGGGGTGGTTAAAGGGAAACACAAGGGCCAACCAATTTTGAGGTTCCGCGATTTTGAAACAAACCCGCTTGAGTCACACCTAGAACCTGGCGCCAAAGAGGTCTAATACCATGGAAAGAACCGAGGTTTATTATATTCAGACGATCACCGAACAGGCATCCACCTAGGTTTTCATTGTGGCTCACTTGAGCCATAGTCAAAACCTGGCACAAAACAGTGAACGGAGTCACCAAGGCGGCCGCGCCCATGTATGATTGGGAGTGTCCCTCACTTCCCGAGTGGATAGGCCCAAAAAAGCCCGAACTTTGGTCCGCCACCAACATGGTCTTCCCAAAAAGTTTAAGGAGTGAGTACCCTTCGCTTCCCTAGGGTATGATTGTGGCTCCCTAGGTGTTTCCTTCTTCGTGCGTTTTTCCAACCGGAAATATCCCTTGAGCCCCTTGGCGCCTCCAAGCCATCACTGACAGCTCCTGCCTGGCACCGGAGCCAAAAGGAACCCGCTCTCGTCCGGAAAATGGGGCATTACCCGAAACAGTGGCTGAATGACTATCATACATACATACATACATACATACATACATACATACATACATACATTACATACATACATACATACATACATACATACCTACATACCTACATACCTACATACCTACATACCTACATACCTACATACCTACATACCTACATACCTACATACATACATACCTACATACATACATACATACATACATTACATTACATTACATTACATTACGTTACATGACATGCATGCATCCATACATACGTACATACATACATACACATACACATATATAAATATATATATATATAAATACATCCACATATCCGATTGACACCCTACCACTACCCCCCAATGGGGAGACCGGAATATTACCGTTCCAGCAGCTCTGTGCATATACATATTCTGTATTATATATTCTGCATATAAATATATGTATATTATATGTGTTCTTATTCGCTTGGGAGCCCCCGCACACTACGGGTCTCGGAAACCTGGCGCCAGCTCTGGGCCACGGGCTTATTCAACTCGGCGGCATGGTCCATTGCCTCGCGGGGTGCGTGTGGCGCGTGCGCTTGGTCCTGGTTGCCCTGCTTGTGCTGGGTTTTGTTGCGACTGCCGTTGGTGTGTTGGGCTTGAAGAAGGGAAACCAAAGGGAAAACACACGAGTCCCACCTAAGCTACAGCTGGAGAACGCCTCCCCACAACTAGCCCAGCGGTTGGTTTTGTTCTTCCCGCCTGCGCGGCGAGAGCCTGCAGAAAGGCAAAGTCGTGGCACCACAACCTGGGCCCAAAGAACTCCCAATGCAAACCCTAGAGTTCCACTTTTTGACTTCCCTAAGGCAGACTTCCCTTGGGGCGAAATCCACAACCCCTGGGTTTAAGTGTGCCTTGGGGTGGTGAAAAAGTGGAACCCTGCCCGGCAGGGACCCCCAGACCTTAGGGTGAGAGATGGCACAGTTCCCTTGAAGTACAAGGGCATGACTAAACCGCAAGCTACTTTCGAACTGGAATTCTCTCTGGGATTGCACATCAGGGTCTAAACCCTGGTTGCTTGCAGTGGAGAAACCGCCTACTCCTTTTTTTTTGCAAAAGGGCGTCTTCCCCGATTTTTCCCCTGGTTGCCTCATTGCTTGGGGGGAGGTGGAACCATCGCAGCCAAGCCCCGGGTTTTGCACCTCTCTGGGCCGCCCGGCTTGGCCAAGGCCCAGGACAGGTTGGCCACCTCCTGCGTGGTCAGCTCCGCTTGGATGGCCATGGCCTCCCTGCAGACCGCCCTCGGCTGTGAGAGGTCCATTGGTCCACTTCCCGAGTGGACTGGCCAAAAAAAAGGTCTGAACCTTCTGTTTACCGCTAAGTTTGAATCTGTTTTTTACCACTCCATCCCTGGTGTTTGTGCGGACTTTTACCACTAAAAATCGTCCCGTTTTTCTCATCTGGACGTACACATTCAGCCTTTGATCTGCCTTGGGATGCAGGTGGATGCCCACCGAGAATATTGCAAGTGCACCCCCTCCGACTAACATGGAACCTGACAGAAGGTCGCTTTAAGAAGAAAATTATGTCTTCCAAAGGGGGTCCCCTTAGGTTTCATGTTGATGGGAGGGAAGGTCAGCCACCGCCATGGTTGAATTTACAGGGCTTGCAACTGTTTGTCTGCTAGCAAATTTTGAGCTTTTGGATTGATCCTTTGACAAAAGCAAAACCTGGTTCGATACATTCCCCATCCACCATGGTGATCCGTCTGGTATCCGTTTGAATCAACCTGAAAGGGTGCCATCAAAAAAGAAAGTGAGATACTGAAGTGGATTCATGTTGACTTAGGATCGAAGGTGTCAACGTAGGGTAGCGTAGGAAATGAACGGGCCCTTTTGATTAGTCGGAAGCCCACAGTATAGAAGCTTCTGTGGGACGTGGCGGTGTTGGGTCCAAGTGGACGTGCCTTTTTGGTTGATTGAAACATCACGGCTTGGCCTCTTGAGATGCTTGAAGGGGGGCATATAAGGATTCCGAGTCACACCTCGGGATCCGCATCTTGTTCGGGATGCCCTTTTTGGGCGACTCTGATGGATTCTAACCCATGGGTTCCTTTCGGATCCTACACAAAATCGCGTCCCTCGGCGCCAGCGATCAGCACCTGTTTGCTAGAACCCAGGAGTCCCCCGACCGCATGGACGGTGCAAATAGAAGAGAACAAGTTGAACCCTCCCTAATGAACCCCGTAATTTGCCTATGACTTTGTGGTCGTTCGTGCGGTTGGTTTTCTTGCTACATGGGCATCTAAACCTCTACCCTGGCCCTGAGGCGCGTGCTGCTGCAAGGCCTTGCTCCAAGCCTCCAAGTTGGCAAAGGCCCAAAGAGTGTTGGACAACGCCTGGCTGCAGTCCGGATGTTTTTTCTGCCCCTTGGCAGGGGTCATCTGTGTATACTACCGGCCCCTGGTCCTTCTTGAATGGGGAACAACTATGGGGCTGTTTACATGATGCCCCCTCTCCCACGTTGCCATGGCACCTTACAAAGCTCCAAGAGGAAATTGATCTTCCAGGTACCCTCCAACAGTTGCTATGTTGGTGGAAGGGAGGGTACATGTTTAAACAGGGTTGGCAACCCTGATGTGGTGCTTCTGACTTTCCCACTCAGCCTGCGCGTCGAACTTGCTGATGCCCTGGCACACTCTGCAGAGTTGCGACCTAAAATTGTCATGTTGCCTTTTGATTTGACTTTGACCTTTGAGAAAAAAAAAAACACACACACACACACACCCAGCTTGGCGGGCCAATCATTCCCAAACGATAATGAAACCACAATTTTATGTGTATATAACTACAATTAATGTTTTTTTTTTTTTTTCTTGGGGGCTACCACATGTTACCACCTCTCGATCACCAGGAGGCGCAACGCTCACAAGCGCCAAGCCTCCACTGCCACCGTCGCTGTGACGTCCAACAGCTTCTCGTCTTTGTGCTGCAGCTTGGCACCTCAGACGCCCTGGAAAAATGGACAGGCGCTTCACAGACATTGGTCTCCTTTTTGGAAAATAGATGGCCCTCGTAGATGATTGAACCAATAGGTCTACCAGGCCTTTTATTTCTCAACTAAGCTGAACAGAACGGACACCTATGTTCGCAGATCATGGCTTGCCCCAAGAAGGCAGTCCTTGCGCCGATGAGAGTTGCTTTGTTGGGGGTTGTTGGGGGGCTTATGTTCATCGGCTGACACGCGTGGGATGGACTCGAAAAGGACACAGAAACACACACAGAAATACACACACACACACACACACACACACACACACACACACACACACACACACACACACACACACACACACACACACACAAACACACACGCTTCCCACCGGTCCAGTCTGGGCCAGCCACAGGACCAAACAAAATTGGAGATGGACTGCCTGCGGCACATCGGCGGGCGTTGGTTGGACGTGCTCCAGGTTACCCAAATCCAAACCTTCAACATCCCAAACTAGAAGCAAAGCCACATGGCACGTCAAAGCTGCAAACAATCCATCGCGCAGCGCACGGGTGCGCAATAACGCTACCAAAAATAGAGGGTCCCCCTCTTGGATCGCTTTGCCTTACCCTCCCACCAACTACCATGGAAGTGCACGTTTGGCCCTTTCCCAGAGCAGGTAATTAGTCTTTCCAGAGGGGTCTGTGCACTTCCATGTTGGTCGGTGGGAGGGAAACCCTTCAAGCCAACCACAAAGGAATCCCCACACAAATTCCAGTAGTGATAGATTCCCTTTAAAACCAACCAGGGAAAAACAAATGAAAAAAATCGGCTTAACCAAATGGAACCAACAACAAAAAACGGAACGCATCCACCCCACTGCCCCAAATAAAACGCGCGCATGTCTTCCGCCCGAGAAACACACACAAGCAAAAAAAAGACTCCGCCTCTCGAACCTCGGCAGCTTCTCCATGGCCGCCTGCGCCAAGGACGCCATGACCTCGGCGCTTGGGCGCGGGCGGGTCGTGCGGAGAAGCTTCCGGCCCCGCTAGAGGCTCCAAACAAGGCTGAACCCCCCCTGAGTTTATCAGACTAGGGTTAGTCCATCCTTTTTGGACAAGAAAATGAACTGCAACGGGGGTCCGGAGGCTTGGGCCGGTTTGGAGGTGGCGAATCTGTGGCTCCTCCCCTGGAGAAAATCCGAAAAGAGTGCTAAGAGGAGTACCAACGAAAAAATTGCCAACAGGGGGGGAAAGCAGGTGATATCAAACAAAAAAGGACATCCAAACCATTTTCTAGAGCACTGGGCTGTCCATTTTTCAGGTCTACTCAAGGATTAACTCGTGGGCGAAATGGTGACCCAATCACTAAACAATAAATTTCTAGAAATACTGCGAATGGGTCCCCGAAATCCATTTGCTTCTTGCACCACCACATGAAACCGAGGTTGAAGCCATTGTTCGCTGGCATTCACAGAAAAAGCATCATCCCAGGGTTTCTTAGGTGGTGCAGGATTTCGTCCATCTACCGTGGTGGGGTTAAAAAACACTAAAACCTGAAACCTAAGGGGACTGATAGGAACCGCCAAGTGCAACGGAGCACGTTGGAAACCCTGTAAATTCAACCATTTCTGGTGAACATTTACTTGCAATAAGGGCTGCACAAATTGCAAAATTGGTCTGACATTGCGTAAACTGTGATTCTGGTGTTGGCCGCTAACTATTTTGTCCTTGCTGAACGTACGTGGCAACATCCTCATGACTTGTGTGACTCAAGGGCAGAAGCCAAAAACATCTCAGCCTAAGCTAAGCAACCTCATTCTATTCCAAACCTGTGCCATGGACTTAGCCATGGGGACCCTGAAATGGGATACCTGGCGGCATATCAACGGGCTTGGGCTTGTAATTCCTCTCCGACTTCTCTCCCATGCGGCCCCGCTGCTGGGTCGCTGTCCAGCAAAAGCGCCGCCAGTGCCCAGGCTGGCAAGCGAAGCTGAAACCGAGCTTGTGGTTCCCAAGTGGCGTGCGGTGAAACATAAAATGGTGGTTTCCAACAAGGGGAACCCTATAAAATGGTGGTGTCCATGTTGGGTTTCCAAAGGGAAACTCCCTAAAATGGTGGGGGAATAATTGTTCAGAGAACTGGCGCTTCATTGATTTCCAGGGCGGCAATAAGCAAGCGCGCCGTCTGCTTGCGAAAGGCGGCGCAAGAAGTAGCCAGCAACATGCACGACAAGAAGCTGGGGGATCGCCGATTTGATGAAGGTAGCCAGCCTGTGAACGTGCTTGCAAATCCATCCGCCAATCCAAAAGTGCAACCCACACTCCCGTCCCTTTATCTTTCTCCCACATCACCCCTAGAGGAATCTCGCTTTGAATTGACCAAAAAGGTGACGTTTTCACCCACGAGGGGAAATAGAAAGACGCCCGGGTGAGACTTGGAGGCCATTGACCCAGCAAAACGACTCAAGCCATGTCCAATTGGCCCTTCTCACAGGCGCCAATGGCCTGGGCGATTCGGAATCCGATGCGACTGGTGAAGACCTGTCGCGAGTTGAAAGTCAAAAATGAAATAAGGCCACCAAAAGGTTGCAAAAGCGCTGTTTTTCTTCTTCGACTTTTTGGGGGGGAGGAGGCAAGGAAAATCCACCAGTGGCATGGTTCATTTTAAGGTCACTCCAACTCTAAGTGAGAAGGTGCAAATTAACATAAAACCCAAAAAAATATGCGTCTTCTTTGCCACCCCCTTTTTTGGGGTGGGTTCCAGAAAATCCCCCCCCCCCAAAAAAAAAAGAAGAAGAAGAAGGCGAAAACCCACCATCAACAACGTGCCCAGACACGGCGTTGAAGGTGATCTCGTTGGGGGTTCTGCCCATGGAGGCCAAAACCGCCAGCGCGCCTCGCCACTGCCCGCACTTCTCGCAGGCGCTGATGGCCGCGTCGCAGGCCACAACGCAGCGTCCAAAGCCGGAGCTGCCATCCAGTGGTCTCGGAAATCCGTCCGCCCCGGCCATTTTGCCAGGAAACCCGTCGGTTCCACCCATGTTTCCAGGAAATCCGTCTGAGTTGCCGATTTCTCCAGGTCCCATTTCTCCAGATCCACTGCCTCCATCCAGCTGTGATGCATCTCTTGCCGTTCCAACTCCGTCCGTCTCCGCCCCCTCCATCCCATCCATTTCCTCCAACAAGCCGCAGGCGAAGCGCCAGGTGCGGCCCTTCTCGCACCTTGCGGCTGGGGTAAGGATCCGGATGCCAACTCAATATTGCAAGTAAGGGGACAAGCGAAATCCTCTAATTTACTCTAATTTACCACGGTCTTGTGGTTGACCATGTTTGGTCTACTTATGCAATATCCATGGCATCCAACGACATCCAACAAAAAACTCGTAAGGATCCGGCTTTTTTGTGCATGCGAGCCAGGGCCAATGTACCCAGTAAGGGGCCTTGACAAAGGAACCCGTTTTGAGTGCAAAGAATGACAAGGTACCACGGTTTTGCTGGTTGAGACAAGTGCAATCAGTGGGAAGCCTGCAATATGGGAAAACTCACAAAACCCATCAAGGGCAAAGGGGCACTCGTCTGAGAAGTGGACCTGAGAATCAGCACCCTGATTGAAGAGGAATTGGAACCCATTGTGGGACGATTTTTAGCGGGGAAGCCATCAAACAGAAAGGGAAAAGGGTGGCAGTGTAAAACGGGGCAAGACAAGAATCAATAGGAACCGCAGCAAGTGTTCAGCCTTTGCTGAAACGAAAAGCACGTGGCTGGTTCGACGGGTTGCCTATATTTCCACTGTTGGGCAAATTTAGACCTCTTGGGCAAACTTAGGTTTACTTTCCTTTTGCTGTGGGGCTGGAAGAAATAGAAAACAAAAGATGCAGGGTCGGCCAAAACATTCATGGGCCGTTTGTCCTTTTGTTTTGAGGCTCGGCACCTTTCTCTGTTTTGGTTGGGTTGGTCTAGGGGAAACTTATCGGAACGCCATCATGCTATGTGTCCCCCTTTTTTTCTTGTGTTGTGTGTGTGTGCTGTTAAGGGAAAACCCAAGGAACGCCACCATGTTGTGCGTCCCCCGATGTTTGGTGGGTTCTTCAAAGGCAAACCCAAAGGAACGCTACCATGTTTTGTGTTTGTTTTGAGGGTGCAACTCTTGTTTGGTGGGTATTGAAGAGACTTTGTTTGGTGGGTTTTGAAGAGACTTTGGGGGCATAGGTGACCTTTTGGAAAAATAGATGGGCTGGTAAACGTGATAAACCCATCTAAACCGGTGGAACCCATCTATTTTTAAACAAAATAACCAAAAGGGACACCTATGTTTCTTGGTTGACGTTGGAAGGGGAGCAAACATTTAAATATTAGCAGTTAAGTGGTTGGATTCCAACCACTCAACCACAATAAGCAAAAAATGCAAAATGTTTCCCAACAACAACCACCATGTTTTAAGCGAAGACCCGGGCCACACCCCGCGGCTACGGCGATCTCGACCGCCGATCGCCGATCCACGCGGTGATCGCAGCGCTGCAGGTCACCTCCTGCGGGCGCAAGGCGCGGCGCCGCAGGCGGCGCAAGCAGCCCAGGGCGAAGGACCAGGCGCCGGCCTCCGCGGCGGTACCTTAACCGGTAGGTGGTTTCTGGGGTTGGCCCGAGTCCGAGAACCCGCAGGAGGAAAGGGAAGCTGGGCATCGGTATTTTTGAGCAGGTGGGTGTTTCTTGTAGTCGAAAGAGCCTTGGGAGCCTTGGGGAAGCGAAAAGCCTTCCGGGGAAGCGAGCTTTTTTCACGCAGAAACATTGGCAAGTGAGAATTGTTGTCTTGAGGGATCTTGAGGGTACCCTTTCAGCTTGGTTCGCAGGGACACCGCAAGAAAACCACATTGCTTTGCCACCTCCTACCATTTGGCAGTTGCTAAGGGGAAGGGTATCGCAACTGCGAATCATGAGGCCCACCTGTATTTCCACCTAGCCACCAAGGGAAAGCCACTAGATCATTAGCCATCGGGTTGGGGACCCCCTTCTTTTTGCAACGCCTTTAGACGAAAGAGAACCCCTGCTTTTTTTCAAAAAAATGGCCTTCCACCCAAAAAAAAAACGCACAAAGAAAACATGGAAAATGAATCCACAACCCAGGGCGCTGATGAGAGCGTTGCACGCTGCCAGATCCCACCCCCTCGGCCCTCGCCGCGAAAACCAGCCCAGCGCGCGTTGCCAGGCGGATTGGGCGCCTTTGCCACATGCGCGGCAGGCGGAGGTCAAAGTGGCCATGTCCTGCTGGAGCCCAACCTGGCACAGGTCCTTTTGCCGACGTTCGACCGCCTTACGGCGGATGCCAACTCAATATTGCAAGTAAGGGAACAAGGAAACCCTCTAAGACAACTGTGTTTTGCAATGATGTTGCGGTTGAGTATGCTTGGTGTACTTGCAATATTTAGGGCATCCGCCGTACCTCAAAGGAAGTTCACTAACCAGATTGCCCCCGCACTAATTAACATGGAACCTGACAGTGGGTCCCTGAAAGGAAAATTTCCTCTCCCTGTTCAGGTTCCATGTTGATTGCAGAGATGGCAATCTTCAACAAGCCTTCATCAGCCAACTCGCTAGCTCACGAACTGGCGACTTGGCCAACAAACTATCCAAGTGGCTCGCCGGCGCAAGCCAGCTATTACAGCTATCTAACTAGCTAGGTAGCTAGTTCTTTAGGCTACCCAGCGAATTAACTAACTTCCGAACTAACAACAAGTATCTAACCAGCAACAATGTTGCTTGCTAAACTGGGCAACTCAATCTCACACATGCGAGCGCATGAAAAGCGTGCGCTCCCATGCGTCCAGCGCAGACAAACAGCGTGTGTGCGCGAAGGAAAAAGCGCGCGTGCATGCAGCGTCAGTCTTTTGTGGCTGTTCAACCTCGCAATTAGTTATGCGAGTGCGGAGGCCACATTTGTCCAACACGCGCGATGTCCACTTTGGTTGCACCGATTTGTATAAAACATGTGTTTTTGACTTTCGCCAATAAAGCAAGGCGGACCCTCTTTGGTCAACCCCAATGCTGTTTTTTGGAATCCGCTTTGCCTTTTTGTTGCTTGGGCTCGAAGCAGGTACCGTACCAGCAGAGGGGCCGGTCGCAAATGTTCAGCATAAAAGCCAAAGTGGGGAAAGCTCTCCACGCCAACTGAAAGAGCAAACATTCAGGTTGACCCTGGTAAGTGGTTTGGATTGGTGGTTTGGAGATTTGAACCTCTGGTTCTTGAGGGTAGGTTCTGAGGAGCTACCCCCCAAACCTCCCAAAGCCACCAATTCGAGAAAAGCTGAAACTTAGCTTCGAGCCATGACGGGTATGCAACTTCCATTTTCGCCCGACCTGGCGCAGGATGCCGAGCACTTGGAGCCCCTGCTGCCAGCGCAGGCCTTGCAACGAGGATGGAAGTGAGGACCCCTATAGAAGGGGTCTGTGTCCATTTTTGGGAGGGGATTCTACCAAGAAACTTTGGAGTCAACCAGAAACTGCCTATGGTAGGCTTCATATCCGGCCCGGGGTGGGTACTTTTTTTTTGGCCCATCCATTTACCAAGGTGCCAAACATAATCATGGTATTAGAATGGCCTACGCAGAACCATTTAAAGCATTAACTCGGCGGCTGCACCCATTTCTGGTTGGGACCGGGTTTTGATTGTGGCTCATTTGAGCCACGGCCACTTTGGGTCTCACTTTTTGGAGGATCCCCAAAATGGTGGTGTACAACATTTAAAAAAAATACTTTCTTACTAACTGATATGGAATCAAACAGGGGTGGTCCTGGAAGACCATGTTCGTTTAATTAAAGGGAGCCCCGAACGTCTGGTTCCATGTTAATTACTGGTTGGGAGGGTACGACCAAAAAAGAAGTGACCTCAACTTGGTTGCGGTGGGTTTAGTGGGGAAACCCTTGATTTCCCGAAAAGTTCAAGTCTCAAGATCCAACCCAATAGCAGCCAAGTCAAAGACAAATCGCCACCTGGCCATGGGTCAAAACCCCGTACCCCCACAGAACATCCCAATCCAACCACTAAAATAGGTTCTAAGATGGGTGGTGCACCTACCAACCAAAATGGGATCCCATTGGTTTTGACCCACGGCCACCTGTCACCCCGGCGCCTTCTTCCAAGGCTTTCAGCGCCATCTCCGCGCCGAAGGAGCTCATCACCCGCAACCCGTGTTGCCAGCGCCCGAGCCGAGCAAACCCGGCCGCCAGGTTGCCAAACAGCGCGTCCCCTCAAGGACCCGTTTCCGGGCAACCCCCCCCCCCTCCTATTTTTGCCGCCCCCAAATTTCCAATGCGTTTTTTGGTGGATCCCACGCGTTGCTTCCCCAGTTGATTTACCTTTCCCAATACTCGTTTGGTACCCTGTTGCTATCCTACTGGGTGAATGCATAACAAACGCATCCAAACCGCTTCCTAGAAAACTGAGCAGGTGAACTATGGGGAATGTAACCTTCTGTGAGTCCAAGGTTTCGACCGAATCTCTGCATTGGGGACATCTGCCCAAAAAACCCAGGGCGGGTGCCAAATTCTCGGGGACAAACCTTGCACTGGGTGGTGGCATCCTTTCGGGGAAATCAAAGCTTATGGAGCAGTTGAGTTGAAACATAAAGCCACAAAACATCAAGACTAAAATTGCTCAATCGACCTCCTGATTTCCTGTCAATGGGAGGTGGAGCGATGTAACATGCCCCAACCACAGTTCAAACAATCTCCTTCCTGCACCTCCTGCTCAAACAACCAGAAAGCTCCTGGTTCTTTCCGGTTCCGCTTTCCCTTTCAACCTGAAAATTCAAGGTCAACCTTTGTTAGGACCTCTACAACAAATGCTTTCCCTTCCAAGGGGCAAAATACCACCAAACGTCATTTCATGCCGATTCGCTTGAGCGAGACCTCCAGGTCTTTCCATATCTTTCCATCTCCCGCCTGCCACGCTCTGCGCCGCCATCAGCTCCCGCACCTCTAGCGTGAGCTGCCAACGACTGGCGGCGCCGCAGGCCTTCAACGCTCCCGTAAAGGAGAATGCGTTGGGCCGCACCCCGTGCTCAGCCCGCATAACCAGAAGGGCCTCAAGGGGAGCAGGGGGGCAAACCTCTGATTTGAAGACCTGGATGGGTCCTTTTTTTGAGGCTATCCTTTTTTGTCGCGTTTGTTAAAGGAAGCCACGTGGGGGGGGGGGGGTGTCCCCTGAAAAAAGGCACACCCACCTGGACCGATTGCTTTATCAACCTGCTCACTCAAGGGTTTGGGCCCGCTCGTTTTTGACAACCTTGGAGGCAAAGTGGCAAAGTTCCGGTTTCAACAACAGGTGCAAAAATTGAAAATCATAGCTCATCCATTCCCGAATGGCTTTCTGGGCTGTTCAGCACACCAAACCTGGCCTCAAGGGCTCGTTGCCACTGAGCGCTTCGAGCCAGCGCATCAATGGCCGTTGAGTGGCTCACAACGTCCGCCACCTTCAGCACAGACGCCTGTGTTCGGGCAACCCCTTTCGACGTGTGTGCCATGGTCAAACCTCCGTTCCTATGGCCTATGGCCATAATAGTGCAACGGAGTTTTTGACCATGGCAGAGCGAGGGGGGGGGGGGTGCCGCGCTGCGACTAGCGGCTTTTGTCAAGCGATATACATCCACCCAAGTCAGTGCGCAACTCAGCAAAGACCGTATATTTGTGCCACCGCGCCGCCTAGCCGCCAAAACAACGGGAAACGCAAAGTTTTGCGATGCGAAGAAACATGCTTTCTAAAGCTGATTCTGGCTTTAAAGGTCATGAATGTACGCCTACCTTTTGGTTGCTATTCACCCCTCTGCGCTTGCGGGTCCAATTCCGAAAATCCACCAAAAAGTTCAAGTCCCAAGATCCGTTCCCAAATAACCACAAAGGCGTTTTCGCCTTGCTTAGGACTGGGAGGTCCTTGCTGAAACATTTGTGCCACACGCCTCACGCAACAGCTGAAGGGCGATGTCCCAGCGCCCGCCCTCCGCGCAAGATCGCATTACCTGGACTCCACAGAAGTAAGGGAAGGATCTGTCCAACCCTCGGTGTGGTAGCACAAAATTTGTTCTTTTTGCAGCCACTTTCGCAAAATGAACAGAACCAACAAAACAAGAAAGGCTAAACAGACGCCAACAACAGTGAAGAGAGAAGCCCAACCTGGCCATCTTCACAACTACCAAACATCGCGAAATTGTATCAACGCGGGTTAAGTCGGGCAACCGAGTTGTAGCTGATGGTGTCCAGTTGCAACGCCATGTCCTTCAGCACTAGGAGGCCCAGCTGCCAAGAGCAAAACGCCAAAAGCATGTTGTAAGTCACCACCGTCGGAACCACCCGCCTGGAGCTCAAACCAAACGCGACCTGTACATCTGATGGGTAGAGGGGGGCCACAAGAGGGGTGAATGTAACCCCCTGGTCCATAAATGGGCTGTCCCGTTTCAGAAGGAAACCTTCGGAAACCTTCTTTCCGTCGCACGCAACTCTGCTATTGATCTGCTTCAGTTTGACTACTCTGGGGTTTTGCCAATGTTTGCCAAATGGCAGGTGCAATCAAGCCGCAGGTTCTCCAGCAAGTTCAATCCCAAGCGCCAGCGGCTTCCGCCGCTCTGCAGCAGCAGGTTCAGGCTCAAAGTGTCCATCTCCACTCTGCTCGCCCGCATCTCCCCTAGCTGCAGCACTGCCTGTCAGACAGAAGCCCCAGGGCACACCTGCGATTCTGCGATGGAACCCCGACCAAACACTCTAGAGATGTAGGCCTTCCCCATTCTTTCCAGGGATCCTTCTTTTCAGGAAACCATCAAAAACCCAGGGGAAACAGCCTGTTTTAGAAAAGAACGATGGGTTGAAAAGAATGGGGAATCAAACCCTAGAATCACGGCTTCCAGTCGCCGCGAGTCCCGAGATGGCAAGCCCCATGGCCCCGGTCAGGCCCTCGGTTTGGAAAACTGGATGGCACTGGTACATCCTGAGAACCAAATTGAAACCCGCAAGCCATTGTTTTTTTCCTTCTCCGCAAGCAAGCCATCCATGCAGCAAAGGTCCCCCCACACTTCCCCCTCCCCACCCCCCCGCCTGCGTCCACTTTCTGCCCTTCGCCAGCGACCGGATGGCCAGCGTGTGCGAGATGAGGTCCGGTGAGCGGGGCATTTGGAGGAGGTGCGCCAGCGAGAGGTGCCACCGCGGCAGTGTAGCCATGCCCGCGTTGGAAAGCACCAGGTTCACCTTGCGCGTTGCGCGTCTGTCCGGGAAGGACACCCATGGGGGTGGAAGGACACCCAAAAGGAAGCCAACCATGGGGGTTCCGAGTCCCATTTTGAGACATACCCACATGGCGACGCATTTGCTGAAAAAGGTGGGAGCCTGCAAGTGGGAAGAGTGAATGTTAGACTAAGCATCTTGGACCCCCCCCACTTGCGCCAATTAACTTGCCTTGTCGATGCAGTAACGAAGGTGGCACTAAGCATTTGGAAGGATTCACAACCACAACTGCACAACATCACAGTGTATGACATGATGTGGGAACTGACCATGACATGCATGCGAAGAGCGCAAGAAAGTCACAAGCGCCATGTCCGTGATTTGCAAACATTGTCGTGCAAATGCCGGTCCTATCCAAAAGAACAACTGCAGCATCGGCACCTTACCCCCACAGGAAAACCTCTGAACGAAGAGGTTAATTGCTCAGCCAACAGGCAAGAAGCGTGCTTATCGCCCGCAAGTCAAAAACCAAGGCCATGAACATTAAGCCCGGGGCGGACTCCCCAAAGATTCTTCAATCAAGCTCTGGTGGGTAGAGGGCTCGAATGTCCCTGATCGCTTCGCAATTCTAATTAAGCACCCACAACCCATTGACCTAAATCAAACTAGGTAGTACTGCGGATGGTTCGAAATTGATTTCGCACCATCGTTCAGAAACCCAACGGAATGACAATGGCTTCAACCATGCTTTCAAAGTGGTGCAACATGGATTTCGCAACCATCCACAGTACTGATGGACCAAATCCAATCTCGCAGGTACCTGATCCCACTTTTTGTTTGATCTATCCAAACATCTGAAGCTCTGCCAACAGTAGGACCTTACGCATCTGGCCCTTTTGGGGGTCTTTAAACGGCGCCAGGCGCCTCGACCTGCATGCTTCGCATCGTGGTCAGCAGCTGGCACGCCCAACGCCAGCTGGAGCCCCTGGGCTGGGAAAATGAGGACTCTACATTAGAGCATACGCTTAATTAGGGAGATGGACATCGTTTAGGTGTACCAACCGCTTTCCATGGGTTCGATATTTAAATTCATGGCCATATTACTTGATACCGGGGTGCAAGGAACAGGGGGGGAGGGGGGGGGTGTTCGTTTTCCTGTGCCAGCCTAAATTCCAAAAAGGGTAAGAGATGGCGACAAACAAAACCCTTGATACTGTGGATGCTTACAAAATCGATTTCGCACTGCCGTTCAGAATTCCAACGAAATGACTCGATTCCCCTGCAAATACCAACAAACAATGGCGTCCCATGGTTTCAAATTGATGAGGCTTTCGTCCATCCACAATAAGTCTGGTAAGTTCTCGGCTCGTCTCCGCTTCGTCCCGGGTGTTCCTGGGACGGGGCAATAAATGTATTTGCACCAAGCATGGCAAGCTTCCATTCATGGCCGGCAGAGGCAAAGCCCATCTTGCCTACCGAAGATCAGCAAAAGCGCCGCCAAAGTTGGGGCGTTTTCGCAGGAAACCAACTGGGAAGGTCTTCCGAGAGGGCCACTGGGAACTTCAAAACGGGTCTCGGGGATCCTAATCCGCAAGTGGTGGTTTCCACCTTAAAACCATCAACAAGGGGGACCATGGAACAAAGACACACCCCATATTACTTCTGCGCCAAGCCAAGACGGTGCCAGACAAAACCATTGATATGGGATAGGGTGTTTTACATAAGAACAATCAGAGAAAAGGAAGCCAAATGGACTTGAGCAACTGTGATGCTTCCAAGATGTAAAAACTGGAGCCAAAACAGCGGAGTAGAAAGACGTCCCATTTCTGAGGCGCTGCCGCTTGGGGAAACCAAAAGAAAAACCAAAGGGGTCGACTCTTCGAGGTTCACATTTCCCTTGAAAGGGAACGTCCAAAAGTGGCGATCGCTGGGAAATCACTCGCAAATTGATAAACTTCTTATTGGGGAAATCCAGTGACTGCTCTTGTCCAAGAACATACTATCCACGCTTGCCTCTAGAACATGGTCATCTGGTCAGGCAGGCTTCAGGTTTGGCCCAAGGCTGGGGGACTTGAGCAACTGAGGTTCCAACCTTTTTGCAAGGGCTGCGAACGACATTCTGCAGAAAAGCATGACGGCCTGGGATAAACCAGCAATCCCAACTGATGGCTAACTGATGGCTAATAAGGATGTTGTCCATCAGGTGGGTGACTCTGCAAATAATTGCTTGGTTGCTGGCAAGACCCCTCTGCAAAAAGCAAACACTTTTACTTTTTGTGGGTCCAATGCGGAACATCCGAGCTGTTGCAACCAAAAAGTTCAAGTCCAAAGTGGGTTTGATTCAGCAATCCCCAACTGGTGGCTGTTGTTTTTCGTCCATGCAAAACAGCCATACATCGCCCAGTGGCTTGAGGCAGCTACAGAAGCTCACGGCGTCGGGCTGCAGCCGCCGCCGCATGCCTTGCAGCAGGTCCCAGGCGGAGACCCACCTGCGGCGCCATTTTTTTTCGTTGGCAACTGCGCGCAACGTGTTTTTGGGGCGAAGAAATACTCCTTCCAGAGGCGAAGGCCAGGGCTAAACCGCAAACAAAACAAAGAAGAAAAACAACTCAGCCAGAAATGGGGAGACGTAGCTCCATGACTTTATGAAACCGCGAGGTTTCCAAACAGGGCCCTAGGGACCCGGGCGCCAACGACGGCTGGTGCTTGTGAAAGGTCTAAAAGAGCTCTCAAAAACGCGCAATTGCGCGCCCCGGAAGAGCGGTCTTTCAATCTGAAGGTAAACCACCCCCACCTCCCTAAGACCGAAGCCAACCTTGAACCCACCCCAAGCCAGCCCCAAACCCATAAACCAGCACAAAACCATCTGGAGCGCAGCCACCCCTCCAAATTTGCCCTGAAAAGGCCTTGAACACAGAAGGAGCCAACCCTGAGCCAACCGGGAATCCACCCCTAAACCAAAGCCTGGAGATGCTGAGGATGTTGCAGAGGATGTTGAAAACGATGCTGGGAATGGTAAAACGATGCCGGGCCTGAACCTGGTTTCCCTTCCCTTCGGGCCTGACTCCAACTTCTCGGGCAGACCAGAATTCGGCGGGAAACAACGGTTCGGACGTTTTTTTGCCCATCCAATGGGGGGAACCGGTGTTTCTTTTGCCTATCTCTGGCACAGGGCTAACCTTGGAGGCCTGGGTTGGTTGGTTGGTTGGTTGGTTGGTTGGTTGGTTGGTTGGTTGGTTGGTTGGTTGGTTGGTTGGTTGGTTGGTTGGTTGGTTGGTTGGGATGGGGTTTGGGTCCGTTGAGGGTAGAACGCCCTGCAAGTTTTAAGATTCCGCTTGCCCAGAAAGGGGTGCTTGCCCCAAAAAAGCAGTTGTTCATGATAGCATGGATGCTTGATTGCGCACAAGCTGTCCGAATCACTCCACAGGAAGTTTGAAGCGAGCATTCTCAAATTGAAACATTCGAAACTAGGAAGAACTGCAGCGCATTTGGAGACCACAGTTGGAGTTTTCAACAGCTTTTGAGCGCGGAAAGAAGAGGTCGACCCACCGAAGTCTTTGTGCTCGAGCGAGCTTTGACATGTGCTCGAGCGAGCATTGACATGTCGCGAAACATTTTCTGGGCAACAGAAACAAGTTGGACTCCGACCCCCAAAATGGAACCGGCTTCCTTTTGGTTATCCTTTAAACCCTGAAAGGCCCACCCCCCCAAATAAAAAAAAGAAAGAAAGAACACTTCCAACTCCAAAGCTCCGAAAGAGGCAATGACTGGTACGACTGGTACTGCTTGCCTTGAGCTGCGCAAAGCCAGGTTGTAGTTGAAGACTTCCACCTGAAAGCCACGTGGTCACTCAACAGGCTGCATTCGCGCGTCGAAGAAAGGGGAAGTCATGCTACACATTTCTTGCTATAGGTAGGGGATGACCTTCCGAGTGTTTGGAATAAAATCATAGCGGATAGTTTTTCTTGCGGTCGTGCCCTCATTCCCTTGAGAACCAGCAAGATAATTGTCTTTTGGTGCAAGCTGGAGCCCATTTACCAGAAGCCGAAGACCCCCACACCCTGGGTGCGCCCGATTGAACATCGCTCATTCGAACAGCACAAGGAAGCGGCCGACAGCCCTCGCCTGCAGCCCCTTCCGCATCATGCCCATCAGGACCTGCAATCCATCTCCAGCCACCTCGCGCGTGCGCGCGCGCACAAGCTCCGCCTCGCGGGCGGCCATGGCTGCGGGCTCGCAAAGATCCCCAGCATGCCGGCGCGCACGAAGCGCCCATGGGGCAATAGGTCTTGAGAGCTGCAAGGCGCGCCAGATGCAGCGGAAGCAAATATGTCCCTGCCCCGAAAGGGAACCAAAAGGCCTTTGTGTCAATAATCGTTTCCAACATGTAAAAACTCAGGTTTGGCGCAAGCGTGCGGAGTGCATGAAAGATGACACAGCATCGGTGGCTCGCAAGCTGAGGGGAGCTCCCGCTGGCTAAAGAAAAGAGGCTGGTCAAATGCGGCAGGCTGACCAGAGTTGGAGATGCTCTGAGGGTTGAACTCGCTGATCTTCTGCGGCAGGGGTACAAGAATAGTACCCTCCCTCCCACTAACATAGCACCTGCGGGAGGGACCTGGAAGATCAATTTCCTCTTGAAGCAGGTGCTACGTTAGTTGGAGAGAGGGTAGTTCCGACAAAAACTGAGGTGGCGAACTTGGCTCACTCGAGCGACTCAAGCGCGCATGCGTGTGCCAGGGCCCAGGGAACCCAGGAGACAATCAGGGTCTGCATTTGAAGGGTTCGCTGAGGGCTCTAGATATGTTTTGGCTTGCTGCGTGGTGGACCAGTCCCGTTCCAAATCCCAAAAGGGCATCAACCAATCAGACAAAGCATAGTGCGCAGCGGCCAGCCACAAGCCAACTTTGGAGCCTTCATCGTCTCCCTCGACACCTTGGCGCAATCCCCCTCCCAATCCCCTCCAAGTACCACAAAAGCGGGAGTGTGTAATGCCCCTTATAGATTCAACCCTGATCTTCTAAGAAGTGAGAAAAAAACACACACACACACACAAAACATATGCAGCTTGCCTTTTTGCTGAGGTTCCCTTTTTGGGGGTGACTTCCAAAGGGAAACCAAAGGGAACCCCCCGAATTGTTCCGGGGGGGGGGGGGGGGAGTTACATATTTATTGCGTTATTAACATGCAAAAATCATAACAATCCCCCCCCCCCAATGTCCATGTCTTTTTTTAGGTTTGGGGGGGGGGGGGGGGGTTAGCATTGGCTTCGATAAAGTCGCGGTCTGTTTTTTGGGGTACCCCTACTTTAAGACACACCTATCGGCTTCGATCGGAAGGCTCTCAGGACAGCGCCGCGTCCAAGAGCGGGAGGTGTGCCATCTCCAGCTTGGCCGTAGCCCACAAGGTGTTGGACAGGTCCTGAAAGGCCCAACAACAGCCTTCTTACCTGGCTGCTTCTCTTTTTTTGCCTCTCTTTTTGTGCGTGTTTATTATTATTGTTATTATTACTATTATTATTATTATTATTGTTATGTTTATTATTACTTGTATTTTATTCTTAGTTATTATTATTATGATTGTTATTATTATTGTTATTAATATGATTATTATTATTATTACCGTTACTATTATTAGTGTTATTATTATGTTTATTACTATTATTACTAGTATTATTATTAGTATTATTATTATTACTATTATTACTATTATTGTTTTTTGTGTGTGTGTGTTCTGTTTTTTGTTGGGGGGGGGTTACTCGTTTTGTGAACCATGGCGCTTTTTCAACAGCCAACTTACAGAAATCACCTGGATTTCTCCTTCAAGAGTTGATGAATTGACTGGCGGTTTCCGTTGAAACTGTCGTTTTGAAGGTTCCAAAAATCGACGATGTTGCCAAGGTTCGAATTCAGAGTACAAAAACCGACAGCGAACATGGGCTCAGAAATGGTGAGAGCAAAGGTTTTCGCAAGCTCCAGAGTTGCACGCTTCAGCTTGTACCCTTGGAAGGAAGCTGTCTTGCAAAGAGCGAAATGACTGCATGTGGGCGCAAATCTAGGGGAACCAAATTGAGGATACGACTCTGGAAGCCTTAAAGCAGGGCTTTTTCTGGCGGTATGCAACAACCAATAGCCTCCACCTTCAAGTTTCTGCAGCGGCCGTCATAGCGATGGTCCAATACACCCTTCTGGCGAAAGCTGTGGTGATTCATCTCTTGCCGCCTCTGCTTCGCTAGTGGCACAGGCTTGCGGCGCCGCAAAGTGGCGGGCCCCCCTCACCCTGAAACAGTGAGCACCTATGTCTCCATGGCTTCGAGGTGAGGCTACCCAAAAAAACATGACATACTTCGAGAGCGGGATTTCTACATCCACAGGTCGGCCGACTTGGCTCCTGCGCGTTCAGCACACCAAGCTTGGCGATGCACTGGTTGGCAATAGCAGCCAGTAGCGGTGCATCAGTTAGCATCAACCTCAGTGAGTCAGAAGGAACCGGCCACTCGATCCAAATACCAACTGGCTTTCCCCCGTGGTTTTGCTCGATGCAGCTTGGTGAGGGTGTTTTCTTGCGGCCTAGCGCCCGCAACACTACCCAACTACCCTCCCACCAATAACATGGAACATGACAAATGGGGGTGCCTGGAGGACCATTTTCCTTTTCAAGGCACCCCCGAATGTCAGGTTCCATGTTTTCATTGGTGGGAGGGCAAGTTGCGAAAAGCGCGCGCAGAACGCACAAGCCAAACGAAAACTCGGGTGGCTGCAGCCCCCACCACGCCCTTTTACAGCAACACGCATGCACGCACGAGGTTCATTGACCAACATTGGGCCAGCTTGGCTGAAAGGCAGACTCACTTGCCCAAAGGACCTTGTAACCTTTTCCTAGAAGTGGACCAAGAAGATGAAAAGGTCAAAAAGTTGGCTTTGGGCAAGTGAGCAGAGGCTTGTCCAACTGATTTCAAGCAGCTTACTTCTTTGGCAGCTGGAGGGGACACACTTGCCATGGCCAAAACTTCTGTGGGCCCGGCTTTGGGCCTCTGCACGGATTGGCCACCATGTGTCATTCTGGAAAGCCTGGCCCCTTTTCTTCCTTGCTGCTTTAGGTGTTGCCTTGATTTGTTTATGGGAACCCCAGATGAATAATCCCCTGTGTTGTTTTGGGTGCCCCGTTTGATTGGGGATTCATGACTTCAGGCAAACACAGACGTGACACACACCTCTAGGGGTTGATTCCCCATTCTTTTCAACCATCGTTCTTTTCAAAAACCGGCTGTTGTTGTTCTTTTCATTTTTTAATGGCTTCCTGAAAAGAATCATCCCTGGAAAGATGGAAAGAATGGGAATGGAAGGTACCCCTAGAACACCATGTAATTCGACGGGTTTGTTCTTCCGGGGTCAACACTTGAGCCCCGTCTTTGCCCATACGCCCACCGCTCACTCGGCGCCCTCCGCTCGACTGTCACAGACGCCGCGCAGGGCGCCGGCGGCCTGGTGCGCGAGCAGCTTCTAGGCCGAAGACCCGAAAGCACCGGAGGTTACACGGGGCTCCCTATGTTTCCTCGGCAGGGGCGAATTATCCCATCTCGCAGGTACGTGATCCCACTTTTTGATGGTTGATCCATCCTAACCTCAAAAAGCTCTGCCAAGAGTCTCGGTTGCTTTCTGCTCGCCTGCTAAGAGTGAATCACTTTGAGTGGTTTAATGCGGAAAACCCATTAGTTGGCAAAAAGTTAAAGTCCGAACATCCATTGGCAAAATGCACCAAAGGTTCCCCCCCGAAAACAGCACCCCTAAAAGGAAGCTCACGTAAAATGGGCCAAGGTGATGTCCAAAACCACAAACTTGCGAGAAATAGGGAGCCCTGTTAAATAGAGAGCCTGCACAAATTCATAAAATGACCCCTCCTGTGCTGGGGAATCTTTATTTTTTTTCTTGGCATTGTTTTTGGCGGCCTGTATGTTCGAAGAGAAAAACACAGTACCCCAAGATGAGTAAGTTTCTAGGGCCTGACGAGTACCAGGGCCGTTCTAGCTCCGGCGGTTTGAGGTTGCTTCATGGCAGGGCTCTGTGTTGGAGCTTGGTCAGGGTGCAGATTGGTCAGGGTTTGTGTTGGTTCAGGCCTGGTCGGTGATGCTTTTGTTTCTGATTCGGGGAGTTTTTTGGTGTGACTTTCTTGCGGGCTTGGAGTTCGTTGGTGGCTGATGCTTGCCGGAGCAGTTGCCAGGCCTGCCTCATGTAGACTCTACAGCTGTTGCTAGGCTGGTTTCGTTTGATGGCTTGAGGCAGCGCTGCAATGACCCTGCCAACTTGGCAATTGCCAAATCAGCCATCAATGGGAAGCACACTCTACGCCCAGACAGCCCAGAAGTCACACTCAAACCCAACTGGAATCAAACAAAACCACCACTTCACCAAGCCTCACCCAGGCAAGCCATGCCAAAGCATCCGCAAAACCATCCCAGCGGAAGAACAAAGAAAGAAGAGACCAACTCGGCAAAGCCGATTTGGCCAGGCACTCAGAAACAACCACCCTCCACTAGAAAAAAGGAGGGAGCCGAATCTTTGCATCTCTTCCAGGCCATTCGAGCCCTGCCTCTTCCAGCAGCACATCTTGCTTTTGGAGCCAGGTTCGGCTCTGGGCGCTCTTCTGCTCCTCTTGGCGCAGCTGCTCCTGTGGTTGGGGATGTGGATGTGGGAGAAGTGTGTCTCTCGTTTTGGTGGGACATGTGGTGAGTTCCCTAACCTTGCCCAAATTGGGGTCCTACAATACAGAGGGGATCTTTTTTCAATGCTCTTGACGCAAAAAAGGAGACCAACCGGCAAGAGGCTTGAGGCAAAAGCGTTTCCCAGTGGAACTCGGAGGTCCTGTCAGCCTCCGAAGCTTCCAAGCACCAAGTGGGTTACCCAACAATGACTCGTCCAATGCGTGCCTCTCAGCTGGCGCATGCTGTCCCCCAAAGGAAGCTACCAGGTGGTGCGATTTTCAGACAATTTCCACCTCCAAAACAGTCGTCGCAGGGTCGGATGGATGGGCTAGATCGATATTTGGCCGACCCTGAAGACCGCTCCCTTGCTCGAGGGAAAAAAAAAACCCGTAAATATCCATCAAGCCCAGGCAAAATATCCTTCAAGTTGCCCCCAAGTCTGATGTTCCAAACCCATACCAAAAGCTGTCCAACATCAGGAACACCTATGGAAACATAGGGAATATACGGGAAACATGGGAATATATAGCTCAAAGCACCGGGAACTAAAAGGTGATCACCTTTTGGGGCCATGACTACATATGGACCAAAATGGGAGAACCAAAGGGTCGAAAGGTCGATTCGCTTTGAACAACACCCCCCCCCCCAAAAAAAAAAGAAAGAAAAAGACCCCAAGCACATTTTGTGGGTTCTTCGCCTCGCCTCGTGGCGACGCGTTTCGTTTGCGCTCCTGCAAGGCGCGGCACTCCCAGCGCAGGCGCTCCGCCTCGCGAGCCTTGGCGTCCAGCGCGCCCTCCAGGCCCTGGGCGGAGCTTTGCGAAGGGAAGGAGTTGGAACCCGAGGAAGCCGCGAATAAAGGAAACGGCCATGGGTCATAACCTATGCATTTTTCCATTTTGGGGTGGATGAACATGTACCACCTATTTTGATGTTCACCAGGGGTACAGGGCTTGGACCCACAGCCAAACTGGGATCCAGAGGTTTATCCCCACTTCCGTGGTACAAGGGAATCTCCCCCTTTATATGGGGGTTAGTCTTTGGGAAGCCCTTTTTGTTGTGTCACAGAAGTGGTCATTTCCCACAGCCCTGTCCACGAAGAAAGGACACCACCAGCAAGGGATGGCTTTTTGGGGGCATTTCAACTCATTGTCCTGAGAACCAGCAAGCTAGGATCCAGGTTTTGGTTCAGAGTCCCTATCCCATACGTGAGCGCTTTCTACTCCTTAAAGCCCTGAAGTCCACGGCCATGCTCCTGGGGGGACACCCTGGGTGAAAAATGGCACAATCACCTTTATGTGGGCAAGGGGGTGATTCAACCAGCGTGAGTTGGAACTGTGCCATCTACCCACTCACCCCATTGTGCGCAAGCCATGTTCTGCTCTTGGGATGGGAGGACAAAAGAAACAGCTTGCAAGGAATTCAGGCAACCTCCTGGTTGACTCCTGAGAACCATGGACCACTAAGGATTAAGAGGGCTGAAACTTGGAAGTCCAGTTGAACAAAGTGTTCACTTTGGGCACGCACTACACGCCCCCCCCCCCCTCACTATGATTTTCTCTTGTGCCCATGACGGGCACATTTACACAGGGTGCAGATGAGGGCTGCAGAAACATGTTGAAGTATCTTGAAGTAAACAGTTTCCACAAGCAAGCGCAACTTTCTAAAACCGAATCTTGGCTCAGGTCGTTCAGAGAGCCAACCGTTCAAAAGACCCACTCAAAGGCTTCCAGCTCGTAACGGGCGAACAACCCCGTTTAAACGCTTCCACATCATTGAAACAGCCTCAACATGGTTTCTCATGCTCTGTCGTGCGCCGTGTCTTCAACAAACATAAGCAAGAAATCGTGCTCCAACCCTTGAAACTATCCTAATTCAATCGTGACCAGCTGGGCAGCCTTCGACCAAGCTCCGGCGCTATTCAAATGCAAAGAAAACACGAGGCGCGTTTGGGATGTGTTCAAAGGGCAACCGTTGCCAAAAGACACGAATCACTTCAAAGTGCCATGATGCCAATGTTGAGAAAAACAACCCATACCCCAATCTCCCCATTCTCCCCAAATCCATCCACATCCAACCAAATCCCCCCAAATCCCAGAATATCTCCCCTGCGGCCTCCGCGGCCCGCCGCATCCTCTGGGCCTCGTTCTGCGCCTCCGCCCTGGCACGCAGCGCGCCGGCCGCCACCGAACGGCTGCGGGCCGCCTGCGAGTCTGCAAGTCGCGACTTGGGCGCGGGCTGGCGCGCGCCGGCGCGCGCCCCGAAATTTGGAGAGAAGGGACCATCAAGTCGTCGCCTTTTACTTCCGTTTGCTGAAGCCCCCCAAAAAAAAGAAAAGGACAATATGTCCAGTAGTGATGGGTTCCCTTTAAAACCAACAGGGGAAATAATTTTTTTTAAAAAAAAAGTCTTAAGCAATCGGACGTTTATGACTTTCTTGTTGAGCTAACGACCCTTGGTGCTGCACACTTCCAGTCGCAGGGTCCCGGAAGAGACCCGATCCAGGCACCCCCCTGCCTGGCGGCAAGCGCGCAGCGACTGGGAGCGCAGGGCCTGGCTCTGGCGCTGCAACTGGGCGCCGCGGGCGGCGAAGGAGAGCTTCAGCTGCATCTCCTGCGCCGAGTCACCGAGAAAATCGAGGAGTCCCCAAAAGACACATGAGTCATAAGCAAAACCTGGTATTAAAATGGTCTACCCAGAACCATGTAAAGAATTAAGAAGGCGGCCGCAGCTATTTATGGTTGGGGTTGTCCCTTACTAACCTTCATCTACCCGGGTTTTGATTCTGGCTCACACGGGTGACTCATGGGTGTGGCTCAAAGTTCAAGAGCTGGGGTTACACAGGTTTTGGTTTTTGTTTCCATGTACCAAGGTGCCATGTTGGTACATGTATTCGAGCCACAGCCATATGCGTGTGGCTCAAAGTTATGGAGCTGGGGTTACGCAGGTGTTGGTGTTTGTTTCCATCCCAGAAGCCCAAAGGTTGGTACCACTTTCGTGAGCCACAGCCACATACTCTGGATGGTTGCGCAAGCCGCTCTTCTCGCACCACAAACTAAAACCATGCTTAAAACCTTTGCTTGCCGGTATTTACCGGAGAATCGAATTATACATCCCATGGATTCTTAGGTGGTGCAGGATTTCGTCCACCCACAGTATGAACTTTCTTGTGTTTTTGGGCCTCACGTCGGCTATGGGTAACAGTACTCGTATCCCGAAGAGTCTTATGAGAAGACTGAGAGACGCGGTTGACGCCTGTGCTTGGTTGCATGGCTAGGGGGCTGAGACAAGCCGAATAGATATTTCACCCCCATGTCCCTCACAATGAACATCAATGAACCATAGACTGCCATGGGAGAGGCCCCATCCGTGGGAAGAAGCTTCCCCAGCAAGCCTCCCAAGAGCCGCTGGGGGGCTTTCCGATTTCCCCCCGTCAGTCTCGCCCAAGGCCACACCTGAAATTCAACAACTGGTCAATCGAAGCGGTCGTAAAAAGTCTGTTGTGAAATCAGGCCAAAGCCCCCGTACAAACAACACCAAACACTGACAGTTTGCGTTCATCTGCCGCGCAAGTCATTTAACAGCAAGCCTGCTGGCGATCCCATGCCAACGAATGACTGCCGATGTGATCAATGCTAAGCATAGCATGACTGTAACTGGGAGGCAACTTTCACCCACCCGCCGAGCTTTGGAAGCAAACTTTGCTGCCTGGATGCACGCCCGTCCGGAAAGGAAGCACAAAGTCCGTCACAACTTGGTGCGCGAAGACTGCTCTAGACTTTGAGGCCTTCCCAAGGGCACCTGCCCTCCCCCGATTCGCTCCTGGGCCTTGAGCCGGCCCTGCACCTGCAGCCGCTCTTGCTGGCTGGCGCTCTTCAGAGCAGAAAGCTCCTGCAAGCGGCCGTGGGTTGGTTGGGACTACGGCCGCGGGCTCCCCAATGAACTTTCAGGAGGGTCCGCACCAATCAAGAGGCGAACCCCAAACGGTGAGCTTCCAAAATACGCAAGCCAGTGCCTTGGTTCCCAGATCAAGGGAGGTCAAGAAGGGGGGGGGGGGTCGGGGTGACTGTGCAGCAAACGGAACCTTGCTCACTGAAGATGGCCAGAGGTTCGGTTTCCCAAAAATGTGAAACTCTTGCCTTGGAAGGCAACTCGATGATGATAGGATGGTCGTGGATGGCCGTCGGTTTTTGAGCGGTGTGGAATGCCAGGTACGGCCTCTGTTGAGGGATCGCGGGATGTGGTTCCTGCTGCATTTCCGGGCGCTTAGCCCCGTCACCGAATTCAAGTCGAACGTCTCGATGCTCGAACTCCGGCACGGAATCCGTCGAGGTGCAGGAAGATGCACGGAAGAGACAAAGACTTGAAGGACACGCGTGCAATTTGCACAGTCAAGCCATATCAATCACGAACATCAAATTAATCGAGAGAAGGGGTGTTGTCTGCAACAAACCTCACACGAGGTGTTTGAAATTCGCAGGAACCCTTTGGTGGTACTATTGAAGGTGGACTTACGCCCGCCACACATTTGTGGGTTTTTGACTAATTTGAAGCTCGTCCTCACCCCAACCGAATGGCTCATGGACTTCTGGACATTCTGACAGGACCTCACATTGACGTCTGTCAACACTCTGCCATGAAAGATACCCTCACAACACAAGGGTAGTTCCCAAAACCAAGCATGTGAGAGGGTGGGGGGGCGGTTTCACTATTAACCGAACCCTAGGCGGGCTTCTGAAGGCTGGTTGAGCGGAAATCAAAGGGAGCATCATGCTTTCATGTGCCAATGTTTCCCCTTCAAACCCACGCCCTCCCCCTCCCCCGCCTCCCCTCCCCCCCCCCCCCCGCCCGGCGCTCCTGGCGGAAAGAGGCCTGGCGCGTTTCGAGCGCCTGCAGCGCAGCCGCCACCTGCGCCCAGCTTGCCTGCGGCTCCTGCGGCTCCTTCGGCTTCGGGTCGGCCATGGCGCCGGGCGCGGCAGCTGGGGGTTTCTGGTGGGTGGCAAGGCGGGTGCTCCAAGTTGGCCCCGTGAGTTGCTGACGTTCGATGGGTTTGAAGGCCAAAGCAGCCGTGATCATGAGAAACCACCCAAACTGGGCGCTGCTACTTGAAATTGCTGGTGGAACGACATGATAGGAAACACGGTTTCTGGGGACACCTCAAACGACACAATTGACCTTCATCGCCGCACCAACTGCCCGCCTGTAAGCCAACGTCGGCCAAACGTGGCATGGAACACCCCTCTGGCTTGCGGCCCCTGAGAAACCCCACCGGAAAAGCGCAGAGGCTCTGCCCAACAATCCAAACCCAAAGCCTTCCAGGGCGGTGCCTGCACCGAGGACCCAGGCCTTGCCAAAGCCCAGGCCAAGTTGGAGAGTCCTGCCACAAGACAGGGGCTGCCCTCAAAGAAAGCCGATCCTGACACATTGCCATGGGGTTGGCTGGCCGATTGAACACATTACCCAAACTACAAGGGGCGTCCTTCATGCTTGTTGAGACACTAGGTAAACCCTCTTGCCAGCCCCCGATAGTGTTGACGTTGCATAGGAACTCAGGATCAAACTTTCCGCCGGCTTGATTGATCATGTCTGCTGATTGGCAGAACACATGAAAAAGTTCAAACAGCTGAGAACACAATATCTGGACGACTATGGAAAGACTGCGAGACCATGGGGGGCTGCAGAAATACCTCAGGATTAACACGCACATTTGAAAGACAAGGAGCAAGGAGACAAAAAGGGAAAAGGAAAAGGATTGGAACATGGAAAAGGGAATGATGAAAGAAACAATGAAAAGGGCAATGGAGTAATAATTTAGCCAAGGAAGTAGGGAAGACTGGACTTTCATTCTTGGGGTTCCTTGCTTCACCTAATCGTCCATCATTAATTTGAGACTTTCTGTTCTGAAAATTGTTTGCTTTTTTTTCCTCGCTGCTATTCCTTTCCCCTTCACTAGAGCCCCGTGACCGCGCGTGAGGAATCGTCCGTCATGGCCTCTTGTTTTGAAGTTCCGCTGTCGTCAGCTAGTCAAGAGCAAAGCACAGCTCGGGAAAGATCGGCCGGATAGCACTACGTCGCGACAGTGTTTTGCAGTGGTCCAAGATGTGATTATAAAGCGAGAAACCGCTGTCCTTTGGTTGTGAAGTCGCACACATAGTGGTTGTTAAACTGATGAACGATGACCCCGGTTTGGGGCCTTCCAATGACGGGCCCCAAATCGGGGCGGCCATGCCGAGCAGTGCCGAAATCACGACATGCTCAAAAATGGGCGTGCCTTTTTTGGGGGGGACCCTATTTTGCGGTTGCAAAGGAGAAAAAACCAAAGGCAAAAACCGAACCGCATTCTTCTTTCTTCTATTTTTTGGGGAGGGGGGGGCGTCAAAAAACACACGCCAAGAAATGGGGAACCCTTTTTTCTCACCCTCCAAACCTTTTTTTTCAACCCTTCCCTGTTTTTTCAACCCTTCATCCTTTCTGTTTAACCCTCCCCCCGTTTTTTTTTAAACCCTCCCCCCTTCTTCTTTAACCCTCCCCCCTTTCTTTCTGACCCTCCACCTCTTCCTTTTAACCCTCCATTTCTTTTTTGCCAACCCTGTGGCCGAAGTTTGCGGCAACTGCACTAAGCAACGGTCCAGGGTTGGGTTGGTTTAGGAGCGGCTTTGGATTTAGGGTTTGTTTAGGGTGCGTTCGGGCGGGGGGGTAGGTGGGTTTAGGGTTGGTTTCGGATGGGAAGGGTGGATTTAAGGGTTTAGAGGCGGGGTAGGGTTTGTTGAGCAAGTTTGTGGTCGGTTTAAGTTTAAGGTTGGTTTCGAGCAGGTCTGTGCTGGGTATATGGTGGGTTTAAAGTTGGATGAGGGTGGTTTTGGGCTTGGAGAATGGGTCTACAGCGGGTTTAGGATGGATTTAGGGTTGGTTCAGGCGGGGTTAGAATGGGTTTAGGGTGAGGTCAGGCTTGGGATTAATGTTGGATTTACATGGGGGTGGGATTAGGGCGTGTAGAGTTGGACTAGGTAGACTTAGAGCAGGATTTCGGTGGGTTTGTGTTTGGTTTAGGTGGTCTGGAGTAGGTCTGTGGTGGCTGTAGGGTTGGCTTAGGGAGGGCGGGGTTTGGGGTTGGTTTAGGCTTGGATGTGGATTGGTTTTGCGGCTGGCCTAGGGTTGGCTTCACTGGATTTAGGGTTGGGCCAAGCTCAGCTTAGAGTCTCAGGGTGCGCTTAGAGTTGGATCAGGGTGGGTGCATGGTTGGTACAGGGTGGGCTTATGGTTGGTTTAAGGTTGCTTTGGAGTGGCTCAGGGTTGGTTAGGGTTGGTGTCGGGCTAGGTTGGTTTTGAGTTTAGTGTGGGTTTAGTGTTGTTAGGGTGGGGATTTAGGGTTGTTTTTGGGTGAGTTTAGGGTGGGTGCAAGGTTGGTTTAGGGTTGTTTTTTTGCTGGGCTTGAGTTTAAGGTTGGTTTTCGGGGTGGTTCGTGATTGGTTAAAGCTGGGTTTAGAGTGGGTTTGGGATTGGGTTAGGATTGGCTTAGGGTCGTTTTCGGGTTGAGGGTTGGTTTTGGGTCGGTGGGTCTGTTCAGGGTTGGTTTAGGTTGGGCTTAGGGTTGCATTAAGGCTAGATTAGGGTGGGATTGGGGTTTAAGCGGGTTTAGGGTGGGTTTATTGTTGGCTTAGGCTAAGCTTAAGGTGTGGGGTGGGATTATGGTTGGATCAAGGTTCGGGCGGGTTTAGAGTTCGTGTAGGGTGGGTTTAGGGTGGGTGCAGAACTGGCTTGTTGGTTTAGGGTTGGTTTAGTTTGTTGATTTAGGGTTGGTTTAGGGGTCGTTTTGGGATTGGTTAGGGGTGGGTTATGTATGCTTTAGGGTGGTTTCGAGTGGGTCTGTGGTGCTTGCGGTGGGTTTAGGGTTGGACAAAAGACGTTTTTGGCTTGCTTGGGGTTTAGGGGGTGTTGTGTAGGGTGGGTTTGGGGTGGGTTTGGGGTGGGTTTGGGGTGGGTTTGGGCGTGTTTGGCTGGTTTGAGATGGATTTAGAGATACTGAGGGTTCGCAAGGTTTGGCTTAGGGCGGGCCTAGGGTTGGTTTGGGTTGGGTTGGGTGCGGGGCAGGCTTAGGTTGTTTTAGGTTTAGGGTGAGAAAAACAAGGTTGCGGGGTGAAACAAGCAAGCTCGCGGGTGGAAAAAACAAGGCGGAGGGTGAAAAAAACAAGGCAAAGGGTGAAAAAAACAAGGTGAGGGGTTGAAAAGAAAGGATTTCTCAGGGTTGGAGAAGCAAGGTTCCCGCCGACGGTTCCCAAGCAGGGTTTGAGGGTTGAAAAAAAAGGAAGGGTTAAAAAAACAAGTTCGGAGGGTGAAAAAAAAAGGGAGCCCCCAAGAAATAGATGTCACCCAGCGCACTGACACGGTTTGGAAGGAAAGGCGTTGCCGCATTGCCCCGTTCGTCCAGGTAGGCGGTAAACGGACCACTCCAAAAACCTCCATGATAGTAATAGCCTATTTGAGAGGACACTGTTGGGCGAAGCTTGGTTTACAACGCCTTGGGCGAATGGAGCACTCGGATTGAGATTGCGATGTTGAGAGGCACAACATTAGGTTTAGACTACTACTAGGCAAGTGGGTTCTCCTTGGGAGAATTCAGCACTCACTCTCAGATTCTGCCCATAGGACAATATTGGACTATGCTTGGCAGTCACTTTGCCGAGAGGCACACCAGGCACTCAGATTGAGGACAGGGCGTGTTCCATGATCAGTTTAGGCATCTCCAAATCGAAAGACAAACGGCACGAAGTCCTGTCCGGCATCTGAGCAACAGCTACCCGTACAAATCGCTTGCCAAAGACTTCATACTTTAATCAAATCCTGGCACAGACTAGTCGGCAGCTGGGATCACTTTGACAGCAGGTTTTCTACGTGGACAGCACCCACCAGAACGTGCGTGGTCTTCGCTAAGAACTATGTCTGAGTCTTCCTCCGCGAGGTCAGAGAGGCTGGAGAGACCCTTGAGGCCAGCCACATATCGGCTAGCGTAGGCAACGGCCATCCTTGGTTGACGTTGGGTTTGGGGAGCAAAACTCTAAATTTAGCAGCTAAGTGCTTGGACTTCAGCCACTAAACCACAAGCAAAAATCTGCAAAATGTTTTCCAACAACAACCCTGCATCTCTCGCGTCTCCACGGTCTTGTTGACGCATTCGCAAAAGGCGGTGACCTCCATGGCGACGAGTCGCGAAATATCCTCCGCCACCAAATCCCCAACATAAACCCAGGGGCTCCACAAACACATCTCTGCCACCCAGATGTTGCAGAGCTTCTCTCTTCGCTCATCCTCCCTAAAATAGCTGTGAGGCCCACCGGCAAGGAAATAGCATGAACCAGCTATGGATCCAGCAACAAAAACGACATCTCCACAGGCATGCACTACATGTGTCATGCTCTTCAATGCCACATCCTGCATGACCCGCACGACGTGCAAGCTGTCCTCGTGCAGAAGACTGTCGAAAAAGGCACACTGACCCAAGCAATCTCTATGCCTTTGCAGCTGCAACTCAGCTTGCAGGGGCTTTGACAGCAAGCTCAAGAGGGGAAGCTGATCCATTGACCGTGCTTCGTTCTGAGCCGCAAGCGTGTATTGCATGAAGGTTGTTATGCGATGCGACAAGTCTGCGTCTATGCAGTTGTGAGTCAAGAAGCGGCGCAGCAATCTTAGCTGCTGACTCTCCTCATCCTTCATCTTCGCCAGACGTGCCATTAGAGATGTCACTGAGCTCACAAGTGTGGAAAAGACGATCAAAGAGCAAAAAGTCACGAACACTGAGAACACGCGCTCATTCAAGTTGACAGCGTCGAAACTAACATACCCAACACCAAGATTTGCAAATGCCCACTGGAGGGCGCTGAAATAAACAAATGCGGTGGATCGTCCTTCCATCCGATACTGTTTGACCCAATTGTCCGCACTCTCATCTGCTGTGGCGATGCCATACCAAAAGCAGGCTATGAGATGGTTGATGAGGATCAGTCGCACGAGGATTTTCAAGATGCTGTAGTGGATTGCGGCGGATTGCGAACCGAGCTGATCTTGCACAGATTCCATCACGGCCCCGGCCTTGACCATGCGACCCATGCGAACTAGCCGAAGAAACCGCAGGGTCCTGATCGTCTTGGATAAACGAGCGACGCCCGCCGTCTCGTTATCTCTGGCGTTCAGCGCGACAATCGTCCAGTCGATGGACACCACGGCCAGGTCGAATACGAACCAACTAGCAAGATAATGCTTGGCAGTCTTCCGCAGGTCGAGGATCAACACCCCAGCGTCATAGTACCCCGTAATGAAGTTCAGGAGCATATCACAGTTCCAGTACAGCTGGGTGACCCAGGACATGGCTGCGGTGAAAGCCACCTCTGGTAGGCTGAAAAAGCGCAAAGGAATCACAAATATGTCGTAGCACAACAACGCCATGCCCAGAAAGTTCCACCATGCTCTGGAAGGACTTCCTGGATGCTGCATCATGCGCAGCCGGGCGGCCCCTGCACTTGGCTTGCGCTGGTGCACGACGAGGTTGTTGGAAGTGTGAAACATGACGCTTGGCCTGCGCACTTGTGATTGGCGATGCTTGATAGACTCTTCCCCATCAATTTGCCAAAACTCTCTCACGGTGAGGGACTGGTTCAACTCGTGGCCCAGGCTCGCCTCGGAGGACTTCCTCTGGATGGCCCGCAGATCCTTGGTTGAGGTTGGAAGGGTAGCAACAATCGAACAAAATAGCAGTTCAGTGGCTGGATTTCAACCAAACCACAAGCAAAAATAAGCAAGATGTTTCAACCAACAACCATGGCTCCTCCAAGAAGGGCGCCGAGCGCCAGCGCTCCGAGACCGCAGAGCTGCCCAGCTCGCTGGGCAAAACCGGCGAGGTCGGCGCCGGGCCCGGCGGGCCCGGCACTGGCGCGCCGCTGGCCAGCAGCGCCGGGCCGGTGTCAGAGGCGATGCTCCAGTCGTTCGGCGCTTTTTCCTTGGTTGCTTTTGACCCCCTGCAAGAAGTGAATCACTTTTTGGGGGCTTAGTGGAAAACACCTTTACTTCTCCAAAAAGTTGATGTCTAAAGATCCAACCCAATAGCCAATAGCATTTAAGTTTCGGTGAACGAGAGCATTGAAAGTACTGAGCTGAGCCCAGGGGAGCCTTGGAGCCGGAAGTTTTGGCTGTTCATCTCCAAGGTCTTATAGCAGTGACCCAACCGCCGGTGCAAATCCCAAAAGCTGTCCTCCATCTTGATAACGCGCGCGCGAAAACCACTTTTGAGATACTCATGGTCTGCAGCATAGATCAGATCGGGTCATGCTGGATGATGGCCACGTCAAGGCAGCGGAAACATGCTGCATGCTGCGCTCTGGCCCTAAGCGTCCCATGAAGAGGGGATTCCACTTTGTTGGGTTTCCTGCCCCCGGCTGATTCGCCAAGAGGACGCTGATAGCATCTGAGAGCCAGCCTTCGTTTCTCAATCCTGGCGTCATTTTCTAGTTCTCGAAAATCAATGGTCCCTGTGGCGTTTGAAATTCAAAAGGGCGCCAGACCAGGAATCCAGAAGGGCCCTTCAAATTAGGGGCTAGCAAGCGCCTTGCGGGACGAACTCTGAGATCTTCTGAATGGAGGCTTCCTGAGCTTCCAAGGAAAAGCTGCCATTTGTGCCGGCTCCGGAAGGCTCGTCTCAAAACAGGGGCAGTAGGAGCCTATGACCTGTTTGTTGCGTAAGGCACAGTGGTTTGGATTAGGCAATGTCTCAGACAAACCTGAAAGACTCGCATGGTGATGGTTCAAATGCTTGCCCATCTTGAGCTCAGTTGATTAGCAAACAGGCCACAACAAATAGCAGAAGGCCTGGAATTCACCCATCAGCCTGGTCTTGACCTTGGATTAACAATCCGGTAAAGCGCGTGTTTCCGCCAGACCTCCTAACCACAACACCCCTCTACTGTATTCAGGCAGGGGCTGACCTGCCTTCAGTGCGCATGCTAGCAAATGCTCAGCGCCCAGCGGAGGTCGCATCCAGGAGCGGCGCCTGAAGTGAGTTCAATCCACGCCTGTCCGCCTGACTATGTGAAAGCCATTGGTAGTGGTTGCTGGTGGCGTGGGCGCGCACTCACGATGAAACACTGACACTGGCACCTGACACCTCCGGACACAAACGCACGCACGCAAGCAGGCACGCACGCACGCGTACATGCACAAGCACAAGCACACGCCCGCGCACGCGCGCGCACACACGCACACGCACACGCACACACCCACCCACAGACACACGCGCACAAAAACACACACACACACACACACACACACACACACACACACACACACACACACACACACACACACACACACACACACACACACACACACACACACACACACACACACACACGCACGCACGCACACACACGCACGCACACACACACACACACGCACACACTTAAACTCCAGATGGAGGGTGCTAATCCTTTCGAGTACAACTGGTCAGTCTCGGCTTGGATAAGGTTCTTCATGAACAAGTTTCGGCTCACAGTCACTTGGCTTCCCTCTAGGAGCGAACACGCTACCCGAAAGAACAAGAAGCACAAACAGCGCCGCAACCAAGGGGGCCAAAAGGACGTTGCATCACGGCAGGTACGTCAGTCCAGCGTCCTGGACTGATTTCGGGCGATGCACGTCAAAGGAACCATCGCCCCCCTGCAACTGATTCAGGCGTTTCCAGTGGTGACAGGGTATTCTGTCACTCCGCACACACACGCCCCTCAGTGAGGGGCGAGAAGTCTCTTTTTCAGCAGGAAGATCACATACTCAACTTCGTATCTCTATCGTTTGCCAAAATATCCACAGCGGCGAGGGGAACGCGAAACTGCCCGAAGCCGCTCAGAAGACGGGAACGAAAGATCACCACGATGAGCATTACGGGTGTCGCCATAGAAGACTGGAGGAAGTTGCAAAGCAGTCGAGCGATCACCGTCAGAAATAGGGGAAGCATAGGTGAACATTTCCTCGACTCGGATTATGTCCGAATTCTGCACGTCAACAAGTGATTGATCCTGGGCTTGATGGGTGGAGAAGGACTCAAAGCGAGAAAGAATGCGTTGGTAACCTTGATGTTGCCAATCGCGAATTGTCCACGCCTGACTGTGTTCACCAGTCCCTCCAATGGGATCAGGTACCCGCTTCCACTCCCGAAACGAGTTGTCTGGTAGGTCAGGTACGGCTTCTTCTGGTTGCCACAGCTGAGGTTGTCCCGGAGTATAGATCCGCACCCACTCCTGATCCTGCCAGACTAATATTCGAGCCACGGGTGCTGCTTTGCATCCTCGATGTCCATGTCGAAATGAAAGACAGGGCGTACCGCGGGTTCCGATCCAGCTAGCAAAGAAACAGTCACCATGTACAACCATGCACAATCAGCAACCACACAAGAAAGCACGAGCATGACAAAGCACCCTTTTGTGCCATGCTCAACACGCATCAGTCTATTCATCATTTAGCTCAAAGATAGGCTTCTCCTTGGCGGTGGAGCTGCATGGTTGGGTCGTAGGCAGATACGGATCAGAGACTCCAATAGACTCAGGTGGTTCAACTCCACGAGATGCACGTACTGGTTGATGCGGATGGGACGCTTGACGCGCACGATCCGACAGTTGCTGAGAGATTCCATCTTGAAGACGAGTGAGATCCGCAGTGGAGAAAGCCGCAGCATCCGATGATCTAAGAATCGCATTCAACATTTGCGGTGACATACACGAAGCCGATGATTGCGTGGCCACGCTATGTTGATCAGGAAAAGACATCGAACTGAAGTCGTGAACAGCTTGAGGGGCAGCGACTCGCCGGTAGCCCTCTGTGGCCCAGTCCCTTTTGTACCAAATGCTGTTGTTGGGCTGCCCGCCTTCTTGATCAAGATTTGGGACATAGAACTTCTTCCACTCTCTGTATGTATGAGGCGGAGGTGGATCATCACGTTCGTCCTGTGGGGTCCATGATCCCGGATGAAAAATCTTGACCCATTGAGCATCTGGTTGTTGAGGATCCGGACACCACTCCAGCCACGGCATGACAACTCAAACCCTGATGCCAAATCGAGAGGTGTACGGCTGCAGACTACAAGCACTACATGTGACACAACAACAAACATGCAAGCAAACACTTTTGTAGCAAGGCGCGGCTCAGGTGTCGAAGTCACTCGCCCCAATCAAATTGAATATCCTGGAAAGACGAGGACGAACCATCCGAGTTCGAGGATGCCGACGAAGAGGACAGCCCAGCGTACATGAGGTCTGGTGATCCCGAAGCGAAAACTGGACGTGCAATGTTGGGGCGCGGATGGCCGAGCCGTTGATATCCTCTGGTGACCCAGTCACGATACTGCCATGTGTAAAAGGATGCATATGAGACCGGCTGGGAAACAGAGCCCATAGTGGTGCCACCCTGACGCAATGTGAATGCGTTGAGCAACGCAATGCAAGGCAACTTTTCAAACTGAAGGCGGGACGCACAACAAGGTCTGTAGTATACGACAACTATGATTCACCGCCGCTGATGCCGCACACACCTGCAATGGTAATGTCCTGGTCGGCGACGAGCACAGGGAGAAAGACACTTCCGTCCATGATGTAGAAAAGCATGACAGTAATGCTTGCAACTTGTCGATGAAGACAGTGATGGAGGAGTGGCTCGTTTTGAAGGGAACACAGTGAAGGGTCGCCGAGATCTCCGCATGGCAGAAGCGGATGTTGTTCGAGAGCGTTTTGGAGAACGCGTGAGACTGTGTAGATCATCATCACGGAACTGGTCAGCGCTGCGTATCGAGCGGCGTGCGCGCTGCGATTTCATGGTGGCCGGGCATGACTGTCCTCGAGGAGAGGGGCTCGAGGAGGCTCGCAATGAGGGCATAAACTGTGGGTGAAGAATCACCGGTGGTGGTGGCGGTGGAGGAGGTGGAGGTGGAAGAAGTATTGGAAACCGTGGCGGGGTTGGAGGTGAAGCAGTCAATCGAACTGGTCTGTCAAGCAATGTACCAGGCCCGTGAAACTGTAACCACGTCGGCTGCGCTCCATGGGTCCAGGTGATGTATGTCTGCACATCTTGCTCCAACATGATTTGAGCAGCTCTGCCATGCATGATATCCAAGTCATCAACAACTTCCATGACAACCAACAATGCCATCAATGTCAGAAATGTCATGAATGTCCTTCAAGTCTTCACTGCAAAGTATGCCCGCCATGTCATGCAAGCAAGCGAGAAAAGAATCATGCGATCTACCATGTCTGCTATTCAAACCATCTCGTCAACTTGCAACGCTCACGGAATGCACTGCCACCTTCCGGTAGTCTTTCGTTCTTTCGATGCAAAGTGCCCTAAGCGCGAGCCTCAAGCTGCTGGTAGACCTTCCAGGCTTGCTTGACTTCCTCTGTGGGCTTCTGAAGGAAACGGGCAATGGTTTTGTAGGTGGGCCTGGAATCCTTGTCCTTTTTCCGTCTGACCATCTCATCTAGCTCACCCTGTGTCCATGCCGTGAACGGTTCAAGATGTGCATTGCGAAGGGCAATAGTGAATTCTTGTAGAAGTTCCCGAGGTCCATGAACCACCGTGGGAGATGGACGGAACGATGAAGCACCTGGATGTGGACGGACTGAACCATCCGAATCCGAATCAGGTGTGGTAGGCGATGTCTGTCCTGGTTCACGACCGCTGCGAGGGGGTAGGGGAGCAAGAGGTCTTGGCGGTGGTAACCGATCCAACATTGTCTCCGGACGGCGACCAGAAGTGCTGTCAGTGGCATCCCGATGTGCCGCACGAGGCGGGGATAGGGCAGGTATATACCAGGTGGAGGAAGTATCCACAGGCCGGGTTCGGATTCAAGTAGGAGTGCGGACGAGATGCGCTCTGTGATGATGCGAGGGCGCAGTCCATGCCTGGAATTCCGTGGGGCCCTGGGGGACACTCGGGTGTCGGACTGCTGGTTTCGCTCGGTCGCCAGGGCAAAGTTCAGGGTGTCCAGGGCAGTCGCTACTTGTGATGCGAGGACATTGAGTACCGCCACCAGGTTGTTCACGAACTCCACTGACAACTGCATGGCAAATGAAATCACTGCAAGGACAATCCAAGCAAGAAAGGCTGCGGAACAGCATGAAACTCATGTTAGCAAGACTGGTGTACATCGGTGTGCTGAGGACCTTTTGCCGCTGGTTGTCCGTCAACGGTCATATGAAAGACCAGATGGTCGGCACGCCGGCATGGCCTTGACTGCCGGTGGGGGCTTTGGCATGAAAGTGCGATGATTAGACGTGGAACCAGTGTGGGCAGGGCGGCCAAGAGGACGCCTGTGGTGGCTGCGGCTGCGTGACCGACGCCGATGAGGGTCCCGGTGTCGGGATCTTCTTCTCCGTCTGCGTTCTCGGGAAGTGCTGACACTCACCGGATGAACATGACCGGCTGGTTCCATCCGGTTGTCCGAGGTGGCCACAAGAGTGATTGGCACCGTTGGATAAGTTGGTCGGACCGATGTGGCCGGCACGGACGGAGGTGCCGATGTTGGTGGGGGTGGCAGCGGTGATTGCCCGTCAGGTGCTGGTGGTGGAGGTGGCGGCTGTGGATGCCGTTGCTGACCTTCGAGACGTTGTAGTCCAGCCACAAGAATACTGATCTGCGACGAGATGGCGCGCAGCATAAACCGGCATTCTCGTAAAAGGTCACCATGATCCATTCCAGTGTAGAATATGGCTGGAAAGGAAGGGTGTTTCAATCAGTGGACAACTCAAACTGCGGAGGCAGCAAGCAATGCAACAAACATGCAACAAGCAGCGCCAATACACAATCATGCAGCAACACCACACGCTTTTTTCGGAAGAGGAGCGTCATGATGGATACCACGAAAACCTGGACACAAACCACGGTGGGCCAGTGCAAAAGGAGGTGCCGGACTGCATTGCCGAAGTCATTCACCAGAACATTCCCACGTAGCTGGGAACCGCAATCGATGAGCGGAGTTTCCACCTGCCATCTTTGGCATGAATGCAATCA